TCGATCCTAGGCGTGGATCTCCATCACCGAAAAGCAGCAGGAAGCAATAGAAGTTCTCGATCCTAGGCGTGGATCTCCATCACCGAAAAGCAGCAGGAAACAATAGAAGCGGCTAGTGCGAGAAAAGCAGCAGGGTAGGCTCTATGTGACATCACAAACGTGTCGTCTGCCAATGTTCAATATCATTGCTCAATATCATTGCTCACGCCGCGATTGTACTTATGTTCATTTGGTCTCAGAAGATGAAAATGAGGCGAATACTAATGAGCCGCCTTGTTGTTTGATGTTGAGCACATAATTACAATTGAATTCCATGCAAGGAAACAAGAATCTCTCCGGGTTACTAGGATGCTTTGGGCACAAACCAAAAGTTTTCGATCTCGTCTTCAGCTTCACGAGTATCGGTCTTTCACAGATCTTTCACACGTAGCTCTCCTTCGAAGCGCTAGTACTGCTACTGGTACTGAAGCACGTTGATGTAGATGACCATGACTTCCCGCAAAGTACTACCCTGCTCTCTTGTGATTTTATCCTCCCACGATTTCCTTCTTCTAACATCGTCGAAGATGAATTAGAAGTCCCTGATTTCGGTTTCCTTCGTCCTCACGATAATACTACAATCCTGAAAGCCATTTCAGTTTTTGCTTTTCCGTTTTGCAAACTACTTTTCCGTCTATCACACATAGTTTTATTTATGGAGATTTTTTCTTTTCAAATTGAATGTGAGGTAAAACCTAGACCTGTCAAAAAAATCCTAGTGAGTCTGCTGCGATATCTTTCGTCCATAATGTAACATTAATACCTCGTTGCATCACACATCATTCATCTCGTCGAGAAATTGGTTCTGGTCGGTGGCGTGTTTTTTTAGTTGTTCACATTGCATTAGGCATACAAAAAAAAACACAACACAAAAAAAGGGAAGACGCAAGGTTCCCGATCTTCTTGTCCTTGTAATGGAGACTTTTTTGAATACTTGAGTCGGGGGACGAGAGCATCGTCTTCAACTTCTTCTCTTGCTGGTGTGATGCGTTGGTTTCATGTGATTGATCGGTTTCATCTGCGTATGATCGGTTTGTGAGTCAGCATCCGTGTATCTTCAGTACTCGAAGTGAATAGTTGTACATGATGGTGCAAGGTCTATAATCAATCAGAGTGTCAATCGGTGATCCATCTTCATCTGTTTTGAAAGTAAAGTATAGTCCAGAACGAGTGAAGACCCTGGAAGTACCTAACGCGTCGCTCAGAATGATAGAGAGGACGAGCAGCCGGCGCAAAGTGTTCGGAATTACCTCAAGAAAGTCGAGGAACCAGATGAAGCAGAATCTGTCTCCGTTCTTGATTGAGTACCTAGTATCTGAGCATGGCAACTGTTCTTGTCCAGCTGAGAGATTCTCCTCCGCTTCGCCCCGCCCCAGACAACACCGAACTTGACCCCAAATAAGGACATAAATAATAGAGACGTTCTTCCCCTGGATTGTGTATGAAGAGGTTCTTCCCCTGGATTACTTCAACACCAATCCAGGGGAAGAACCTCTTCATACACAGTAGTTACTACCACAATTGTGTCTTACCTGAAGTCCTCCATACATCACACCTGTCATTCTTATAATAGGTCATTTTCGTTAGAGCTCCTCACTCGATCACTCATGATTTGATTCAACTTAATAAAGACTTTGGTTGTAGTCCTAATGATGCTGCACAGGATCAGGAAACGAAGTTCTGTCTGGGCAGCATAAATAGTACACAAGCGTCTTAAAAATAGGAATAAATCTTTATTGACCTTCCAGCCAAAAACAATTACAATACATAGGGACAATTTAAACATTCGAGAAAGAACTAACTTCGTAGTTGTAAAGCAAGTAGACAGAGACATCTTCTGATAAGACCTAAAGACTTCCACCATTCCCATTAAACTCGTTTTGGATCTCGTCATCCCGTTTCCCTTGTTGGTATTTACTATTCTGCGTAAGCATCAAAACCATCATTTCGACAAGATGGGGCAGCCGTCTAGCAAGGAAGTTCGTGGCTCCAGGTCCGAGGGGCGCACGCCTGCTAGGGTCCCTGACGGTGACGAGAAGGCATCTGACAACACGCCGTCGAACGAAGCAGCAAAGGAAAAAGGCAAGCAGACGCAGCTCGAGGACGATGCAGTTCCTGGCTCCAGCTCCGAGGAGCGAAATCAAAGACACAACCAGTTCATGGACGATGTAGATCGCTTGATAGACAAAGAAATACAACCTTCAGTGGAAGATATTATAAAAAAACCGGAATACAACGACAAGGACATCAGCAGCGCAGATATTAATGGTAATAGAATATGCTACAGCTAGCGTATAATTGATGTTTTACTTTATTTTCAAAGGCCATTCAATTGAATATTCGGTGTTTCTTTGACGGCTCGGAGCAGCAACTACTCGTAGGTTGTAAAACTATTTCAAACTGAAAAATAGCAAGTCTTTCTTCGGTTGTCGCGATTCGTTCGCTTGCATCTTCCCAGTCGGAATCAATGTTAATGTTTTTTCAACCCCGCGCGCCATAGGTACGTATGCGGATTTTATTTTGGACGTCCAAGAGGAAAAGGAGCGTATGATGAAGGAGAAAAGATATGAGCACTGGCAAACGCTAGTATGGAACGACTACCAAACTGCGCTCACGTTCTCTGTTTTCAGGCCGCCGGGCATCACCCTAAAGGCACAAACACTTCAAGACACCATCAAACCCGAGTGTAAAAGGCAAATATTGCTGTATAACGAGTCGTCGACGTATGGAGCTCGCGGATCTTACTACACGCAACACGGGTGGTCACGGTCAGAAGGAGGCTTGGGACAAAGGTACTTCACATTATGATTTTTGTTCTTTGATTTATGTTTTTCATTCGGCACTACTATCATTTTGTTTTCTTGTAGTTCGCTCTTGTAGAAAGAAAAAGCTCACGATATTGATAGTAATTTTGTTTCTTTGTAATGATTTTTATGTCCTCATAAAATTCAGAAGAACACTCATGATCGTCATCATCGACACGGGAAACATCTCTCATCAACTCCAGCTCCGAGGACGAGCGAAATCAAAGAGACAAGGAGCAGTTCGAGGACGATGTAAATAGCCTGATAGACAACAAAATACAACCTTTAGTGCTGGAAAGTATTAAAGCACAGGGATACCAGGACAAGCACATCAGCAGGAGCGCAGACGGTAATTGAATATAATGCTACAGCTAGCGTATAATTGATGTTTTACTTTATTTTCAAAGGGCATTCAATTGAATATTCGGTGTTTCTTTGACGGCTCGGAGCAGCAACCACTACTACTAGGTGGTAAAGCTATTTCAAACTGAAAATAAATAGCCCGTCTTTCTTCGGTTGTCGCGATTCGTTCGCTTGCATCTTCCCAGTCGGAATCAATGTTAATGTTTTTTCAACCCCGCGCACCATAGGTATGTTGCATTCACCTTTTTTTGGTGACGTCCAAAAGAAAATGCAGGGTATAATGGAGGAGAAAAAATATGGGCACTGGCAAAGGCTAGTATGGAACAGATACCACTCTGCGCTCACGTTCTCTGCTTTCAGGGAGGGCATCACCCTAAACGCACAAACACTTCAAGACACCATCAAACCCGAGTGTCTGAGGCTAATATCGGAGACGAACGAGGCGCCGCTCGGAGTTCGCGCATATTACTACAAGCAACACGGGTGGTCAGGAGGAGGCTTTAACAGGTACTTCACATTATGATTTTTGTTCTTTGATTTATGTTTTTCATTCGGCACTACTATTTTGTTTTCTTGTTCGCTCTTGTAGAAAGAAAAAGCTCACGATATTGATAGTAATTTTGTTTCTTTGTAATATTAAGTTGACTTTCTATTAATTGATTTTTATGTCCTCATAAAATTCAGAAGGACACTCATGATCGTCATCATCGACACGGGAAACAACTCTCATCAACTCCAGCGTCGCTTATCAACCCAGCAGCAGTCTCCTCGAGCATCATGCAACTGCAACTGTGCCCACCTCTCACGCGGCTCTTTCCAACATGCACTTCGAGGCCATGGCTGTCATGCAGATCATGACTACTGCCTTTATTGCCGGTTTGGCATTGGGTTGGTGTCTGCGCCGCCGCTGCGATCATCGCAACCAGGCCTCCAGTGGTGCTCCGGAATTGCCGAAGTACGGCGCCACTGCGGAGGGCCATTGTATGGAAGAGTGCTAGAATGAAACTCCAATATAAGCAAATATTGTTGGAAGCCAGGAGAATAGAAAATGTCTGAGTATTTATTATAGTTCATGTGCAAAAATTCGTTGTTTTTGTGACTATGATTGTATGCTTCAGTTCCGGTACTTGGTAACCTGAAAAATTTGATCATAAGGGAAAACAAGAAGAGAACCCTTGTGATCGAATTCAGGCTACCAAATACCGGAGCCATTCAATGATAGGAGGGCACTCCTTGCTGTATCTGAAGATAATGCTGCAAAAAAGAGGGCTTGGGCTGAAGGTCTTTTTGAAAATACTATTGGCTTACTACGCTGTGCATTGATGTCTGAACTTTCGTAATTATTTTCGCGAGGATTACCAAAATACAACTGGAGTCTCTGCGGAGGAACAACTTCCTATCTCTAAGATTATTATGATTATGCAATGATGTTGAAAAATGTAGTTGAACACGCGCAGGGAAAACATAGTGTTGATCATAATTATCGTGCTTAGCTGAGGCTGGACCCGATAGGCGCCAAAATAACGAATTTCATGTGATATAGAAACACATATTCTAAAACAACGCAAGTAACATCTATTAATTTCTAGTTATTAGAAGTATCCGTGTAATAATTTTGGTGACGCAGCTCGATAGTAACCGGAGGAAGATGATACTAGAAGATTAAGTTTACCATTGATTCGTGTAGAAGTAGATGAAATTAGCGGTCTGCCATGGAAGAGCCCTAGTTGTAGGATGATCTTACTCTGTTGATTATAGGCAATAATTGCCATGTAGCACAAATGAAATGAATACCTCTTTTAATAGAAAGCATAGACAATTTGCTCCTGGACGCAACTGTCGGAGTCCAGGAGCAAACAGTGACGATATAGATCTGTCTGGAGCGGGTGTCCAGCGTGAGACTGCTTGCAGGAATGCGCGTGTGACCCATCCAGAGAGACAATATAAACTTCTGCCAAGTGAGAAAACGAGCGTCCAGCTCATCAAGTTTATGCATTCAGAAACGAGACATTTTTCTCCTAATTAGGTTCTGAAAGATCCGCTGCGCGATTCCTCGAAACCATAACCAACCTTACACAAACACAGCCTCTGTTGAGTGATTTAGTACAGTGATATCTCTGTGACATGAAGAGGACTAAAAGAAAAAGGCTGACCCATGCATGAGGGATATCATGCATAGAGGCTTTCCCCAAGAGTTTTCTCCCCCGTCGCTCGTCCCCCTATCCGTGACAGTGCCCATGTGGCTACGAAGCCCGCATCTCAATTTCCACTTCTCCATAGATCAATAGTTACTCCATTGAGTCTCCATCAAAAAAAATCAGTATATGCAACTTGTTTCTTGTTAATAATTTCAAATAGAAAAAAACATTGATAGCATAGACCCGCACAGTTCATCCTATATTCGCTCTAGTAGCGCAACAGCATGCATTTCATGAGCAAAAGATATTCTGACGAGCTGGAGCGACTAACATAAAGAGTACAACAGAACAAAACTGCCTCCCACACACGCAACATAGCAGCACGCAACGTAGTCATATCGCTGCTCTGTATTCCCAAGTAGAGCCATTTTCTTAGACAAAACTAACTCTCATGTCATGTACTTGTCAAGACTTCCTTTTCTCCACCTTCCTTTTCTCCACCTTCCTTTTCTCCACATACATCTTTTTTCGCTTCACGAGAATTAAGTGCATTCGTGCAGGACGACAGGCCAAACTTATTAGTCACTATATTACTTCGCTTTCCAGATTCATATTCCCAAGTGTATTAAGGTATCAGCAGTAAATAGACATAGCTCATGCATCAAAATGAGCATACTTCCATACTCTAGTATACAGCCTAGTTTATCCGAAGTCTTAAATTTTTTTTTATACACAGCTAGCAAGAGCACATCTTTCTGTTTCGAGCCACTTGTAACTGTTTGGAGGTAAGCAAAGTAATCACATTTCAAGACGGTATACACGATCTGGTCAAGATCGCCATCAATGCTAGTAGGAATGATCAATATGTGGTAGACAAGATACATGCACAGGGGTCGCAACCGTCTCTTCCTAGAATCATCAACACCGTCCGACATATGCCTAGTAGAGCTGTAGTAGACAACAGATTCTCAGCAGTCATCAACATTTTACAAGTCCCTGGCGTATCACGCGCCACCAGTAGAACTCATTATCCTCAACAAAGTTTCGGAACACGTGGCAAATGTGACTACTTGCTGCGCTGGGCTGGTCAACATACAGCCCTCCACAGACTCGGACACGGCGGGCAGCGCAACGAGACAACAAGTTCGACTGAACTGCACTGGTTCTCACAAGGTTTTGCACGGTCCGGGAGGGGCGACGACGCTAGTTCGACCTCACAAAAACACCGCGGAACGCACCGAGGGAGATTTCGTGCGGAGTATGGAAAACATTGTCGAAATTTCATCCAGTGTGTGATGAAAAAGCTATGTTGTGAAGAGTACGACAGTTGAATCCTTTTTATTTTGTTCTTCTATTTCTCTTGAGCTTTCTCGAGATCGTCACCGGAATACGTAAACGCGGACACTTTAACCAGCAGTATAAAATAGAAACGTCGCACGCTCAACAGGATTCTGTACAGTCACATAAGTACTTGTGAACTGTTTCTCTGGTACTAAGTCTTATATATAATTCATTTTTTTTGTTTATTTTATCAGTGACTGTTCCCTGACCTCTCCTACCCCTTAGGGTACTCTCCTTTCTTCCTGTAAACTACTAGTCGGTTGTTTTCTCTATTTCTATACATCTCTTCCTTCCTCTCCTCTTCTCCCTTGTCATCAAGATGAAAATAGTATTAGCGTTGTCATGTAAAGTAGCTCTTCTTCTGGTTTCGTGCCTTTTCCAAAAAAACAACACTTAGGAACAGCAGACAGCTGAAAGCTTCACAACAATCCCAACAAGATCGTTAAATCAATGCCTTACACTCTTTGGCTTTAAAGTTATTTTATCAGTGCCTTAACTTCCTTCAACTGTCTCAATTTACTCACTTGATGTTTTGAATATATTGTTCTTACTTGATGAGTGTGGAAATTCTTCATAGTCTGATGACAGTGCCTAACATGCTCGAAGTGACTCTTTTACCTACTTCAATCTCGTACATACATCAGTCTCTTAATCGATCGCTTACGCATTTTATGTCTTCGATAGCTTTCGCGTCTTGGTCTTGTCTTTATTTGATGTTTCGTCTTACTCTTGTCGCTCGCTTCTCACTCAATTCTGTGGCCATTGTATATTTCTTCGGTTTCTACTTTGATTGGTATCAGAACCCTTCTTTTCTCTACAAGTCTGTTTGTGAAATCGGTTTAGGATAAGTGCGCAATTCTCGCTCACATCACTCCAACCACTGACTTCAACAACACATTTCTTTGACTAGTTGTAGTTTCTTGGTTGTTTGCCTGCTTGATGGTTGCTTAAAAAAAAACTCTTTTAGGGACTACCAATCGATTACAACAATGGCTACCTCCTCGCCTCTCAGTGGGTTGGAAAGAATAGCCTACATCAACGATATAGCACACGATGGAGCCGCTTGACTTAAGGCCTAATATTTTCTTGCTTGGTGATGCTACTCTGTCTAACATTCCACTTTTGCTGGAATCTTAGCCTTCTGGGGGTTGGCTATTTTGGTCTGCTACAACTTGGTTTACTCGTCATAAATAAAGCACGTTGCTGTCCAAGTCGCTGGTTGACGATTATGAAGTAAAGTGGAGCCTGCTTTACTTCGTTAGGGATATTACTCCATGTGCATTGCAAGGGTTGCAGTGGCATCTTTATCCTTTTAAGGCCATATAATAACAGTCAACTCTGGTAGAGTGCGTGGAATATCTACCAGTTAAGGCATATGCCAAAAGGGTTAAAGAGGACCGGCAAGCTGATACGGGCAAAGATAGGCGTTGGCAACGAAATAAACTCGAAGATATAGCTCAAATCTTGAGGCCTCCTTTAGTTATTTCCACACGGCGTTTAGAGGATGTGCCCATGGGTGAGCATGCACCCCAGAGCCATGGGTGCTCGCCTTACTTTTAAATGTGCGAGCGCTCATCTTTCGTTCCTTCCTCTTGATGAGACCTCTGGCGGCAGTAGTGTGGTTCTACAAGTGCGCACACATTAAGAACCTTTTTAAGTCATCCCTCTTACTTACTTTTACTAGAAGTTCTTCTTACAACTTACTGTGTCGTCGTCGATGTATCGCTTTCGGTTTCGTCGTCTCGGTTTTCGCTGCTGTGACTAGGTCTAGCATAGTCGACGCTTCAAGTCCTTTCATGACCTTTTTTCATCAAAACAACCCACAACCACACACTCACACTTAGAAGGTACTAAGCCACGATGTTTGCCTCTCGGCGCTCGCCACCTCAGAGGCTTGAGGGAAGTCCTCACTACAATTGCACTCCATAGAAATACTGATCTTAGACAGTCCTACTAGGTTTATCTTATTCTTGTTAATATTTGATAGAAACGTCGTAGTACGCATGTCACGAATCGATCTTTAGGAATCCCTTCATAAGGCCGTGGGAATTCTTCTTGATGAGTTTCTTCAAAAAACAGGGCCAGAACTTTGGATTGCTCTTATTAAAGGCGCTTTCAGACCTCATGATAAATCTACCCGTTTACTCGTTGGATTAAACTACTTAACCTTCTAACTATGATTTCAAAAAAATGTCAATTGAGAAATGTCAAGAGCAAGAATGTCGATGTGTGACTTTTCGCCTGCTGATGCTCTGCAGATTCTGAATATGAATGGACTTTGAACAGTTGTTTTAAAGAAAAAAGGAGTTTGATTTCGGATAAAAATAGAGTACCCACTGCGCGAACGTGTAAACCACTACTACCAAGTGTTTTTTCCATTTCTAGAGAGGACAATGATCGCAAGGTTCCCCATCTTCTTTTCCTTGTAATGGAGACTTTTTTGAATACTTGAGTCGGGGGACGACAGCATCGTCTTCAACTTCTTCTCTTGCTGGTGTGATGGTGATGTGTTGGTTTCATGTGATTGATCGGTTTCATCTGTGTATGATCGGTTTGTGAGTCAGCATCCGTGTATCAGTACTCGAAGTGAGTAGTTGTACATGATGGTGCACGGTTAATAATCAATCAGAGTGTCAATCGGTGATCCATCATCTGTTTTAGTCGCATGATTGGAAAGTTGAAGTGTACTTAGTTGAGAACGAGTGAAGACCCGGGAAGTACCTCAAGAAAGTCGAGGAACCGGATGAAGCAGAATCTGTCTCCGTTCTTGATTTTTGAGTATCTATCTGAGTGTGGCAACTGTTGTCCAGCTGAGAGATTCTCCTCCGCTTCGCCCCGCCCCAGACAACACCGAACTTGACCCCAAATAAGGACACAATTAAAGACGTTCTTCCCCTGGATTGGGTTTACTACTACTTTTTCTGAAGGCCTCCATACACACATTACGATAAAAAAAACCATCATCCTCAAATCAGTGACAGCGATTCCAGACATTTTACTCCCATGCAGGGTGCACAGGTGACCCGGCAAATTGAGCCCGTAGCGCGTGGTGAGTATGAAGGGCGAGAGTTCGGCGGCTGCGGTGGGCATGGGAGGGCGTGGCTTTGCTGGTTTCTTGGAAGGATGGCACGCGATGGGCGTCCACCTGAGAGCGCCAAACACGATCTGCAAAGTCCCAGACCATGGCACTCCTGAGTCCTGTGGACGTTTGGAGGCGATGGCAGACTTCTTCCGGAATTTCTCGGGGAAAATGTCACGAAAGCTGCTGTTTTTATTTTGCGCGAAAGTTGTCACCAATTTCGCTTCGTGATGGTTTTTTTTGATGCACGAGGATCCAGGAAAAAGCTCATCATGGTTTTTTTTATGCACGAGAATCCGCGCACTGCTTGTCTTTTCCAAGCAAAGCAGTGGATTGCTAGTGCGTGGGCCGCTTCATCAAAAGAGCGGCCCAAAAGAAAACCTTCATGGTCATCAAATCCAGAGTTTGGTGGCACGTTTGCTCACCACCTTCTGTTGCGCAAACCTGTCCCCCAATCTCGCGGTATCCGCTCATCGGATCCACAGGAGAACCAGATCCCGAGTCTGAGTCTTCGCGGATCCTTGGTGGCAGCCTTTGGCGGAGACCGCCCGCAAGTCTTCTGAAGACCCATCCAGACCCGTCTTCGCTAGTCCGTCTTGCCGCCAGCAGTTCCCCACCCTTCAGGTGAACTGGTCAGCCCGAGCCAGCTCTTTCAAGTCAGGCAATTTTCCGCGAAAAATTTTCGTTCTTGGTCAGTGTTTTTTTGAGGATGATGGTTTTTTTCTTATCTTAATGACAGACACAGATGACACCCGTCATTCTTATAATAGGTCACTTTCGTTAGAGCTCCTCACTCGATCACTGATGATTTGATTCAACTTAAAGACTTTGGTAGTCCTAATGATGCAGCTGCACAGGATCAGGAAACGAAGTGCTGGGCAGCAGAAATAGTACAAAAGCGTCTTAAAAATAGAAATAAATCTTTGACCTTCCAGCCAAAAACAATAGGAACAATTTAAACATTTGAGAAAGAACTGACTCCGTAGTTGTAAAGCAAGTAGACAGAGACATCTTCTGATAAGACCTAAAAACTTCCACCATTCCCATTAAACTCGTTTTGGATCTCGTCATCCTCATCCCGTTTCCCTGTTGTTGGTATTTACTATTCTGCGTAAGCATCAAAACCATCATTTCGACAAGATGACATCTTCTGGCTCCAGCAGGAATCAAAAAGACAAGAAGTTCATGGACGATGTAAATCTCCTGATAGACACAGAAATAGAACCTCTAGTGAAAAATATTATAGAACAACACAAGGGCAAGCGCATCAGCAACGCAGACGGTAATAGAATATGCTACAGCTAGCGTATTGATGTTTTACTTTATTTTCAAAGGCCATTCAAATTCAATTGAATATTCGGTGTTTCTTTGACGGCTCGGAGCAGCAACTACTCGCAGGTTGTAAAACTATTTCAAACTGAAAAATAGCAAGTCTTTCTTCGGTTGTCGCGATTCGTTCGCTTGCATCTTCCCAGTCGGAATCAATGTTAATGTTTTTTCAACCCCGCGCGCCATAGGTACGTATGCGGATTTTATTTTGGACGTCCAAGAGGAAAAGGAGCGTATGATGAAGGAGAAAAGATATGAGCACTGGCAAACGCTAGTATGGAACGACTACCAAACTGCGCTCACGTTCTCTGTTTTCAGGCCGCCGGGCATCACCCTAAAGGCACAAACACTTCAAGACACCATCAAACCCGAGTGTAAAAGGCAAATATTGCTGTATAACGAGTCGTCGACGTATGGAGCTCGCGGATCTTACTACACGCAACACGGGTGGTCACGGTCAGAAGGAGGCTTGGGACAAAGGTACTTCACATTATGATTTTTGTTCTTTGATTTATGTTTTTCATTCGGCACTACTATCATTTTGTTTTCTTGTAGTTCGCTCTTGTAGAAAGAAAAAGCTCACGATATTGATAGTAATTTTGTTTCTTTGTAATGATTTTTATGTCCTCATAAAATTCAGAAGAACACTCATGATCGTCATCATCGACACGGGAAACATCTCTCATCAACTCCAGCTCCGAGGACGAGCGAAATCAAAGAGACAAGGAGCAGTTCGAGGACGATGTAAATAGCCTGATAGACAACAAAATACAACCTTTAGTGCTGGAAAGTATTAAAGCACAGGGATACCAGGACAAGCACATCAGCAGGAGCGCAGACGGTAATTGAATATAATGCTACAGCTAGCGTATAATTGATGTTTTACTTTATTTTCAAAGGGCATTCAATTGAATATTCGGTGTTTCTTTGACGGCTCGGAGCAGCAACCACTACTACTAGGTGGTAAAGCTATTTCAAACTGAAAATAAATAGCCCGTCTTTCTTCGGTTGTCGCGATTCGTTCGCTTGCATCTTCCCAGTCGGAATCAATGTTAATGTTTTTTCAACCCCGCGCACCATAGGTATGTTGCATTCACCTTTTTTTGGTGACGTCCAAAAGAAAATGCAGGGTATAATGGAGGAGAAAAAATATGGGCACTGGCAAAGGCTAGTATGGAACAGATACCACTCTGCGCTCACGTTCTCTGCTTTCAGGGAGGGCATCACCCTAAACGCACAAACACTTCAAGACACCATCAAACCCGAGTGTCTGAGGCTAATATCGGAGACGAACGAGGCGCCGCTCGGAGTTCGCGCATATTACTACAAGCAACACGGGTGGTCAGGAGGAGGCTTTAACAGGTACTTCACATTATGATTTTTGTTCTTTGATTTATGTTTTTCATTCGGCACTACTATTTTGTTTTCTTGTTCGCTCTTGTAGAAAGAAAAAGCTCACGATATTGATAGTAATTTTGTTTCTTTGTAATATTAAGTTGACTTTCTATTAATTGATTTTTATGTCCTCATAAAATTCAGAAGGACACTCATGATCGTCATCATCGACACGGGAAACAACTCTCATCAACTCCAGCGTCGCTTATCAACCCAGCAGCAGTCTCCTCGAGCATCATGCAACTGCAACTGTGCCCACCTCTCACGCGGCTCTTTCCAACATGCACTTCGAGGCCATGGCTGTCATGCAGATCATGACTACTGCCTTTATTGCCGGTTTGGCATTGGGTTGGTGTCTGCGCCGCCGCTGCGATCATCGCAACCAGGCCTCCAGTGGTGCTCCGGAATTGCCGAAGTACGGCGCCACTGCGGAGGGCCATTGTATGGAAGAGTGCTAGAATGAAACTCCAATATAAGCAAATATTGTTGGAAGCCAGGAGAATAGAAAATGTCTGAGTATTTATTATAGTTCATGTGCAAAAATTCGTTGTTTTTGTGACTATGATTGTATGCTTCAGTTCCGGTACTTGGTAACCTGAAAAATTTGATCATAAGGGAAAACAAGAAGAGAACCCTTGTGATCGAATTCAGGCTACCAAATACCGGAGCCATTCAATGATAGGAGGGCACTCCTTGCTGTATCTGAAGATAATGCTGCAAAAAAGAGGGCTTGGGCTGAAGGTCTTTTTGAAAATACTATTGGCTTACTACGCTGTGCATTGATGTCTGAACTTTCGTAATTATTTTCGCGAGGATTACCAAAATACAACTGGAGTCTCTGCGGAGGAACAACTTCCTATCTCTAAGATTATTATGATTATGCAATGATGTTGAAAAATGTAGTTGAACACGCGCAGGGAAAACATAGTGTTGATCATAATTATCGTGCTTAGCTGAGGCTGGACCCGATAGGCGCCAAAATAACGAATTTCATGTGATATAGAAACACATATTCTAAAACAACGCAAGTAACATCTATTAATTTCTAGTTATTAGAAGTATCCGTGTAATAATTTTGGTGACGCAGCTCGATAGTAACCGGAGGAAGATGATACTAGAAGATTAAGTTTACCATTGATTCGTGTAGAAGTAGATGAAATTAGCGGTCTGCCATGGAAGAGCCCTAGTTGTAGGATGATCTTACTCTGTTGATTATAGGCAATAATTGCCATGTAGCACAAATGAAATGAATACCTCTTTTAATAGAAAGCATAGACAATTTGCTCCTGGACGCAACTGTCGGAGTCCAGGAGCAAACAGTGACGATATAGATCTGTCTGGAGCGGGTGTCCAGCGTGAGACTGCTTGCAGGAATGCGCGTGTGACCCATCCAGAGAGACAATATAAACTTCTGCCAAGTGAGAAAACGAGCGTCCAGCTCATCAAGTTTATGCATTCAGAAACGAGACATTTTTCTCCTAATTAGGTTCTGAAAGATCCGCTGCGCGATTCCTCGAAACCATAACCAACCTTACACAAACACAGCCTCTGTTGAGTGATTTAGTACAGTGATATCTCTGTGACATGAAGAGGACTAAAAGAAAAAGGCTGACCCATGCATGAGGGATATCATGCATAGAGGCTTTCCCCAAGAGTTTTCTCCCCCGTCGCTCGTCCCCCTATCCGTGACAGTGCCCATGTGGCTACGAAGCCCGCATCTCAATTTCCACTTCTCCATAGATCAATAGTTACTCCATTGAGTCTCCATCAAAAAAAATCAGTATATGCAACTTGTTTCTTGTTAATAATTTCAAATAGAAAAAAACATTGATAGCATAGACCCGCACAGTTCATCCTATATTCGCTCTAGTAGCGCAACAGCATGCATTTCATGAGCAAAAGATATTCTGACGAGCTGGAGCGACTAACATAAAGAGTACAACAGAACAAAACTGCCTCCCACACACGCAACATAGCAGCACGCAACGTAGTCATATCGCTGCTCTGTATTCCCAAGTAGAGCCATTTTCTTAGACAAAACTAACTCTCATGTCATGTACTTGTCAAGACTTCCTTTTCTCCACCTTCCTTTTCTCCACCTTCCTTTTCTCCACATACATCTTTTTTCGCTTCACGAGAATTAAGTGCATTCGTGCAGGACGACAGGCCAAACTTATTAGTCACTATATTACTTCGCTTTCCAGATTCATATTCCCAAGTGTATTAAGGTATCAGCAGTAAATAGACATAGCTCATGCATCAAAATGAGCATACTTCCATACTCTAGTATACAGCCTAGTTTATCCGAAGTCTTAAATTTTTTTTTATACACAGCTAGCAAGAGCACATCTTTCTGTTTCGAGCCACTTGTAACTGTTTGGAGGTAAGCAAAGTAATCACATTTCAAGACGGTATACACGATCTGGTCAAGATCGCCATCAATGCTAGTAGGAATGATCAATATGTGGTAGACAAGATACATGCACAGGGGTCGCAACCGTCTCTTCCTAGAATCATCAACACCGTCCGACATATGCCTAGTAGAGCTGTAGTAGACAACAGATTCTCAGCAGTCATCAACATTTTACAAGTCCCTGGCGTATCACGCGCCACCAGTAGAACTCATTATCCTCAACAAAGTTTCGGAACACGTGGCAAATGTGACTACTTGCTGCGCTGGGCTGGTCAACATACAGCCCTCCACAGACTCGGACACGGCGGGCAGCGCAACGAGACAACAAGTTCGACTGAACTGCACTGGTTCTCACAAGGTTTTGCACGGTCCGGGAGGGGCGACGACGCTAGTTCGACCTCACAAAAACACCGCGGAACGCACCGAGGGAGATTTCGTGCGGAGTATGGAAAACATTGTCGAAATTTCATCCAGTGTGTGATGAAAAAGCTATGTTGTGAAGAGTACGACAGTTGAATCCTTTTTATTTTGTTCTTCTATTTCTCTTGAGCTTTCTCGAGATCGTCACCGGAATACGTAAACGCGGACACTTTAACCAGCAGTATAAAATAGAAACGTCGCACGCTCAACAGGATTCTGTACAGTCACATAAGTACTTGTGAACTGTTTCTCTGGTACTAAGTCTTATATATAATTCATTTTTTTTGTTTATTTTATCAGTGACTGTTCCCTGACCTCTCCTACCCCTTAGGGTACTCTCCTTTCTTCCTGTAAACTACTAGTCGGTTGTTTTCTCTATTTCTATACATCTCTTCCTTCCTCTCCTCTTCTCCCTTGTCATCAAGATGAAAATAGTATTAGCGTTGTCATGTAAAGTAGCTCTTCTTCTGGTTTCGTGCCTTTTCCAAAAAAACAACACTTAGGAACAGCAGACAGCTGAAAGCTTCACAACAATCCCAACAAGATCGTTAAATCAATGCCTTACACTCTTTGGCTTTAAAGTTATTTTATCAGTGCCTTAACTTCCTTCAACTGTCTCAATTTACTCACTTGATGTTTTGAATATATTGTTCTTACTTGATGAGTGTGGAAATTCTTCATAGTCTGATGACAGTGCCTAACATGCTCGAAGTGACTCTTTTACCTACTTCAATCTCGTACATACATCAGTCTCTTAATCGATCGCTTACGCATTTTATGTCTTCGATAGCTTTCGCGTCTTGGTCTTGTCTTTATTTGATGTTTCGTCTTACTCTTGTCGCTCGCTTCTCACTCAATTCTGTGGCCATTGTATATTTCTTCGGTTTCTACTTTGATTGGTATCAGAACCCTTCTTTTCTCTACAAGTCTGTTTGTGAAATCGGTTTAGGATAAGTGCGCAATTCTCGCTCACATCACTCCAACCACTGACTTCAACAACACATTTCTTTGACTAGTTGTAGTTTCTTGGTTGTTTGCCTGCTTGATGGTTGCTTAAAAAAAAACTCTTTTAGGGACTACCAATCGATTACAACAATGGCTACCTCCTCGCCTCTCAGTGGGTTGGAAAGAATAGCCTACATCAACGATATAGCACACGATGGAGCCGCTTGACTTAAGGCCTAATATTTTCTTGCTTGGTGATGCTACTCTGTCTAACATTCCACTTTTGCTGGAATCTTAGCCTTCTGGGGGTTGGCTATTTTGGTCTGCTACAACTTGGTTTACTCGTCATAAATAAAGCACGTTGCTGTCCAAGTCGCTGGTTGACGATTATGAAGTAAAGTGGAGCCTGCTTTACTTCGTTAGGGATATTACTCCATGTGCATTGCAAGGGTTGCAGTGGCATCTTTATCCTTTTAAGGCCATATAATAACAGTCAACTCTGGTAGAGTGCGTGGAATATCTACCAGTTAAGGCATATGCCAAAAGGGTTAAAGAGGACCGGCAAGCTGATACGGGCAAAGATAGGCGTTGGCAACGAAATAAACTCGAAGATATAGCTCAAATCTTGAGGCCTCCTTTAGTTATTTCCACACGGCGTTTAGAGGATGTGCCCATGGGTGAGCATGCACCCCAGAGCCATGGGTGCTCGCCTTACTTTTAAATGTGCGAGCGCTCATCTTTCGTTCCTTCCTCTTGATGAGACCTCTGGCGGCAGTAGTGTGGTTCTACAAGTGCGCACACATTAAGAACCTTTTTAAGTCATCCCTCTTACTTACTTTTACTAGAAGTTCTTCTTACAACTTACTGTGTCGTCGTCGATGTATCGCTTTCGGTTTCGTCGTCTCGGTTTTCGCTGCTGTGACTAGGTCTAGCATAGTCGACGCTTCAAGTCCTTTCATGACCTTTTTTCATCAAAACAACCCACAACCACACACTCACACTTAGAAGGTACTAAGCCACGATGTTTGCCTCTCGGCGCTCGCCACCTCAGAGGCTTGAGGGAAGTCCTCACTACAATTGCACTCCATAGAAATACTGATCTTAGACAGTCCTACTAGGTTTATCTTATTCTTGTTAATATTTGATAGAAACGTCGTAGTACGCATGTCACGAATCGATCTTTAGGAATCCCTTCATAAGGCCGTGGGAATTCTTCTTGATGAGTTTCTTCAAAAAACAGGGCCAGAACTTTGGATTGCTCTTATTAAAGGCGCTTTCAGACCTCATGATAAATCTACCCGTTTACTCGTTGGATTAAACTACTTAACCTTCTAACTATGATTTCAAAAAAATGTCAATTGAGAAATGTCAAGAGCAAGAATGTCGATGTGTGACTTTTCGCCTGCTGATGCTCTGCAGATTCTGAATATGAATGGACTTTGAACAGTTGTTTTAAAGAAAAAAGGAGTTTGATTTCGGATAAAAATAGAGTACCCACTGCGCGAACGTGTAAACCACTACTACCAAGTGTTTTTTCCATTTCTAGAGAGGACAATGATCGCAAGGTTCCCCATCTTCTTTTCCTTGTAATGGAGACTTTTTTGAATACTTGAGTCGGGGGACGACAGCATCGTCTTCAACTTCTTCTCTTGCTGGTGTGATGGTGATGTGTTGGTTTCATGTGATTGATCGGTTTCATCTGTGTATGATCGGTTTGTGAGTCAGCATCCGTGTATCAGTACTCGAAGTGAGTAGTTGTACATGATGGTGCACGGTTAATAATCAATCAGAGTGTCAATCGGTGATCCATCATCTGTTTTAGTCGCATGATTGGAAAGTTGAAGTGTACTTAGTTGAGAACGAGTGAAGACCCGGGAAGTACCTCAAGAAAGTCGAGGAACCGGATGAAGCAGAATCTGTCTCCGTTCTTGATTTTTGAGTATCTATCTGAGTGTGGCAACTGTTGTCCAGCTGAGAGATTCTCCTCCGCTTCGCCCCGCCCCAGACAACACCGAACTTGACCCCAAATAAGGACACAATTAAAGACGTTCTTCCCCTGGATTGGGTTTACTACTACTTTTTCTGAAGGCCTCCATACACACATTACGATAAAAAAAACCATCATCCTCAAATCAGTGACAGCGATTCCAGACATTTTACTCCCATGCAGGGTGCACAGGTGACCCGGCAAATTGAGCCCGTAGCGCGTGGTGAGTATGAAGGGCGAGAGTTCGGCGGCTGCGGTGGGCATGGGAGGGCGTGGCTTTGCTGGTTTCTTGGAAGGATGGCACGCGATGGGCGTCCACCTGAGAGCGCCAAACACGATCTGCAAAGTCCCAGACCATGGCACTCCTGAGTCCTGTGGACGTTTGGAGGCGATGGCAGACTTCTTCCGGAATTTCTCGGGGAAAATGTCACGAAAGCTGCTGTTTTTATTTTGCGCGAAAGTTGTCACCAATTTCGCTTCGTGATGGTTTTTTTTGATGCACGAGGATCCAGGAAAAAGCTCATCATGGTTTTTTTTATGCACGAGAATCCGCGCACTGCTTGTCTTTTCCAAGCAAAGCAGTGGATTGCTAGTGCGTGGGCCGCTTCATCAAAAGAGCGGCCCAAAAGAAAACCTTCATGGTCATCAAATCCAGAGTTTGGTGGCACGTTTGCTCACCACCTTCTGTTGCGCAAACCTGTCCCCCAATCTCGCGGTATCCGCTCATCGGATCCACAGGAGAACCAGATCCCGAGTCTGAGTCTTCGCGGATCCTTGGTGGCAGCCTTTGGCGGAGACCGCCCGCAAGTCTTCTGAAGACCCATCCAGACCCGTCTTCGCTAGTCCGTCTTGCCGCCAGCAGTTCCCCACCCTTCAGGTGAACTGGTCAGCCCGAGCCAGCTCTTTCAAGTCAGGCAATTTTCCGCGAAAAATTTTCGTTCTTGGTCAGTGTTTTTTTGAGGATGATGGTTTTTTTCTTATCTTAATGACAGACACAGATGACACCCGTCATTCTTATAATAGGTCACTTTCGTTAGAGCTCCTCACTCGATCACTGATGATTTGATTCAACTTAAAGACTTTGGTAGTCCTAATGATGCAGCTGCACAGGATCAGGAAACGAAGTGCTGGGCAGCAGAAATAGTACAAAAGCGTCTTAAAAATAGAAATAAATCTTTGACCTTCCAGCCAAAAACAATAGGAACAATTTAAACATTTGAGAAAGAACTGACTCCGTAGTTGTAAAGCAAGTAGACAGAGACATCTTCTGATAAGACCTAAAAACTTCCACCATTCCCATTAAACTCGTTTTGGATCTCGTCATCCTCATCCCGTTTCCCTGTTGTTGGTATTTACTATTCTGCGTAAGCATCAAAACCATCATTTCGACAAGATGACATCTTCTGGCTCCAGCAGGAATCAAAAAGACAAGAAGTTCATGGACGATGTAAATCTCCTGATAGACACAGAAATAGAACCTCTAGTGAAAAATATTATAGAACAACACAAGGGCAAGCGCATCAGCAACGCAGACGGTAATAGAATATGCTACAGCTAGCGTATTGATGTTTTACTTTATTTTCAAAGGCCATTCAAATTCAATTGAATATTCGGTGTTTCTTTGACGGCTCGGAGCAGCAACTACTCGCAGGTTGTAAAACTATTTCAAACTGAAAAATAGCAAGTCTTTCTTCGGTTGTCGCGATTCGTTCGCTTGCATCTTCCCAGTCGGAATCAATGTTAATGTTTTTTCAACCCCGCACACCATAGGTACGTATTCGGCTATTCGAAAAGACGTCCAAACGAAAAAGGACGCTATAATGAAGGAGAAAAATTATTTGCTGTGGCACTGGCAAACGAAAGTATGGAACAGCTACCAAGCCGCGCTCTTGGACCACCAGTACATCAGGGCAGCCCTAACCGCAACAACACTTCGAGACACCATCAAACCCGCGTGTATAGAGAGAATAGTGAGATGGAACAACGCGGAAATCGGTGACGGAGCTCGCGCAGCGTACTACAAGCAAAACAAGTGGAGAGACATTCGAAGGTACTTTACATTATGATTTTTGTTCTTTGATTTATGTTTTTCATTTGGCACTACTATTTTGTTTTCTTGTTCGCTCTTGTAGAAAGAAAAAGCTCACGATATTGATAGTGTTAAATCGACAAGTGTTGCCCTAAGGTTGTGACTTCGGTAGTTTCCAAATGTTCGCCTCGATCTCGTTTTCTTCTTCGATATGACTGGAGCCATCGTCTGAACCGATGACAACGAGAGTAATCGCATCTTATGTTCGTAACCTGTAGCGGGATCTTTGTTACGAAGGAGGTGAGAAAGTGGCTTTTTCTGGAAGTTGAGCAAAGTCGAAAGTTCTGTTCGTTTGTTTCCATGCTGAGAAATCTTGCATCATGAAGAATGAGAATGATGGAAAATTCACCATGCGAACTTTGTCAACTTCTTCTGGCTCAAGGCCGCGCAACAATAAAACGATCTTAGCAGCAAATGAAATGCGACTTGAGTCACCCCATGAATTCCCCTTATTGTGTCCTGAACATGGACACACTTATCTTGTGCTCTAGGTCGAGCATGATGTGTTGTTCTTTCTTTTTGTCAGTATCTTTTCTTTCCGTCATGAATCTAGTCGGTCAAAGGGACAGTGATGCGAAATCGGCTCTTATTCGCACCACTATCAACAGTGGTAGCGGAAGAGTTGGCTACGATCCACCGATGACATAGAGTTTAGTTTAAAAATTGTACTTCTAGTCAGTTTCACCAAAGCATCATGATAAAAACAGGAAAAAGCATAAGTTGGCATGAGGAGAAATAGATAGGGTAGAAACAAGATACGTAGAAAGTAGTTTGTAGGTCTTTTGTTTTAGTTGTTTTAGGAAAGGACGGAGGTCTTCCTAGCGGAAACAGCAAAACAAGAATGGGGAGCGGAAAAGGGAGAAAGAATGGAGGCAACAAGAGCTTCCACGATACTCAGAAGGACCTAAATTGGTGGAGGGACTTCGAAGACGAGTTCAATGAATTAAAGAGGCTAAACGGCACGTGGTTGAAATCACTTCTCGAGAGCAACACGTTGCCGGGGAAAGTGGTACCAACCAGGGAGGCCAAAGAGTTCGAACGACGCTTCTGGGCGCTACAGATGGCGAACCCAGACTGGCTTTGGCAGATGCGTTTGATGGGACATACGATTGACGAAATCGAGCACGGCAGACGAGCAAAATCGTCCAGCAAGACGACAAAGGGAGAAAAGCAAAAAGGAAGATCTCTGTCCATAGATAATCCAGTAGGGAAAGGATCGTCTAGCTTTCAGCAGAGCTCATCTTCCTCCTCGGCTTCCTCATCGTACTACAACTCACAAATGATTCATGGAAATTATTTTTCAACTTCCTCTTCGAGCTCTACTGGCAATAGTGGGAATTTGTTCTCGGGTACAAATGAAGAGCAGCAAATCTTTGCTGTAGGAAGTTTCAGTCAAAATAGTAACAATGATCAGTACAGCCAAAACAATGTCCAACGGAGAGGTCGCTCGCCAATAGCGAGTTCGAGCGATCTTGACGAAAGCGGACGTTTGTACGGACGAAGATTGCAATCAAGAGGCGAGGACAGAGCAGGAGATAGAGGAGGCTCGAGCAGCGCTTCCTCATCGACCACATCTTCGAGGGTAGTGGGACCACCACACCTTCCCAGGTTAAACCGGAATCCTGGCACCGTGAACGAAGGTCGAAGTCTGTCGGTTGCAGCAAAGGCGAAAGCACAACCAAAGCAGAGGAGCTCTAGGTCATCGAAAGGAGAATCAAACACGGAAAGGGTGAGACGGCTTGCACGACAGTCAGTGGAGAGGAGAAAAGAAGAGGAAAGCAGAAGGAGAAACGGCCCTAGACCTGCAGCAAGTAGCTCCTCTTCCCAACCGACACCGCGACCAGATACGACTGGACGACCAAAGGAAGGAAACAAGACAAATCACTGTGATTCCAAGAAATTGGAGGAGCAAGTGGTGGAACCAGAAGAAGAAGGTGAACAATCAGATTCGGAATCGCAAGTGCTTGCTGTCCCTAGGCAGCAAAGGAAAAACGGTGGAAAGGGCAGAATTGGGAAAGCACAGCGAAAGAGGATTCGTGAGGAAAAAAGGAAACTACTCGGATACGGTGCGGTAGAAGAATTTCATGAGTATCGAAAACTCAAGAACGCGGAGAAGGTGAAGTTCCTCAAGAAGAAAACAGCTGATAAAGTTCTTGCGGTTGCCTTCTCGCAATATCAGCAGTCGGTAATAGATAAGAAGAAGGAACAAGAGCGGCTGAAAAAGGAGCGCTTGAAGAAGAAGAAAGAAGAGGAACAAACAACGACAGCTGTAGAAAAACAAGAAGAAGGTGAAGAGAGTGAGCCACGACCTGAACCGTCCGAATCATCGGAAGTGGACCCACAAGCACTAGCGGAAGCTGCGAGTGAACTATCTTCATCGGAGGAAAACGGAGTAGAAGAAGATTTTCAAGATTCACCAGCTCAGCGACCAGGAAGAGGATCCGGAGGATCTAGGAGAAGAAGACAGTTTGTTTGGGTTCCGAAGAACAGGACTGAGAAGCCGCAACATCCTACATCATCCTTGAATCAGTCTTCACCATCGACATCGATAGAAGGTCCAGCAGCAGTACACTGCACACAGGGAAGTGCACAGGATACGTCGGAGCCAAGTTCCAGCTCTAGTAGCAGTGGTACGGGAGGAGCGTCGTCTTCCAGTGCAGACACTGTGTCAAACAGAAGACAATCCGCAGGAAACAACGAAGAAGACGAGGAGGAGAAAAAGAAGAAGCGTAAGAAAGAGGAAGCAGAGAAGGAGAAGGAGAGAAAACGCATTGAAGATATCAATCGATATCAATAATAGCGTGACTCTTGAGTCTCAAGCTGCGTCTAGGTAAGGAAAGTTAGAAAGAAAGCACCCTTATAGAAGAAGGAAAGTTAGTTGGTTGTTGTCTCTTCACAATTTTTGTTGTATCCAATGTTTAGAGCTGTAAGTGGTAAAAGTGAAAAAGAAAGGTGATAAGAGTTTTTCCTTGAAGGTTTAGCAAACTAGAAGAAAGCAAAAAGGTTTTTTCCCTGGGTAAACATAAAAAGGTAAGCCTTTTCTCGTGCATTGTTTTTAGGAAAGTTTAAGAACAGAATTTAGAAATGAGTGGTAATACGGGAGGAGGCGTGAATATGAATGATCAAGGTGGTGCAGGAAGTGGAAGTGGAAGAAATTCACTCCCTTTCGATGCCGCCGGGTCAAGTACTCCGTCTCGAGGATTATACTTTAGGAGAAAACAAGAAGGAGGCCTTTCGGTCCATCTTACTCCGGCTCTGACAGACGGCCCTTCTAGGAGAAGGTCACCAAGAAGAACTGCTGATCTAGTGGATCCTGGTAGAATTTCCCCCGGGAACGAATATGGGGATTCACAGATTTATGCAAGGGTAGAAGCCGTCCTACGAAAACTGACCACAGTACAGGGGGCGACCTTAACGGCAGGAATCAACTTTGAGGAAGACATGGAAGAGGCTCCTCTTCAAATGAGGAGCCGGGTGCTTGGTGATGAAAGCTTAATGCAAAAATGGTCTGAGGATGCAGGAGTGGAGATGGCGGCGCTAAGGTCGCAGATTGTAAGTGGAAGGTCTAATGTAGATGACCTTTTCACTACTTTGCTGCAGAACCAGAGGATGGCGGAAGCAGAAAGGACCCAGCGTGATGCCGAAAGAATGTATCAACAGGAGCAAATAGGTCTACTTGCGCGTCGTCTGAGTCAGCAAGAAGAAGAGACTGAGGAAAGGGCGAAGAAGTCGGATTCACTAGTGGAGGCACTGACTCAAAAACTTGACCGGATGGCTGAGGCAAATAGTCGACGTCCTTCACAGGCTTCCGCGGGTAGTCCAGAGCCAGCATCTCCGGAACTTTTGGAGGAAGACCCAGGAAGAAACTTCTACCCTCCAGGGTTGGGAGTTGGACCAGTTTGGAGAAATCCTCCACCAGAGCAGTACTCGCGATACGAACAACAATATCCTGACAACGGATACGATGGATATGCGTATTACCAAGGGCAACATTACGATCCCTATGGAAATGCGCTAGAGTACTCTGCAGAATACGATCAGAATCCAAGAGGAAAGAAAGGCCAAGGAGGAAAGGGGGATGGCAAGTTTTACGGAAAACAAGGAAAGAAGGGGACTGGAGGAAAGGAAAAGGGAACAACGATGCCTAAGTACCAGCCGTACATGTATCGTGCTGATCGACAGGATCCACGAAAGCACACCTATCCGCAGAAGCAGGGTCCCACTATCACTGATGAGGAAGGCCTGATCGCGGTCTTGCCGCCTCTCATGATCCAGTTGGAGACTGAAATGCGGCGGAATGGAGAAGAGATCAATCACTGACAAGAATAGGGCCAAGTTCTCTAGAAGGGATACTGCGTCTGTGTTGAAAAAGTTTTCGGAATTCAGCAATCTCTTGGAGTGGAAGGCGCACATCGAACTGGCAGTAGGAGCAGGAATGTCTCAAGGAGAATGGTTGGCTTTTGTCAATGAGAAAGATGTGGTAAGGTCAATGCTGATCGAGGAGGCACATACAGAAGCTGACCGGGTAGCTATCTACGCGTATGAGATAATCAGCAAAGAGATCAGCGACACGTGGACACTCGGCAACTACTTCTCTGTCTTGTGCAGGATCTGGCCAGAGATGGCATCTACATTCACAAAGGAGATACAGGCATGGTCAGCCCAGGATGGAGGTTGGTTGAAGAAGGATGCTCCTCTTCACTTAGAAGCTGTACGATTTGAGGTAGCGGCCTACAAAGTAGAACTCGATCTGCAGCCGAATACTAACATAAAAAGAATGCTAGTGCTGCGTGAGTTGCTACAGAGGGTGGCGATTACTGGAGAGATGTTGGACGCGATTTCGCAAGAGTCGAACTTGCGCAGTTTTAGACTTCTTTCCTTCCAGGACATCAAACGATACGTAATGCGCCGCCAGAACTTGCGAACAGCAATGGCAATAGCGAACCCGCATGGTAAATCCAAGGTTGGAGCAAAGACTTTGGAAATCGAAGACGAAACTAGTTCTGCCTCCACAGATGTTGTTGCTGCTGCGAATGCTGTCAACGTGAACTACCCCAAGTATGGGCAGAAGAGGAAAATGGGGGCGCGAGCGGTTGGAAGCACTGGTCTGGAGAAAAGACCAGACTCGGAGCGTGTGCAGCGTTTGAAGAAGAAGCTTCCGTGCAACAATTGCGGGCAGATCGGCCATTGGGCTAGGGAGTGTCCGAAACCACCAGGATGCAAGATCTGCGGCTCTTCAGACCATAACTTCAAGGACTGTCCTGATCATGCGACTGCGAAGGAAAGGGTTGATGCGGTTTTCTCGAAGTTCATCCGTGATCAAAGAGGTGGTGGTAAGAAGAAACTCCAGAAGGGAAGAGTCGGCTTCAGGATGCAGTCTCTGGCTCCGGGAACAGAGGACGTCATGGATGAAGTTGTTCTAGTGGAACCATCTTTGGACGACGAAGGTGAGGAGGTGGAAGATGAAGATGGTGGTGACAACAACTCTGGGGAAGATAAGCAAGACGATCCGGAAGATGACGCTCTTGGGCAAGGCGTGATTGCAAATGCAGTCTCGTCACTTTTCCCCTAAGCCTTGGGAAGGCAAGAAACTCATCCCTGGAAAATTTTGCTAGTGAAGAAATTTTGTCATCCATTGAAGTGGACATGATCGTTCACTCAATTATTGTATGCAATCTTTCTGAGGCTTCGGCGCCGATAACTTTGGGAAAGGGTAGAGGAGACTACAGAGAAGAAGCTTTCGACATTGATAGCGGTTTCACTCATTATCTCTTTGCCGGGAGAAGGTGGCTGGAGCGGGCTGCTATGTTCTTCGAGGAGGTGGGAGCACAGCTTCGATGTCAGCGTCTGAATGCCTCGGCTGAGACTGCTGGAGGAACAACAAGACTCTATCTTGCAGTCTGGATGCCGTGGCGAATGTCAGCTAATGGCTTCTGCGGAGTTGCCAAATTGGTGACGGTTGACGACTCGGAGTGGAAATCAGAAGCACCCAAGTTGATTGGACTCTCTTTCCAGGATGAGGAGGGGATAAGCGCGCTGTGCTATAGGGACAGCAGGACCAGGAGGACCTTGGCAAAGTGGGGATCATGGAGTGTCGGCATCACAAACTTTAGGCTACCATGCCCGTTGTTTAGTGGTGTCACTAAAGAACTCCTTGAAAAAGCCAAGAAAGTAGCAAGGGCGGATGGTTCTGTGTTGACTCACCAGATGAGAGATCTGGAAATGGAATTTCAGGAAAGTGTAGGCGAAGTAATCGCAGTTCGTAGCATGATCCAGGCAGAAAAACAAGAGGTAGAACAAGAAGATGTTAAGGCACTTAGTATTATCTCGACGTCAGAAGATCAGAAGTTGGAGGATGAGTTTTGGAACAGCACTTTAGCAGGCAGTACCAAGGAGGAAGAGATGAGGCACATCCACAGGAAGATTTTTGTGGCTGTTACGGTTGTGCCGAGGGTGGAAGAAGATGATGCAAAGGCGTGCAGGCGTGTGGTGAGGAACTTGGATGATTGGCGACAAATCTTTCAGATTGGTCGGAATTTCCATCGAGCTAATTCCTATAAAACAAACTGGCAAAGCTAGGATACCAGCAGAAAAGAAGGAGGTGGATCAGAAAAGGGAGCTTTTCGCACTCAGTGAGTCCGGCGTCAGCTCTATAGTGGTTGACTACCTTTTCAAGGAGCCAGTTCAAGGAGCAGTCAAGCTGGAAGGTTTGAGTTTTCTGAAAATTCCGATCATCGGTAAAAAGGCTAAGGTCGTTGGGCTAGTGGAAAAAGATCTTTCCACAGCTCAAACACGAAGTCTGAATGAGCTGGACAAGTTGCGTATCATCACTATTCGGCGAGGAATGGCACCACCAGCAAACTTCTCGCATAACAATCATGTGCTATTAGAAGTTTCTGTAGAATGTGGCAAGGCAATCGAGCAGGCAGAGCTGGAGACTGGTTCGGAAGTGACGGGCATAGCGCCGGAAGCGATTGAGGCGGTAAAGAAACAGGCAGGGACGGCGCAATTAGTCAAGGAAGCAAAGGCGGCACTCAGTACTAAAGGGAAAAAGGTTGGCATAGTGGGACATGGAGCTAAGAGTGCGGTTGCAATGGGGGAAGTACTTCAGCAGGAGACGCGTCTGTCAGTGGCGAAGAGAGTTTTCCACTTCAACTTGTTAACCATGCTGAGCAGGATTGGAAAAAGGGTAGATATCCGAGGAAGGATTAGACCTTGGGGCGTTCTGAACACTGACCCGTTTCAGTTTTTCCTTGACAGATGGAGTGTGGCTGTGGTAGATGATCCAAGGCAAGGCATGACAAGACAACAGATCATGCTGATCTTTGGACATCTTCAACAGTTCTCTAGAAGTCAGGGATGGCAAGTTAAGCCGCAAGTACTGCGAGACTTTGCAAAGAACAGCTTCCGACGGGTACCGCCACAGGCTTTGGAGAAGGCTATAGAGGCAACATTGCAGTATTCTCTGAGGCACTACAGATCGACATCGGCACCAGGCAGGTTGGCAGTGGGCACGTGGGAAGGAGTGGATCCGTCTGCGGTGGCTTTCTTCGACACCTCGTTTTTGGGTAAGCCGATTCTTGAGGAGTCGCAAGCCTTTTTGAATTATCTGATTCTGGTGACAAGGGAGTCTTTTGGTGTCCATCTGGGTAAGAAGAAGAAGACGGAGGGCACAGAGGAAGAGACAGCGGCAAGTGGTCATCCGATCACTGCTGATGTAATGCATTTTCTTTCCCTGCTTCTACAAACGGGGAAGTTGTCCTATCTACATGTTGCTGACCCGGATCCGGTACATGTTGTCAGGGCGCTGGCACAGTTTCTTCTGGATCTCAAAAGGAGGCTACGGATTGTGACAAGGAACTCACCTCATGCCTTGGGGGCAATGGAGAGAAGAAATCGGACTTGGAAGGAGGTAGTGCGTCGCCTGGTGCTTGATCCTGACTTGCGTGGATTACCGTACAACATCATTTGTATGATTGCGCACTACGTGATCTCAGAAAGGATCAGGTCAGAGAAGGGGTTACAGCCACTACTAGGATCCTTTCCACAAGACCCTGAAGCAGATGCCATGGCAGATTGGGACCCAGAGGCGATCAAGGAAAAGGTGGCAATGACTGCTCAGCATGCCGAAAGAGGACGCTTACATCTAGCTCAGGTTTTACAACATCCGGATCACCAGCAGATGCTGCGCACGTTGCGGGACAGAGCTTTAGAACCGACAAGGGGAAAGATGTATCCGATTGGAGCACCGGTTTCGGCACAGACAAAGCAGGGAGTCTGGGAGGCAGGTGAAGTGCTGTACTACAAGCACGGGAGGTGTCATGTTCGCCTACTAGGGCAGAGGAAAAAGGAAACAGCAGTAAATCTCGAGAATCTAAGAGCGAGGGTAGATACGGAGTATGTGCTGTCCTTGCCAGAGTCTATCGAGGTGCGTGCTTGTGACTTGGATAATTTAGACTCTCTTCTTCAGCAGGCGCGAAGCGGTCAAGAAGTTCATCGTATTGCCGGAAAATATGCCTTCCGAAGTTGTATCGATTGTGGTCAGGTGCGGGCGTTACACCCTAAGGCTGTGGCTGGTCGTTTCACTAGATGTCAAGATCTAAGTGGAGTGATTTGCGGGGACGTCTCTGACAAAGAAGTTTACACTTTGGATGGATGGATACGACCGCGGATGTTGAAGCCAGAGGCGAGAGCAGCTCACTTCAAGAACGAGATGCTTGTGTTGGAGGATTTAGACGAAGGTGACACTTTCCAAGCGAATGATGGCCGGCAGGTTCATTTTAATTTGGAAGATGCAGCTTCCGGAGAAGAACAACCGGAGCAGGAAGAGCAACAGCAACAGGAACAAGAAGCGGATGCTTTGAAGCTGTGCTCAGCCGCTTTGGCAGAAGCTGGGGAAGATGGAGACGATTTTATTGTAGAAGGCATTAGCATCGATGACCTTGGAGACATGACCGCGGCGTTTGCGGCAAAAATTGCGAGTGAAGAAATTCCAGATGAGCTTTGGGAGACTGTTAATCCATCCAGGGAAGAAGAGGATGACATGAGCACAGCCGACATGTGGGTTAGAAAGGCCGCACTTGCCGATGAAGCTGTTACGAGGGAACAGGCCGAGGCTATCCTTAGAAGTGGAAAGGCGGACTACGAAGCTTTCACTCTTTGGTCGGCAAATCGACAGGAGCTATTTCTACCTAAGTTTGGGCAAGGTCATAGTCTGACTAACACAGTATTTGAGAAGTTCAAGGGATGGAATTCGGTATTGGTGCATGATCCTGCTTTCGGAGATTTCATGGAGGTCATTGCGGGAAAAAGGAAGTGGAGTCTTGACGACGTTGCCATTGGATGGGGGAGGGCAGCTAGGCGATTGCATCCGACCAACTGTGCTTCTGAGACAAGAACTGCTTTCACGGTGTACGTAGGAGGAACAGGCAAGGAGGACTCTGTGTTTGCGGAGAGTGTCGAAGCTGCGGAAGCAGCAGGAGGATTGCAGTTTGCTTTACGTTTTGAGTTCTATGCTTTAGATGCCGTCTGCTCGGAAAACCCGGCAGAGAGAATGCTGCATTGGACCAGACCAGGGGCGCAGGCGAGTTTTCGAAAGGTACTCAGAGCTGGGGGCAAGTTAGCGGACCTAGATGCAGAAGCTCCAATTGTCGGAATGGATATACCAGAACACTGCGTGGCGGGCTTAGTCAAGGAACTGGGAGGCCTCCTGGAGCAGAAAACCAAGTCAGGACGACCATGCGTTAAGGTGGCCACAAGCGAGGAGTGGAAGGATGTCTCCAAAGGGAAACATCACTCAGGGCTTGCGCCTTTACCTTCGCGTTTTCTCTGTGATATCAAGAAGGTGTCGCGCGTCTTTTTGATAATAAAACTTCGGTGGGCACCGGGTGGACATGTGCAAAGAAACCAGATCGAGGCGACAACGGAAAGAAGTGAGTATGCTTCACCCACTCTTTCACCGCTAGAGCTCCGTCTTGTGCTTCTTTGCGGTAATTTTTTCCAGGACCCAATCGTCATTATATGTGATCTGCCAAGAGCATTCAACCAGTCAGAAGAGTACGAAACGGCTGAGAGGCCGCGAGTAAAAATCGCCGTACCTTTCAAGAAGCCGGTGAGGGATGTATTGGAGCAAGCTTTAACACGTGTTGGCGACAAGATTGGCAATCGCCTCGATTTTGAGAGTGGTTACATTATGAATGTTCCACAGTGCGGGTTGTTAGAAGCTGCCTTCCGTTTCTGGAAGACGGTCATAAAGATGCACTCCAAAGTTGGGCTGCTAGTGGCTTTTGCATCAAGAGTGGTGTTTCGGTTGTGGAGTCAGGAGAAGTTGGTGGCGGTGATGGGGGAACATGTGGACGATTTTATTGCGATGCTGGAGCGAATTTTCAAGGAGGAGCTGTTGACTCGCATTCGTTCAGTTTTCTCTCTCGACTCGTACATAGTCCTTGGTGAAACTAACGAGACGCTCACAGGAAAACAGTTTAAGTGGGTGGTTGATGGAAAGAAGAAAGGCATCATGGTCACGGTGGAGGATAAGGTGAATGAGCTGAGGGAATTTCTTACTGACGAGGAAGAGGTGGGCAGAAAGAATGAGGATGAGGATCGACTACTGCGTCCGACGGAAGTGGAGAAGATTCAGTCCGTAAGAGGAGCAGCAGGGTGGTGCATCGATCAGCTTCGTTTCGATCAGCTCTACCTTCGCAAGGTGCTGCCCTGGGGAGCAGATGCCAACAAGACGGTGGGGCTCACTAGGAGGTATAACCAAGTGGTGAGTAGACTTAAAGAGTTTCCATCACTGGGCCTCTATATGCCTCAAGACCTGGGTACAGACCTGGCGTGGTTGGCTCTATCTGACTCGTCAATGCAGAGCAGACCTTTCAAAGTTAAGGGTGAGAAGAACGGCAAGAAGCCTAAAAACGCGGGCGCGTGTGTGGTGGTGGATAATTCCAACCAGGAAGAGATGGAAGCGGCTGTGAAAGAGTCGCTCCAGCCTCTTAATGGGTGCATCTTGGTCGTTTGCAGCTGGTCACAGTTGGTTAGAGCTTCGGAAAGCAAAGAAGACATCGAAATTGGGATTGTGGATGCTAAATTGAGCTCTGGTGATGCGATGTACGGTTCTTCGTTTGGGAATGAGCTCGATTCGTATGTGGGAGGAGTGCACCGAACTGAGACAGCAAGGGAAAAGTTGGCTGACATCATTACGAAGCGCCCTTTGTTGGAACAGGAAAGCACTGCGCTGAAGACAGGGGAAAAGGCCAAGCTAGCTGAAGTGGAGGAGTTGCTGGATGGCAAGCCAGGCACTTTCGCACGAGTGCTAGATGCCCCAGTTTTTGATCTACTGGATAATAGTGGAGCAATCTCACGGATAATCTCTAGGACACCGATGAACGAAGGAAACATCTGGCTGCTCAAGATTCTACTCCGTGCGCGGAAAATGTACACGGTGTTTCCCAGGAAGTTAATCCACATCACCGACCGGATCATGATGACGGACATTATCACTAAGTATTTCTCCAATAAGCATGAGAAAATGGATCGATTCCGTGGCTTCATGCAGGGGAAACTTAAGTGGTACTCTCCTGGAGATAAAAGATCACAGGGTGGATTGGGTATGCTGCGGGGTAATCAGGCAGAAACGGAGGCCGTGCGACCAGACGGCCAGCAAGTGGCGGATGTTCGAGATAAGACAGTGCTAGAAGGCATCGAGGAAAAGGCTACAAGGAAGTGAAGGGTGTGACTGTGAAGGGAGGAAGTTTTCTGGAAAAAGAGCAAGTATGATCCTAACCCGAAGAGACACTCTTTCTAAGTTTCTACGAAGTTAGTGTTCGCAGACGTAGAGAATCTTTCATTCTGTTGATATTCGGCATTCTTTTCAAGACTAGAAGTAAAAAAGTTTTTAAACAACTCACAGTATGTCACTTTGAAACCATAAGAAGGACTTTCTTCATGACGTGAAATAAGAAGAGAAGCAAACTGATAAGGACAAGTTTTGAAGTCAAGTTGTAAAATTACTTCACCAAAACAGGAAAAGGAAGGTAGTATGTAAGCAAGAAGGTAGTCTTTGTTTTCTGTAAAAGAAAGCTCAGGTAGGTTTTTACTTTTCGGAATATAGTCTAAATTCTCGTTAGAAGTTCTAGGTTAGAACTGGGTAACTGCGAGGAACACTGGGTAGGTGTTCGGGTGAAGGGTTTTCTATTTCTGGTTGAAATAATAGGTTCTAAGGTTGTGAACTCGAGGTGAGTGATCCGTTTTTTGAAGAAGCAGTATAGTTCTGGTGAACACGGTTAGGTTCTGCTTAAGGTTGACATAGGTAAAAAACAAGTCAAACGACAACAGTAGTTTTGAGTGAAGTAAATCATATTTTTGGGAATCTTGGCTAAGTGTAAGAGTAGCAAGTTTGTCGTGATGGAGAGTTTATTTTGCGCGTAGGACCTTAATAAGGATGTAAAATAGTTTCACTTAGTAAAAGGTAGTGGTAAGAGAAAAAGGATAATTAAAGATAACAAGGAAAAGGGTGCGGCGCAGGATAGCGGTTTCTCTGCGTGTGGTTGTCAGGTGGTGACTTTGGCTGTCATGAAGAAAGAGACGAACGTTGCGCGTTTAGTGCACTACATTTTGGTATCTACCAAAACTTCAACCGGGGGTCACTGTTAAATCGACAAGTGTTGCCCTAAGGTTGTGACTTCGGTAGTTTCCAAATGTTCGTCTCGATCTCGTTTTCTTCTTCGATATGACTGGAGCCATCGTCTGAACCGATGACAACGAGAGTAATCGCATCTTGTGTTCGTAACCTGTAGCGGGATCTTTGTTTCGAAGGAGGTGAGAAAGTGGCTTTTTCTGGAAGTTGAGCAAAGTCGAAAGTTCTGTTCGTTTGTTTCCATGCTGAGAAATCTTGCATCATGAAGAATGAGAATGATGGAAAATTCACCATGCGAACTTTGTCAACTTCTTCTGGCTCAAGGCCGCGCAACAATAAAACGATCTTAGCAGCAAATGAAATGCGACTTGAGTCACCCCATGAATTCCCCTTATTGTGTCCTGAACATGGACACACTTATCTTGTGCTCTAGGTCGAGCATGATGTGTTGTTCTTTCTTTTTGTCAGTATCTTTTCTTTCCGTCATGAATCTAGTCGGTCAAAGGGACAGTGATGCGAAATCGGCTCTTATTCGCACCACTATCAACAATAGTAATTTTGTTATTGTTCTTTCTTTGTATAATATTAAGTTGACTTTCTATTAATTGATTTTGATGTCCCCATAAAATTCAGAAGAACACTCATGATCGTCATCATCGACACGGGAAACAACTCTCATCAACTCCAGCGTCGCTTATCCAAAAAGCGGCAGTCTCCTCGAGCATCATGGAACTGCAACTGTGCCCACCTCTCACGCGGCTCTTTCCAATATGCACTTCGAGGCCATGGCCGTCATCCAGATCATGACTACTGCGTTTATTGCCGGTTTGGCATTGGGTTGGTGTCTGCGCCGCCGCTGCGATCATCGCAACCAGGCCTCCAGTGGTGCTCCGGAATTGCCGAAGTACGGCGCCACTGCTGAGGGCCATGGTATGGAAGAGTGCTAGAATGAAACTCCAATATCTCAGCAAATATTGTTGGAAGCTAGGAGATTAGAAAATGTCTGAGTATTTATTATAGTTCATGTGCAAAAATTCGTTGTTTTTGTGACTATGATTGTATTCTTCCGGTACTTGGTAACCTGAAAAATTTGATCATAAGGGAAAACAAGAAGAGAACCCTTGCGATCGAATTCAGGCTACCAAATACCGGAGCCATTAAATGATAGGAGGGCACTCCTTGCTGTATCTGAAGATAATGCTGCAAAAAAGAGGGCTTGGGCTGAAGGTCTTTTTGAAAGTAAATACTATTGTCTTACTACGCTGTGCATTGATGTTTGAACTTTCGCAATTATTTTCGCGAGGATTACCAAAATACAACTGGAGTCTCTGCGGAGGAACAACTTCCTATCTCTAAGATCATTATGATTATGCAACGATGTTGAAAAATGTAGTAGTTGAACACGCGCAGGGAAAACATAGTGTTGATCATACATTATCGTGCCTAGCTGAGGCTGGACCCGATAGGGGCAAAATAATGAATTTCATGTGATAGAGAAACGCATATTCTAAAACAACGCAAGTAACATCTATTTCTAGTTATTGGAAGTGTCCGTGTAGTTTTGGTGAGGCAGCTCGATAGTAACCGGAGGAAGGTGATACTAGAAGATTAAGTTTACCATTGATTCGTGTAGAAGCAGATGGAATTAGCATTCTGCTCAACTTCCAAAAATGTAGTAGCATGAGTTTTAGACCCGCCCACTCATAGAATCAGATTCCTAGAAAAGAGAATGAGAAGTCGTGGAGTTTACAACGAGGCACCTACTAGAGCAACCCAACGGACCCAACCTCCCGACCGAACCTATCCCCAGCGAATGTCTGTCCTTGTCTCAGTCGCATTCTGACAGATTTGTGCACAAAATTTAGACGTCGGGATTGCAAGTTGAAGATTGCCGATCATGGCTCCACTTCTCGCTGAACCTCCGTGCAGTATAACAGGAAGCAACTACCATCTACTTTTCGACATAAAAATTGTTCGAAAAAATGAACGCAAAAAATTTCTACTCTGTTTGAGTAGGTTGTGACCAAGAAACGCGTGGCAAGTCCTTACAGTGCTTCTTCGTTTGTTCGAGCATGCTGCCTGGGGAATGTGATGGCTTGATTGTGGAGCTGCGAAGGGAAGTACTCTATTTTTTTAAGATACTTTAAAAATCGCGCCACCCGCTCTGCCTTTAATGTGAACACTGGAGGACACTCAGTGGGCCCTCAAGGTGAACACTAAGGGACCCACGTGACGCCTTTGTTTAATGTGAACACCGAAGCACCCTTAAGGCGCCCTGCGTGTGAACACTAGCGGACCCTTCAGGCGCCTTCACGGTGAGCAGTAAAATACACCAAAAACCGCGCTACACGCTCCGCCTTCAATGCGAACACTCAAAGACCCGCAAGGCGCAACAACAACCACAACAACAAGGGACCAGCGAGGACTCACCCCCGGCGAAGGGGGTACCGTACTGATTACATTCATACGGGCTGGCAATTGGGTTTATTCACTAGTGCCCAGCCGTCCTCCTGTCCAGCTTGTCCCTGCTTGTGTCCGGCTGTCTTGCTGTCGGGCTGTCTTTCTGTTCAGCTGTCTTACCGAGTGCCCAGCTGTCTTCGTGCGGCTGACATGAGCGGCCCGCCCCGGGAAAGCGTAAAAAAGCGACCCGCAAGAGAGAGGGAGAGAAAGGGGACAGACCAAAAAGCGACACGCCCCAGGGAGGCGCAAGAAGCGGCCCGCAATAGAGAGGGGCAGCTTGAAACCTTTTGACGCAATCGGGAAGGGCTGCAACCTCGCCGAGGTTTTTTACATTGTGAAGCGCTTCCAGTTTTGACGACCTCGCCAGGAAGAAGCATTGAGGTGTTCGCTGGATTAAAAAGCTAAGTACCCCTTTTCCCCTTGGCAAATCAGGAGGACATGCCTGGGCAGTTTTCGCTCCTAAGTTTCTGCTAAAATTCTTCTAATTTTGCAGGAGTTCCGTGTGGTGCTGTGAGTTTGGTCGGCTGCTTGTGGTGGTGATAGTTTTTCCTGTGTGGTGGGCTTAGTCGTGTGATGGTGGGGGACATGCGGGCTTTCCGTGGCCTTGCGGTGGTGTCGGTCGGGTGTCTCCTACTCAGAAGGCCTGGGCCGGCTTGGCGGCTGTCAGCTTGGCGCCGTGCTCGGGTGTGTTCGGGGGTTCTAATTTTTTTGCTAAAATTCATGCTAGTAATCTGGGGCGCTAAAAATCATGCTCATTCTGCATGCTAATTCAGCGCCTCTAATTCGGCGGGATTTCTTGCTGGGATGTCTTTCATATTTTCTTACTCCAAAAATTAAATTGTAGTGCTAGTCTGTAACTCTAATTGTCTTGGGGGGGTCTCGAGACCCCTCTATTAAAATTCCTCTTTCTAAGTAATTCTGTTGGTCATGTATGGTTCAAGCCTCTCGGATGTCGTGGCGTTCTGTTCTCAGTGGCTCACACAAAGCCGCGCGCTCGACTGTCATCGGGATGATCTCACAAGACACGAATGTCAATGATCATGAATGCTACTCCCAATGCACATTCAACGCATGATCATAATGATCAAGGCGTAGACTAGGTACGGTTGTGCTGATCCTAGTCGTATGATGCGTGTTCAGTCCGATCCCTTCTGACGTGCATACGTGTTGATGTGTGATTCATCTCACCCAATGAACCAGACAGGGACTACACCAGCCAGAGATCGCAAGTCTCAGGCAGGAGTATCAAGATTCTGACTCTGTTTCTCCACTGAGAAACGAACCAAGGCGCGGAGGCCTGTGTTCTTGCGGTTCAACAAATTCGCTACTCGAGTTCGGTATTCTAATTTTGCACCCCAAAAGTCTGCGCGTTTTTGCGCATATTGGGGGGTTGCGAATTAGAGTGCCATATTAGAGTAACGAATTAGAGGAATTTTAGAGGGGTTTCGAGGAACCCCAAAAACCAAATTGGCGTAATAGATTAGCGACTTTCTGAACGGGCTCCCCGCGGTGCATTCCGCCGGCTTCTGCTAAATTAGCAAACATTTTAGCGCCCGGATTAGAGTGGTCTCGGGTGGAGGGATAGCTGCGCGGGAGGGCCGTCTGCCGTGTATGATTCGCGCTGGCTGTGTTCTTTTATTGGGTCGCCGGGTTTTGCAGGGTCTGCGCAGGGGTAGGGCTGTGGTGTCTGCACTTACGGGCAGCCCGTTGCTCGGCTGGTCGTCGTGTTTTTGGAGGTGCGGCCGGCGGGTTGTATTGCGTAGGGTTGGCCAGGGGGTGTCGTTAGCAGTGTCGCGGGTGCTTCTGAGGTGGTTGCGTCCGGGAAAATTAGCAGAATTTTAGCGACGTTTTAAAGGATTAGGGTGGCGGGGGTTGTCCCCCTGAGGCAAACTAACGGTGCAAGAACATAACCAGAGGCCGCCTTGTTCTAGGCGTTAGCTTGACACTCGACGTGGAGCGCCTTTCTCAGCCATGTAGGCTCTTGCGTGGCGACTTGGTTGCTTGGTCGTTTGGTCACCAATCGGCGGAGGGCGTGCAGCGTGAACGAAGTGAAGACTCCCTTGGGATGGACGTACAGCTGAAGTGACGACTTTCGGGGGCTGACACTGTCCTCTTCCTTGTCGATTGGTCTGCTTCTTTGTCCATCGGTCCGCCCCTTTGTCCCTCGGTCGAGTCTGCTTCTTTGCCCATCGGTCTCCCCCTTTGTCTCTGAGCAGGTCTGGGCCCGCCTGTCTCCTGTGTCTTCGGTGTCTGCTCCCTCGGTGCTCGGTGTCCCTCTGTCCTCGGTGTCACTCTGGCTTCGTCCTCGGTGTCACTCTGTCTTCGGTGTCTCTCTGTCCTCGCTTGGTCTCTCTGTCCTCGCTCGGTCTCTCTGTCTTCGCTTGGTCCCTGTGTCCTCGCTTGGTCCCTCTGTCCTCGCTTGGTCCCTCTGTCTTCGCTTGGTTCCTCGGTCCTCGCTTGGTCCCTCTGGCTCTGTCTTCCGTGTCCCTCTGTTCTCGGTGTCCCTCTGTCCTCGGTGTCACTCTGTCTTCGGTGTGTGTGTGTCTGTGTGTGTGTGTCTGTGTGTGTGTGTCTGTGTGTGTGTGTCTGTGTGTGTGTGTCTGTGTGTCTGTCTGTGTGTGTCTGTGTGTGTGTCTATGTGTGTGTGTGTCTATGTGTGTGTGGTGTGTGTGTCTGGGGTTGGCTGTGGCTCTGTGGCTGTGTGTGTTTGGTTTTGTGTGGCTGGGTGTGTTTCGTATTCGTTGGCGCCGTGGTAGTAGAGGAGGTCGTGGGCAGCGAGGCTGCCATTGGCCGCAGTGAAGACAATCCAAGTTCTTAGACTCGGCGAAAGCGCGTGCAGAACGATTGAGGCAGCAGTGGGAAGAGGAAACAGGTCTCCTAGCAGAGGGCGCGATCTATCAGTCTGCAATGAAAGCGGGCGCCACGACATGGGCGACTGAAAAAACCCGGGCTGGTCGCTTGGCGCGTGCGCGGGCGGTACTGGGAGCAGTGGCGCAAAAGCGGATGAGATGGCGCCAAACGAAGAAGGGCCTTCGGCTTCTTTGCCGCGCGGGGCTGGTCCTCAACATACAGCCCTCCACAGACTCGGACACGGCGGGCAGAAAAAACGAGACAACAAGTTCGACTGAACTGCACTGGTTCTCACAACGTTTTGCACGGTCCGGGAGGGGCGACGACGCTAGTTCGACCTCACAAAAACACCGCGGAACAAACCTTCATTTTATTTTGTTCGTCTAAGTCTCTTGAGCTTTCTCGAGATCGTCACTGGAATACGTAAACGCTGACACTTTAACCAGGTCGACGTGGAGGTCTTTGGCTTTCTCGTTTTACTATAAGTAACTTTTCCTCGTCAAAAACAGTACTAACATTTTCGTATCATGCGGCGCATGCTGAGTTGTAGATCGATGCAGTAGATCTCCACATCACAACAACTTCAGTCGCTCGACTTCGAGGAATTTGACAAATTTAAGCAGTCTGGGAATGACAGTGGGCACTGCGGTCGTGGCGACGGTGTTGATCGTCCCGCAATATAAAAAGCGTTTTCTTTCTTCACTTCGAAGTCTCTCTCTTTATTGAGTCACCCTGACCACTGTTGGACGTCTAGCATTAACTGTGACTCTTGAAATGCCTCAATAACGTTAGGAGGACGTAAAAAGAGGTTACATCATGACATGACATGTAGTCAAGTATTAATACTACGTTGGTTTGCATTTAAAGATGATTGAATTGAAGATAGTTTGGAGAGAGATGATGATGAAAGACGATAAGCAAGGGTGGAACAGACACAAGATCTTCTAGATCAAAAGGTGAGTAGAAACAGAAATGAAGTCAAGTAATTATGTTGCTTGTGAGAGTATCTTTTTTATTTTTATCTCCTCTGAAGATAACTCGACGCAAATTCAGTATCTCTATCTGTGATAGACACGCGGAGATGAAAACTTGATGTCATCTGTCATGAGGAGTGGCTGGTGTGAGAGTCGAGTGGTAGTTGCATTTGTATGTCACATGATTTTTGTCTGTTGAGGATGAGTCTGTAGTTGCGAGGACGAACATGTACCATTAGTTGTTAAATGAAACAGTTTCAATGAGGTGGAGTAAGCATCGCCATCGCGACGAAACACTATGACACCGCGCGGCAGTCTGCGCTGAATTCTGTGCGAGACTAATTGCATTGTCTTTATATGAGACAGTCAGTCCTCTGACCTGTAGTTGTGATCTGCATTAGAAAGGGAAAGTGGAATGAAGCTAGCACCAAAGATTTCCTCAAAAACGCTGTACCAATTATACGCTGATAATTTTCGAACTTATAACAGTTCTTCCCTTGCCTCAGCTTATCCTGTCTTTATCCCCCACCCAAAAAATGTAATTGTCGATCTCGTCAGACTCGCACTAGACGAGGGACGAATCTTCACAGTAGTTTCTTGTGTTTGTATTAGTTTTTGATGAACTCTAGCCCCTTGCAATATTTAATGATAAAAGAGTCAAATTTGAGTATGTTGTCAGCTTCACCATGCATTAGTAAAGCTAGCGGGAAACCGAAACATTCTTTTGTGATTTTGAGAAACGATGTCGGCAACTCCTGAGCAAGAGGCAAAGGCGGAAGCAGAGAAGCGCCGTCTCGAGGAAGCAGCAGAAAAACAGCGTCAGGAGCTCGAGGCTGAAGAGAAACGCCGCAAAGAAGCACTAGACGCTGAGGAGAAAAGCCGCAAAGAAGCACTAGACGCTGAGGAAAAGGCTCGCAAGGAGGCACTGGAGGCTGAAGAAAAACGTGTCAAGGCAGCACTAGAGGCTGAGGAGAAGAGCCGCAAGGAGGCACTAGAGGCTGAGGAGAAACGCCGCAAAGAAGAGCAAGAGGCGGAAGATAAGCGTCGAAAAGAAGAGCAAGAGGCCGAAGATAAGCGTCGGAAAGAGCAGCAAGAGGAAGAAGACCGAGTGCGCAAGGAGGCACTAGAGGAAGAAGAGAGACGGCGGAAGGAGGCACTAGAGGAGGAAGAGAGACGGCGGAAGGAGACCTTACAGGAAGAGGACAAACGCCGCAGGGAGGAGCAGGCAGCCGAAGATCAACGCCGAAAGGAGGAGCAGGAAGCCGAAGATAAACGCCGAGAGGAAGAGCGACTGCGCAAGGAGGAGGAGGAGCGGCAGCGGAAGGAAGAGGAGAAGAGGCAGCAAGAGGAGGCCGAAGAAAAGCGTCGGCAAGAGGAGGCTGAGGAAAAACGAAGGCAAGAAGAGGCTGAAGCGCAGCGGCGACTCGCCGAGCAAAAGGAGCTTGAAGAGCAGAGTGGCGCTGCTACCAAAATACAAAGCCGCCAGCGCGCTAAGCAGGCTCGAAAAGAGGTAGACCAAAAGCGCGCTGACAGAGACGAAAAAATCAGAGTGCAAAAAGAGTTTGAAGAGCAAACAGACGCTGCTACGAAAATCCAAAGTCGACAACGCGCTAAGCAGGCTCGAGCAGAGGTCGACCAAAAGCGCGCCGAGAGGGACGAACAGCGACGACTCGCTGAGCAAAAAGAGTTTGAAGAGCAGACTGGCGCCGCGACGAAGATCCAAAGCCGACAACGCGCTAAGCAGGCTCGAGCAGAGGTCGACCAAAAGCGCGCCGAGAGGGACAAAAAGCGACGACTCGCCGAGCAAAAAGAATTTGAAGAGCAAACAGACGCTGCTACTAAGATCCAAAGCCGACGACGCGCTAAGCAGGCTCGAGCAGAAGTTGATCAGAAGCGCGCCGAGCGGGCCGAGAAACTGCGACTTGAAGCCGAGCAAAAAGAGTTTGAAGAGCAGACTGGCGCCGCGACGAAGATCCAAAGCCGCCAGCGCGCTAAACAGGCTCGAGCTGAAGTTGATCAAAAGCGCGCTGCTAGGGATCAGCGACTCGCCGAAGAGAAGGAGCTCGCAGACCAAACGGGTGCTGCTACCAGGATCCAAAGTCGGTATCGCGGCAAAAAGGCCCGCATCGAGGTCGAAGAAATGCAGGCCGACCGAGCAGTGGAGCTCCATGAGCGCCGCGTCGAGTTGATCGAGAGGGAGAAGTACCTGATGGAGGTCGAACAGATGAGGGACATCCAGAAGCGGCGCATCGAGTTGGAACATCTCGAGTGGGAGTACGCACGCATGACCGCACTGGAGATCCGAGAACGCGAATTGGCTGGAATCCAAATTCAGAGGCACGCGCGTGGACGGCAATCCCGACAGCAAACGGAGAACATGCTCATTGCAAAAATCGAGGCAGAGGAGGAGGAAAGAGCAGCCCTCTCTCTCCAAAAGCAAGCAAGAGGACGCATCTCTCGCAAGAAGACGAATCCTGAGCTGGCTAAGAAAGCCGAAGCCCGAAAGAAAAAAGCAGCTGGAGAAGGTGAAGAAGCCTTTATTGCGCCAGTCGTAGACGAAGGCGGAGATGCAGCCAACGCTTCTTTGCGCGCTTTGCTAGCTACCTCTGAGGGCGCGGATGTGGTGGACCGTGAGGGGGACGCTTCGGCTGACGACAAGGAGGAGGCTTGGGCCTTGTTCTCAGGACGTAGTGCGTTTGAAGGCGTCTTCGAAGCGGTGATCACCTCTGCACGAGAGCTCTTGCTCTTTGCGCCAGACAAAGGAGGCTTGCAAGCGAAGTTTGCAATCGAAAAGCCCAAAATCGGAAATGTAAACACACGAGGCTTGGACAACTTGCGAGACCCAGATAGTCTGCCAGTATTGCGAAAGCAGCCTGCACGTGCACAGGGAGACCAAAATGACTCTCTTTTGGAATCATGGTCTCCCACAGCATTATTTGGAGGTGCGATGAACTATGGTACTAGCGTGGACGCCTCACCTGCACCGCCTGGTGAAGAGGGTGGAGATCAAGCAGGAGATCAACTACAAATAGGAACTTCTACTACGGCAAGAACAGCAACAGCTACTGGCGACATACAGAAGATGATAGGTGATCGTCGCAGGAGTGCGAAACTTGCACGTTTGGAGAAGGGTGCTGCATTGCCAGGACGCACGTCTCACGACTGTGCCTCCGATGACACTGTTTTTGCTTGGCAAGTACATGGCGGTAATGGTATTGCTGCCGAACAAGTAGATGTTGATGTGGATCCTATATTAGGAACTGCTAGTCGCACTTCTTCTGCATCCCTAGAGTCGCCGGGTGCAAAACGCAAGAACAAGAACCGGGGTCCGATGAAGAGGGAAGGCTCCGCCATTCGCGGAGACGACGAGCCAGTGCGCGTGGGATTGTCGATTGTACGAGGCCAGGTACAGTTCCGGAAAAACCAAGAGCGACATCGGGAGTCGCTGGAACAAGAAAAACGACTGGAAAGGCGGAAGTTGGACGCGGTACACCGCATTCAGAACCGCTGGCGCTCTGCCTTGCAAGCCATTCGAGAGGCGAAAGCAGCCCAAGAAGAGGAGGAACCCCCGCCGCGAAGAAGCTGCTTCTGTTGCTGTGGAGGCAGCGCTGCTCCTAGAAAAAAGAAAGCTAAAAATAAAGAAGACGGAAGTGACAAAGACCTTGACGGAGCTCCTGCTGCAAAAGGAGGCTATAAGATTGATCCACACAAGGAGATGTTCGCTCGGGTATCGATGGGAGCTATCCGAAACGCTCTGAAGGAGAAAAACGCGCAAGGACCGACAATAGTGTCGCCACGAGGGGCGCGAACTGAAGTGCCAGGGCATTCCTCAGCCAACTCTCCTCTCACAACTTCAGCTGCCGCAGAGCCTGCTGAGGTCTATCTAGATGTGCTGCAGGAGGTTGCTGGTGGTGCTACTACTGCCGGCGCCCCTAATGAGGCACAAACCGCCGAGCAAGACGCTGAAGAGAAGGATGAGAAGAACAAGGATGGCACTGCTGCAGGTGCTGCAGAAGACGCCACCACAACAAAAGAGCCGAAGAAGGGAAGTGAGGGTGAGAAGGGAGGCGAGACGACTGTGGAGAAAGGTGAAGACCCTTCTGCTACGGATGACAAGAAGACCGATCTTGGTAAGAAAAATGAAGATCAAGAGCAAGATGCTACAACGGAAAAGAAGGACTCATCATCTAAGACTGGTGCTGCAAGGGACGAAAAGGAAGCAGATTCCCTCTCCTCTAAAGCCCCAGCAGACAAAACCAATCCGCAATCAAAAGATGAGGATAAAGGTAAAGGAGAAGCAGCTCCTGCAAAGCCTTCAGAAGAGAACAGGAATGCTTCCTCTACTGCGGATGCCGCAGCAACAGCGGCTTCTCCGTCTGATGAGCCAGGAGAACGGCGAATGTCGACCACCAGTACAAACAGGAAACGTCTGCTGGGATCGACGGCAGGAGTTCCCACTGAGGGCAGTCATGCGGCGCAAGAACCATCTAGTTGTAGGAGATCAAGTGTCTTGAGAAGCCGGCTTTTTCGTTTTTCGTCAATGTCTAAGCCTTTGAATTGGCTACACAAGAAATGAAAAAGAATGTTGTTGTAGTAAAAAGATACCTGAAAAGTACTATAATTCGCATGATCATACATGGTACTATGTGAACAAGATGAGCTAGCAGAATTGATGTCAACTACTTTCAGATAAGCCGCGTGGTATGAAAGACGGCGTTTATCATGCGAATTCTCCTCGAGACTGGATCGCTGTGATTCTGCGTGTCGTGTTCTCAGTCTGGATATTAATCAGTCTCGATCCAACAACTTCTACCTGTTTTATTTCTCCTCCACTGATGTGAAAGCGTTGTGTACTAGTGAAGATAGGTAGTCTGCTCCTGCAGCGTCTCCGTCATCATTGTTAGGTGGTGAAGCAGAGATAGGCGACTTTCACATGACTTCCTCGCCGAGCCAGCCACATTTCTCCAAAGGCAAATGTGCCAATATTTGAGCCTAATTGTTCCCTCAGACCCAAAAAGTCTCTGCGTACTTACCTGTTTTTCCATTGTAACAACAACGAAACCTCACCCCATAGTTTTTCTTGCGCACGCGTTTTTACCTAGTATTTTCTCAAGTTGCTACTTGAGCATGCTATTATTTCATCTACAGTTCTTAGTCTTAGCAAGAAGCCCGAGGGTTGTAGTACCAAAAAATCGTAAGGAGTCGTAGCGCCGTCATCTTCTTCCAAGGGAAAGGTAAGTCACAACTAACTACTATAGCAAAAAAGATGGACTCGTCTTCACAACCACAAGAGACTATGCAAGAGACTCAAAATTATGGGTCTCCCAACAAGGAGACATCAACTTCAGCTGGAACTGCATGCCTGCGACGCGATGCACGACGGCGTTTGGTGTCAGGGGTCTACGTCTTATTGGCAGTGTTGTATGCTGTGGTTTCCGTGGCTTCTCAAAGTCGGAGTTTACGAGTCCTCTGCGCCGTATTGTCTTATGATGCTTGTGTCTTGGCGATGGGAGGCATTTTTGTCAGGTGGCGCGCGCTGCTGGAGTTTCTAGGTCGGGTCCGGTTTTTCGTGGATGCTTTGGTTATGAACAATCTTACTCTTTGTATCTATTTAGCTCCTACATACTAGAGATGTAGAACGAGTTTCATCTTCTAGTAGTGTGGTGGTTTTGGATCAACATCTTTCAATTTTAATTTTCTTGGCTACTAGCAGCTGTTGATTTGTTGTTGTGATTACCTGCTTCTTACACTTGTTGGTCTCCATCAAAAGGGATCTTCGTCATCATTTTCTTGGTGAAGAGCACGATCCGTCGTTGCAGTCCTTCGTGCAGCTTCTAATTTGACATGGCCTTATTTTCTGTCGTTCGCGATAGCGGTGTCCGGGAAGTGCGGTTTTTTGTCCTATTTCTCCGTCGTCAGTTGGGAGATGACGCTTGGTGGTCTCTTCTATTATGAGTTTACATGATTGTCTAATCCTAATGCATGGTTCTGCTTCTGAGTCCTTGCATTCTTGTTCCGTTCCGACGTATAGTACAAGAACCAATGTAGCAAACAACGACTAGTAACTACGTTAACCTTACAATATCTGTTACAAATTATAGACCAACCACGCTAACATAATTAACAACGTGAGCCTTTCCCTCTCCTTTTCTTCACCTCCTAAAAATTTTTATCTCTAAGCTTGTGTCCTGACGATCGTTTTTGTGGGTCGGGAGGTGATGTACTACGCCTACGTTCTCTGGGATCCCACTGCTACGCGACACAAAATACTAGCCAATCTCTCTTCCGGTGGTAACATTGGCCCTACCGGTCATTACGAACAGTTACGGTCAACATTTAAGTAAATAACAAGTCGTGTCCATCTCTCAGCATCATTATCTTTTTAGATACCAGTGATGTAGTCCAAGTAGTCCATATCTCATTCTCTCAGCGTGTAGTCCATCTCTCACTCTCTCAGGTTCTTCTTGGTGCGCTTTGCCTTATCCCAGAGAACGAGAACAATACAACTTAATACATTCATACAATTGTAGCAAGCCTTGTTGTACCAAGATTAACGAGATGGATTAAGCAGCACTCTCTAAGACAGGCGCAGCACGGTGCAGCTGGCAAGCAGGTTACACCACCGAGGCAGATGATGTCTCCACCTTCTGCTATCGAAATGGCGGACACAAGTGAAGATGGCACAAGAACTAGAAGCAACGATGTTGACATACCATCATCTTGTACCTCAACGTCGCCTGAAGATAGAAGAAGAGGTGGCACCCGTGAAGATGCCTCATCAAGTCCACAAATGCGACCAAGAGGACGTAACATGCCAGATTCGCATTTGAGCACGCTAGTCGGGAGTTTTGACCCTGCTGCAACCACACGATTTTCTCCGCAAGAAGGCCAACTTCCAGTTAAGGCTGACTTCGGAGACTGCTTGCCCAGAAATGCGGTATTCGGCGGTTACTTTCGTCCCTTGCATGAGGAGGCTGATGACGGGCGGCTGATCTTCGTTCCGGTGCCTGCGCGTGACGGGCTCTACATCGCGTCTGGCTTGGTGATGCTGGAGCACCTGTGGCTAGGCTGTGTCGCGTTTCTTGCACAGACACCGCATGCGCTTCCACCCCTCTTTGTTGGCGCCGCTGCGGGACTCACTGGCAGGCTTGTGGAGCGCCGAATACCGAATGTCACGCTGGCGCGGCTCGTCATAAGAGCGTCAGAGCTACTGTGGATGGTGTGCTGTTTGATGCAGGAGCGTTGTCTTTGCGTATCTCAAATGTTCTCCTTTGCCATGGAACCATTCACAAAGGGTGCCGTTTTCGAGGGCGCATCTACAGCTACTCTGGGATCAACAAGTCCTTAAACCCGAACGTGAAGCAAGAACAAAGAATGCGAAGAGCTGTGCCGAGAACAGAGAAAACCTGGTGCTCAAGCGAACAATTCTTGCGCGCGGAGCCGGAGACCACTAATAGATATATTTATTCGTTCACCCGCCCTTCTCGCACTGTAGTTGTTAACATTAACAACACCCGTGAGGATAAGTGAAGAGAAGATGCTCACCTGGTATCCTGGATGGGCATCCCACCTTGACATTTAATACTCCGTGTTCCTGAAACTACGATGGAATCTTCACCACTTTCATCGGCGATGATCACTTTTTTTTTTTCTGGCGCAACAAGCAAGCATGTTGTATTTGGTCTTCTGGCTGTCTTGTGAAGATGTCACCAAAACTTAGATACATCAAGACGAGCGCACAGATTTATCAGTCGGAGTGACCCAAGAACTATTTAGCTTCGAGAGGTGAAAATACGTGTTTGATGAGAGAGAGAGAGAGAGAGAGTGGTACAATCCAGGATTTTTTTACCTCTAGCTCTAGCTACTACCAGCACGATGAAAAACATGGCGACGCGTAACAACGATAATGATGAAGCTGCTGCATCCTCCAGTCCCAGTGCGCCAAAGCGGTCCTTCACGTTGCATTGGGCTCTGGCGTCGGTTGCTGTGCTTGTCCAAGCGTACCAGACGTGGCAAGTGGCGCGTCTTGAGTGTCCGTGTAAGTCCGGTCGCAAGAAGAAAAAGAAGAACCTCACAGTGAGAGCGTTGCTCAATGAGGTAGCGGTATTGCAGGGGCGCGCACCTCCGTTCTCGCTAGATCCGTCCGAAGAGGCGGTGGAAGAACTGGTGGAGGAGAGTGTCATACAACATCCGATTTTATGACGACGAGCAAGGACATGGACCAGCATAACGCTTTTTCAAGACACTCACCTAGTATAGTACCTAATACAAGCTTACATTTTAGGTAGGACGAAAAGATGGAAGCGCATTCTGGAACAACGCATGAGCACTTCTATTTCTAATCATAAGAACAACAAGTGGTCACCAGGTGCAGCAAAATGACCCTCCGCGAGCGCCGGCTGCTCCTGCTGCTCCGGCTTTCGTGCCGCCTCAAGAGCCGGCAGTGCCGCAACTGAGGAATGAGGGCTTCCAGTCTAATGCAGGGGCAACTCAACAAATATGGCAAAACTAGCACGCCTTCACATTCATCAGTATCATCGCTTGCTCGTGCTCCAGTCACCATCAAGGTGGGCGAATCAAAATTAGACATGATACACTTTCACTTATAGAAGTGACGCGACGTCACTTCTTCTCCACTCCAGCCGTGCCTACTCTAATGCGGAGGCCATTTTCTCTGCTGGAATTTTTGCTTCAGAGTCATCCACGAGGAATCGGAATGATCCTTGGTGTCGGAAAAAATCCGCTGGCGCTCGACCTGCTCCAGCAGTGGCATACATCCCCAGGCCTCTATCTCGTGGACCCGTTTATTCACATATACCAAGGTAGAGCTTCTAGATGGTGTAAATCTAATAGTACTGCATGAACATGAACATGTCCGCCAAGCAAGTTAAACAAACATCATGGAGGTCGTCTCTTAAACTAGCAATCTTGGTACTCTCGTCCTTGAGGTTGAGAACCACCTTGTCCTATCGAATTTAAACTAGTTAGTTACAAACCTAAAGAATTAGAATAAAGAAAAAGAACTTCATCTTCTACAGGTTACGACGAGCCTGAGAACCTGAGCGACTGGGAGCATCAGCGCTGCTTCGAGGACTTGAGAAACCGTATTCACCGCTTTGAGGGAAGATATAGCATCATGCGCGATTTCTCGCAGTCCTTTGCAATCACCTGGCGCCACAATCCACTTCAACAACCGCCGCCACCACTGTCATTGTTAAGGCTACGTGCAAGAAAGAAATCTAAATCTACATTGAGATTGACTTTCACAGCAGACATCTTGGAGGTGGTACAATTCCCGTTTTTAAGTTGAAAGGAAAACAAAGGAGACAACCAAGATGCTTTTGAGGATACATTTCTCTGAGTTCTAACATTGGTCTACGTAGACAACAACCCTTCCCATGCAGCGGTGCTTCGAGATCTGGCCGACTGGTGGGGAAGCCTCGGACCGAAATTATGTCAGCACTAGAATGGTCATCGTCTGGTTCATCTGTCAGTTGTAATTTTTTAAGTGGTACAACGAATCGCCTATCTTTGACATAATTTTCTCTTCTTCTATATTGTAAGTAGTTACAACTACTCCTTACAACTCGCAGCGTTACCACCAGCACCACCTGGATCTGATTATAAGAAGCATAAAACTAAATAGGACCTCCTAATCCAAGGCATAATTGCGGGCCCAAGTTGGTCAAGGAAAGAGTCTGTTCGCCAAGCTGTAACGGAGTTTTCGCAACAGATAGGAGCACCGATACAGCTCTTTGGGGATGGAGATACCTGGTTCCTCCAGCAGATGGAAGACAACACGCTAGGGGCTCGTGGCGGAGGGGCTATGTATCGAGGATAGACAGAGAAGCGTGTCGCGGAGCCATGTGTCGAGGATAAAGCAGCGCGTGGAGCAGGCGTGATGTAGATAGAGCAGCGCGTGGAAGCGTCCTCGCAATGGCCCTTGTCCACCCCTCTTTGTTTCTCTGATTGTTCTTGCTGTCCCTCATACTACATCGAAAGATTTGTTCTAAAATACCTTCTCCCATAGTATTCCTCTCGTGGTCAATGAAGGGCTGCATGTTGATGCCTGGACGGAAACGGACTTGTTAGCCATGATCAAGATCTTCTCGTTCCTAGATCAAGACATTTCTGATTTCGTAGATGTGATAGAGAAGACGGGAGGAGCGATTGAAGAACAAGTAGAAAGAGACGACACGTGAGCGCTTGAACTGAACCGCTTTCTGTAAGTCATCAATGGTTCTGCGTCGCAGTTTGAGTTTTTGAAGAGAGAGAGAGTAACACGAGAGTGAGAGTGTAATGTCTAAGAGTAAGAGCGATTGAGTGCAGTAATTGATTCCGCATCGTCTGGTATGGGGATCATGATGTTGAACTAGATGAGATTTAATAGCGACATTCACATTAGACGAGTTCTTCCGTAGGCCGGGCTAGGTGGACTAGGTCACCGCCCATGCCCATCTTCAATCAATTAAATAGATTACAGTGAAGGTGATGATGAGTTGTACGTGTTTTTACTTATGCGAGAATACTAGGTGGATGATTGAGCAACACTCGTCTTTGATGACTGTGTAATTTTTGTCAACAAGAGTTTGTACTCTCATCTTCCCAAGAAAAAAAATGATGAACGCGGCTAGGATCGCTCGTCGTCCCATCTCGTTCTGCCTCTGATTCCTGCCTCTCTGCGTCCTCCGCTAACATTTTGTTGTTGTTGTAGCAGGCTTGAATCGCGACCGCCAAAAGAGTGCTGATATAATCGCACGCAGACACTTGGGCATAATTCAACACACAACCATTGCGATCACACTCGCCGGACATTCATACGAAGATAGCAAACTCGCCAACAACATGGACAGGAACATGAAGAAGAAAATGAAGCAGAACTACACAACGATATTTCTAAATGCACAAAGGACTACGACTAGATGAGCAAGGAGATGGAAGAAGAAGACCAGTAGACAAGAAAAAAATAAAGTAGCCGTACTAGGTAGGGAGGAGCGGTCGCAGAGCAGGAGCATTAGGGCGGAACGAACTACGTGATACTGACATTGATCATTCTAGAAAATTAGTGAAGGCCAAGGCGGCACACATCAACATGGACATGAAAGAAACGGATAGTGCGGCAGGCGCCGCGCAACATGACGGAACAAGAAGTACTGGAGGAGGTAGGTCCTCTGTTACTAAGAATCTTCAGGTTGGACAACACGATGATGATTCCTTGAGAATAAAGACACAACATCCTGGATCTAGTACGGCAACGCGAATTAAATCTGGATCTAGTGGTCCTAGTACGACCTGTAGTAAAATCAATCGGGAAGCAGGCCTGTGTAGTAGCAGGAGCTGCCCTTCGAGGAGACGAGCAGAAGAAGAGCTGCATGTCCTCGTGGGCGGTATGACGACGAAGATGAAACTGGAAGACGGATGCGTTGGTCGTGCCTTCTGTACGAGAATACCCTTGCTAGCACGAGAAGCACAACAAGAAGCGGTCGAGCTCTCTCACATTCCTCAGGAGAAGGTCGGTCACGGTCTGAGAATACGAAACGTTCCAGCACTGCGAAAGAATAACGATGATGCTTGCGTTGACGTCGTAGGCTGCTCCTCAGTAAGCTCATCTTCATTTGACGATTTTTCGGTTGATACGAATTCACCCGTAGTTCCATCCAGGAGGACTAGACCCGCATGTCCTCGTAGTGGTCATCTATCTTCCTTATCACAGGATTCTCTTGAGCTCCAGCGGAAGATGAGAAGTAAGACGAAGCCAGAGTCTTTCCCCGTTACAACGAGCCCCGACAGCTCGCAGGAACCATCGCCATCCTCACCCTCCAAGAGTTTCTTTAGAAAGAACTTTGTGTCAAAATTCCTGTCAACCTCTTCTTTTTTCATCATCGCGTCAATAACCACAACTTGTACAACATTTAGTAGTCTTGCCGCACCAGCTGCCGCGCCGCCCCCTCCACCCGCAGATGCGCTACCCTACGATCTGATCATGCCACAGCTGCGGAATTTGAGTCAATTGGACATAGACTCGGGAAGCGGCCTGGGAGACATATCGAAAAGCACATGTTGGGTCGGGCAATTCACTGCTGACGCGTGCTGTCGGGAACATAATCCAGTGTGCTGGGACGAACAGATGACGATGGGAGAGTGTAGAGACTAGTAATACAGATGACGATGGGAGAGTGTAGAGACTAGTAATACAGGAGGACGAGATGGAAATTATTGGAACAACAGCCATCATTCTTTCGAAAGGCATTTTTACTGTCCTCTAGACTGCTGAAACGTCATCTTCATCTCCTATCCACCTACTCTCACATTGAACCGCCTTCAACTCTCAGGTTGTCCCAAGAAGGCGGATTGCTATCCTTCATCTTCCACTATCAGGTTGCCCCAACGCGGATTGCTGGGAAGGTTCTTACAACTATGAATTCTGCTGTGGTGGGGGCGAAGGAGGCAACCCGCGCTGCTGGGGTGACGTCTATAACTATGCCCGTTGCTGTGCGCTGACCGAACCATCGACAAGTTGGGTGGACAATCTTTTTAACGGACAATCTTTATGAGCAGATCGGATGACAAGAACATAGTACTTATTCCTTTTTACATTGATTCTTATCGTGGACGGTTCTTGATGACCAGAGCTTTCGTCCATAAAAGAATCGGATTTTCCTCGTACTTGCACTTAAACTTATTGTAGTTATTGTTATTTCTGGTGCAATTATAGAATAAGAATATACTTACTTACTCATACAACTTGATCGTGAAAGCACAAGTTGTAGTGCGTATGCTGCCAGTTATACTAGCCTGTTTTCATACTCAACGGACTCGTTCTATAGCTTCGACGAGTTTTACAACGACGCGCAGTATGGCCCTGATTTTGGTTACTACAGTACTGGTCGCGTGATGGGTGCGGGTAAGCTGGCGCCGGACACGAATGAATTTGCTCATTTTACCACCTTCCCTATGGCCATCGCACCCCATTTTGGCCGCGTGCTAATGCGGTCAGTCTTCCTGATGTGGCGCCAACGCAAACGCTTGCAGGACGCACAGAGGAAACAGGATCATCAGACTCTTCAACTACTGGAAGGAGCTGCCTCCAATGGGGGCGATGACGGTCATGAGATATTTCAAGTAGTTGAGATGGGTGCAGGCAGCGGTCAGCTAGGCAAAGACATCCGCGATTGCGTTGTGGAAAACTGCCTTGGGTTGTCTCCGGAACTAAACAAGGCGTGGCAGAGCGCGTTTCGGTACACCATTCTAGAACGCTCTCCGGCTCTGGCCACTCGGCAGCGCGAACGAGGACTAGAGGTCATTGTGAGCGACGCGCAGACGGTGAAGGCATGTGACGTACTGAAGTCGAAGGCCGCTCGCTCTGATTTCCACGCTGATGTGGTGATCAGCAACGAACTCATAGACGCCTTTGCTCCGGTAAAACTGAAACTCTCAGTATTCGACCTCGACAACGTGGACCCAGGAAAATGCTCATCGTGGACCGAGATGAAATTACTTTATGGCTGCAGCTGACGTCCGAGATGTATCTTCTGAATAGAAGTAACTTGTAACTAGTACTTGAGTAGAAGTAGATTGCTTGATCAACAATACCAATAGCATCAGTCACAAATGAATAAAGGAAAAATTGATGTGCAGCTGCACGTTAATGCTGTGGTACCATCAAGTCCAAGTCCGTGTCCGGACAATTTTTCTTAAAAGTAGCTCCTCCTTCATACTCCGCACCTGATTAAGATCCAGGATGTGATGGGTCTATTCGCGCAGCAATTGGGCATTAGCGAGCCATCTAGGATCGTGCGGGACCTGCAGAGTTTCACGGATACCTTTTTTTGCACAGCAATGGAAACCAGTGTCGGTCAAGCTGCTAAGGAAGTCGTGCCAAGAAATACTACCTGCATGACGACGGTTTTGGCTCTTAGTGCCTTGATGGAAACCAGCAACCTACAGATCCCAGCAGCAAGCAACAATGTCCGACTCCGATTGAGAAAAGACGTCGTGGTAAGGCGGCATAATTATCGCTAGTTTGATTTGAATTTAAGGACGTTTTGTTTACTAGTAGAACAAGAATAGGCGTGAAAATTTTTATTTGCGTTGAAAATGTTTATAATTCTCCTTCGTCTGCCGGAGGAGATTCATCATTTTACTAGATGATCATCTAAGATCTGATCTACTTCCTGATTCTACTAGACCGAAGATCTGCTCTACCGTGTCTTCATCCTATTCGTTGTCTTGATATCTGAACCCTCTGCCTAGCTCTACTTCCTCACATCATCAGGTGCAAAGTAATTTGCGCAAGCTTGTCCGCGACCTGCAGAAGGAGCTCGATGGCTTTCTCGCTATTCCGCGCAATATTTACCAAGAGTTAAGGCGAGGCCTGAAGGAACGGACGCGCGCACAGGAGAACCTGGATGTTACGTTTTTGATCGCGACGAAGACGAAACGCCTCTCAGTACCAATTTCTCCAGATCGCTGTCGGTCTGCAGGCATTGGCACGTTTTTGGGACGCCATAGGGAGAGGAACAAACGCCTCGCAAAATTCTACCACGATTTGGGATATCCGAGCTTGTATTTATATATACTTCACTTTTGTTTTCTTAAAAAATTAGAGCTTGTATTTATATATACTTCACTTTTGTTTTCTTAAAAAATTAGAGCTTGTATTTATATATACTTCACTTTTGTTTTCTTAAAAAATTAGAGCTTGTATTTATATATACTTCACTTTTGTTCTTAAGATTAGAGCTTGTATTTATATATACTTCACTTTTGTTCTTAAGATTAAGTAGTTCTTTCACATATTAGGTGTTGCAGTTGTTGCATTGAGGTTGAGAAAGTACTTCGTTTTATGCTACTTCTTGTGCTCATATCCGTACCTTGTCGTTGTCCCAGCAAACGCTAAGAAAACTCCCCGGCACATGATATGCATCTTCACTTCACAGGTACGTCGTGATGCGTCCGGGTGAGGAGGAGTTTCTTAAGCTTACTGATTGCGTGATCGGCGACAAGGGTGGGCATGTTCTCACCATTGATTATGGCGCCAGCTACGAGCCCTTGGCAAACAGCCTCTCGGTCGATCCCGGGTATGACGGGATTTTTGTGCCTCCAATACCGCACCACTTGATGGAGGAATTACCGCACTGTCATGGAGACTGGACAGTCTGCGCTGGTCGGATCGACTGGACGACCTTCGTTGATTTTACAAGTACTAGAATGTTTGAGTTTGACTTTGATTTTGGAAATATTAAACTCAATTAGCTTGGAGTTAGAACGGTGTTTCTTCATCTACATCTTCTTGTTCAGACAAGTTGCGTCTTCTGCTCTTCTTGTATATCGGCTCCTTATATTTATATAACTACAATATTGAAAAAATATACATAATCACAATTATTAGCCTTCATCAACACTCCTCCACTACACAGACATGGCAGCTGCTGGACTTGAGCTTGGATATGAGACGGTTTGGTATGGGCCACAGTGCTTTTTAGAGCAGATGGGAAACCAGATGGTCGCCCTCGATCGGGCGACCGATGAATCTAGGCTTCTCGCGAACCCCCAGCCTCGATCTGAGATCACTCCGGGATATAGCACCATCGAAAACGTCGACTGGGTCAATAGACATGCAGTGAATTTTATGGAGATGAAGTCAGTCTCAGTTGTTAGTCGTAGTCAACTGATGGTCTGTCAACTGATTAGTCATACTATGATGAAGTCAGTTAATCATAGGCAACTGATGGTCTGTCAACTGATTAGTCATACTATGATAGGCAACTGATTCTGATACTGATGTTCCGTTTCCGTCTTGTTCTGAGTAGAAGGTGTTAGAATTTGTACATGAAGGAAGAACGAGAACAGTAGTACATGAAGTCAAGCTCCTCTGTTGAATAATTGAAGTCAAGGTGTCACAAGATGAACAAGATAACTTCCAGAAGTCGACTGATTCCAAGTCAAGAACAAACAACTGGTTCCAATTCAACTGATGGTCTGTTCCCGCCTTTCTCTTACTAGAAGATGAAGAAAGGTATTAGTACTTGGCCCCATTTTGGCTTCCCCCTTCATCCATCGGTACGGTCCGGAAAAGGCGGAGCCTTGGCAGCAGCGGTGGACGGGTTTCAAAGCGCTGCTGCAGCGCGTTCCAGCTCGCGATGCGGAGACCAAAAAGAGAAGCAAAGAGCCATCCAGCGGACCTGCGTCTGAAGCACTGTCGCTTGCAGCAGCCGCGCGCACACCCCACGCTGCGTCTGTAGCGGTGTCTAAGCGCCGTCTCAGCGATCCTGTAGAAGCAGCCGTACAAAAGCACCAGAAAAGTCTAACGATTGGCGCGCAAATTGCAGGAACAAAAACAATTGTTGGAGCTAAAAAAGCTTTCGCAGCTGCAGCAAATAACACTAACACTTCGAGTGCAGCTAGTACGACGGAATCTCTTACTGCATCACAAGTTTCAACAACATCGTCCCCGACCGCTGCAGCAGACGCCAAAGCTCCAGGAGGCAAGAGTCCGAGTACCCTGAACGAGGTGGATCCGAGTACATATTTCGACGTGGTTCCATTTCCTACCTGGCACCTAGATTCAACCGAGAAAGATCCCTGCTGGCTGTTCGACCCGACAAATATGCCCATAGCAGACTGGTCGAGGATCAATAGACACGAAACAAACGCGACAACGAGGCAGGTACTACAGCATCATAAACGAGACCTCTGCTTTTCCACCAAAAAGGAAAAGCAACTATGTTGAGAAGATCAATTTTATTTCTCAACAATAACCTCTACGCAAAAACCTCCAGTACGATGTCTGCGATGATCCATCATGTAGTAGAAATCTCTACAACGCAAAACCCTCTAGTACAATCATGTCTGCGATGATCTGTAGTAGTACTTCATGATCAATATCCCATAATGTAACAACTACACCGAGAACGACAATCACTATTGAATAGGTTCTATCAACGTTGAGCGTTGATGTGGATCGAAATTTGGGCGAACGCTACGCAATGGGTTACGAAGATGCACAACTGGCAGTGCGCCTGGTTGATTTCCTAGTGAAGAGCCAAGGTTGCCTTGCAATGGCACAGCCGACTTCTATCTTTATGCCTGGTGGTGATGTGTGCAATTATATTATTTTGTGCGATATTATTTTTTTTCGGGTTATTATAACCAAATAAAATATAGTTTTTATAAGTAGCACGACCTTGTTCTAGAAGTCTGAGGGATCTTCTCCAAGAACACAAACACTATAACAATCGCAGTTCCTAAGTAAGGATGATAAAGTTAAGTAAGTACTTCTTAGCAAGAATGGACATGGAGCAGATAGATTATAGAAGTACAGATAATTGCTTGAAGTCTTGCAGAAGATCAGATTCTTACAGTATATGAATCTCTAACACCTCACTGAAGTGGAAGCCATGGATGCGCCAGCGTTGGGCGGATGTTTGGCGCGCAGACACATTGGACAGGGTTGGTCCTGCAGTGATGAGCATGTTGCGCTTGGAGGCTTCTGGGGCACCGCGTGGGCGACACTACCCCTTTGAATGTATGGCGGCGCAGACCTTCCGAATCATGTGTGCAGACGTACTGGTGCCGCAGGAGGCGTAAATATATCGTACAGAAGTGAAGAGTTGAAGACGGAGGAAGGACCACTGTGTTTTTTGACTAAGTTCTTGCGGTTAAGAAAGTGCTTCTTGGCTCTACCTTCTTTCTGCTTGTTCTGGGGAGTAGGCGAGGACCATGGGGATATATATAATTATAAGAAGCGTGTTCGCTCGCGGCATCATCCGCATGCGCATGGAAAGTACTTATATACAAATTCAAAACCACCTAGAAATCAAAGGTCTAATTCTAACTACAGTCTAAAATAAATAATGTTTCTTCTTGTGCATGATTCGTAGTGCAGCTACAGTGCCGTGATGTGCATACATTGTCGAAAGTGACAGGCATAACATCATGCAGCAGTTGTAGTGCTACGCCTTAGATTAGAAATAAAGGATGAAAATCTTAGATTGTTGATATCGACGGTTGTCAAGAAGAACTTCTTTACATATTTTCACCATTGAGTTCTTCTTGGGTTGTGACTTTCGCTTAATGTAAGTCGTGACTCCGCATCAATTCTATCTATCACTATCATCTGATGTTCTTAGTGTTGTATTTACACTTTGTCTCAAAAACGCACTCAACTTGTGATTTATTTCAAAAAAAAAGGGAGACAGAGCAGCTAATTATCCGTGTTCTTGATTCGCAATCTGGAGCAAAGTATCAAGAACTGGCTTCCTTATTGTCGTGTGCTCGTCCTCGGTTAAGGTTATGTGTCTAACCTAAGATGTAAAAGGAAATCGGCGCCAGCTCTGTTATCCTCGTCGTTATGAGAACAATATCCGGCGCGCCTAAGAATAGCAAAAGCCATCGGTCATTGTCTGCACGAACGTCGCACCTAGCGTCCAGGCAGAAGCGAGGCCGCCTTGAATCTTGAATCTTGTATCGAACAACTCGGTCAACACGTTGAAGCCTCGTCTGTGCCGCGTCTGTAACACGTAAGAAGCAGAATGAGACACGAATAATGCGAATGTTGTGATGGCGAAAATTGGTCTCCTACAGTCGGTGATTCTGCCTTATATCACCTTGAAAAAGGCTTTGTACTCCACCTCCTAAAACTTCGGCTTAGGCTCTTTGGATTTTCAGACTTAGGATTCCAACAGTCTTCAACATCTCCTTTCTTATGGTTAGTCTTGGTTTACCTTTACGACGATAGTTGTAGATCTCGTGTTAACCACGGTGTCGTGGTCGTCCTGAACTTGTTTGATCAAATAACTTATGATTATGCTGGCCTAGTAGTATAATAGTCTCCTCTAGTACAAGTAAAATAAGACCAATGTTGTTCGAAACCATGAGCAGCAGCTTTGCGATGCATGACGTGCTCCGTAGTTTGATCTACTCGCTTGAGCATGGTGCGGGACGAGGGCAAGCGATTGGCATTGGGCTCGGCAGGAAGTCTAGTTCTTTCGCAGTCTTGCAGCAAGAATCATCGATGCCTGTTGAACCTGGTCCTGGACGTGGGTGCGGGGATCAACATAGTACCTGGAAACGTCGTTCTTCTGTGGAGGTTGTCAGAGGACGGCACAGCAGCAATATTGGAGGACGCAACATCAGAGTGCACATCACGGGTTTTGCGGCAGAAGAAGGACATGTTGGCGATGGAAGAGAAGGAGAAGGAACAGGAGAAGTAGGCACTAGTCCTTCTCGAGCTTCTTCACAGGAAGAGCGGAGCGCAATCGCGGGAGATTCTCCGCCTGAACCCGCGAAGAAAGGGGCACCTGCGGAGCCTCCGGTTGTCTCCACACCGATGTCAGCGCCAGCAGCTTCTGAACAAGTTCTGCCACCCGCGCCACCGGCAGGCGAAGGCTTGCGACCCTACCTCGACTTTTTGAGCAAAGAGGCCGCGCAGAAAGCGAATGTAAAAATCGGTGATCCCTGCGGAGTGACTTCAGACGCGACTGTTCCATGGACAGACATAAAGAGTCCATATCTACGATATCTTGGGCCTAAGGTTAAGGCTCAACTACTTTCAATGGTCATTGGGGGTTGGTCACTGAGATCGAAGAGGCGACCCCTTGAGAGAACAGGGGAAAACTAAGGGAAAGGGGAGAGCTTTGGAGGGGGTCTCTTCCGTTCAGAGTCAGCGACCACAGACTGCTGAGCTTTAATAAGGGCAAAGATCGGCGCTACGTCTTCCTGGATGAAGTCTCATTACGTCGCGTTTCTCTTACCGACGAAGAAATCCGGAGGGTCGCTTCCAAAATTCTTATAGATTACAGTCAGGTGAACAGCCAGGATATATCATCGGCCGATGTGAAGCAAGCAGGAGCTTCCTCTACGTCGGACACTGCGTATCAAATTGTAGCTGGCGGTGGCGATGATAGCTCCTCTGAAGGAACGGGGCAAACGGCTGCTCCAGTCAGTTACGGGTTTCGAGTAGATTTATGTAAGTAGTTGTAGACAGAGTGCTCATTTCTACTGCTTCTAATCGAACGTGCGTGAGCAACAAGTGGTCCGTATCGGTTCGTCGCAAGCACACGGATTCTGCCAAGTAGCTGGAAGTGTGCATGAAGAGGGCTCGATTTTCACCGCCGGTTCCCTCGTGCGTATCAAGCACGTACAGCCTAGTCGTGACAGGAGTGGCGCGCCTCCAATCGTTTCTAGTAGTGCCGAAGAGGGCGAAAACAATAACAAGAAGGATGATCATGAGCAGTGGTTGTACGTTGAACCTGTTGATGGAGGTGCATCGTCGAATCGCGAGGTTCCAGGTGGAAAATACACGACACGGGGAGCGTGGATAAAAGCGAAAGACATCGACGCAGCGAGCTGTCACATAGGCTTACCTGATGTTATGAATTTGTGAATAGAGCAAATTACGAAGCTGCACCAGGGTCGAGTCTTGATCACGACGCGTCACAAATACAAAAAAAGACAACAACTGTAGTATGATCTGTATTAAGTAAAATTTGAATTTGTTATTTGATTGAAAATACTTAGCAGCTAGTACGAACCACGCCTACGCTCGAGACGAGATGAACAGTATTGAAATACAATGGTGCCTCTATTTCTAAGCGGCGTGACCCAGAGAAAGTTGAGGAACATGAAGGGACTCTGGCCTACATGCAGATGGATCCGCACTACGATGCTGCTGTCCGTGGCGCAAAGGATGGCTACGACGTTTATCGACCTGACAACAACCCTGGTGTAGTGATACCAGGAACCAGATCGCTTGTTCAGCAATTCTGCACGTGTCCCAAGTCCGGAAGAACAGAGCCTGTAATATTGCTACTTCTTTAATAGTTGACCTTGTTGTTATAAAACAATATCCTCGGAACCTACAATTGAGTTTGATTTTTCTGCAAAGTCTCTACCATCAAATCAGACTGAAAATATGGAGATTGATAAAAATACTGGTCCTGGCTTCCTATGTCTGACATGAAGCGCGAGAGCCAGTCGTAGTCATTGCTGCTCCACCATGTAGTTGAGTTTACAAATGGTTTACCAATACTAGGTTGGGTACAGCGGAGCGCATCGCCCTGCCTGTGAGAACGGTGGGATCGCGGAGCCGGGAATTTCATCGCACAAAAGCCGTGGCTTACTAGTATGTGCGACTCAGAGTCAGAGCTCGAGCGGAGGTCCACAGGATATAAGTATCCCTCAAGATGAAGCCGATGCCCATAAAAGGCAAGAGCATCGAAGAAAAGCGAAAGGAGAATTGGGAAATCGTCCAGCAGCGATGGTCGAAGAAAAATGGACAAAGAAGGTTAAGATGGTTCAAGAACAAGATGAAGATGATTCACTGAATATTGTCAGCACAGTTCTATCTTCTATCAATGATCTCCTCCTGTGCTATGTATATAATCTGATTTTGGCTCAAGTGAAAACAGAAATCACACAAGAACATAACTCAACTTCTTTCCTGAATCAGTTACAGTTTACTTCGAAGTTGCCTCATGATGCAGAACCTCAAAATTGTTTTTATTGAGAAGCTCTATCTCTAAGAATTTACTCGAAGGTGAGCCGGCTTGCGTCTCCGTTCTACGTTTTGATCCTGCTTCCAATGGTGGAGAACGCAGTAGTTTTGATGTCACGCTACGAAATGCGTACGAGAATCCACGGGCTGTTAAGGCTATCGACAATCTGACCGTTTGTGTCTTGAGAATGCCTAGAATCATTAAGGGTAGGTTAAAGGTGCTTTTGTTACCGTTTGTTATGGCTCTCCTAAGGGGGACAGCCATAACAAGCGGGATAAACGAACACCAAAAACCTACCTCTATAAGATCAGGGATGTTGCGCCCATCTCGTCAGGCTTCTACAGCTACACGCCGTTTGCATGATTCCGCTTTCCAGACTACTTCTAATCCTACATTCGACTCTTTGGACGGCGATGCGCAGAAGAAAGCGTTATTATCCTACTTGAGTGCGACGGGTGTCGTACGAGGCGAAGATCTTCATGTCGAACACGATTCCGCTATGGAAAATCCCTTCGGAGCTTCGAACGACGGAGAAAACTCAGAGTTGGTCAAAGAAGCAAAACGTGCTATTGCGAGTACGGTTCTCCAGAATGCGACGCGGTGTTTGCATACTGCCGAAACCTTCCTGAGCACTGCGGGAGACACAGCGGCCCTTCCGTGGGACGCCGAACTTCATCGCTTGAATATCCCGAAGCTTATGTTCTGGGATTTTTAGCAAAGTATTTTTGAGTTTGAGATCTCTACTTTAGTCCAAGTATCGGTATGGCATGCTTGCTTCATAAACCTACTCCGTCTTCAACATCTTCTAGTGATCTTCAACATTTTTCTGATCGTAGAAAAATGTTGAAGATCACTAGAAGATGTTGATGATAGCTTGTTTGTTAGCGTTCTTCGTACAGTAAAAAGCATATCTATCTCTATGGATACATTATACTTAGATACGTGTCAATGACATCTTCGGAGCTCTAAACTATGGGGTTCGACTCTGATGACGCCGCTGATGCCGAAGGGCAGTCTGGGAGACTCGGCACACACAAAAGCGCTAAGCTTAATGGAGCAACTAGTTGCTCAAATAAAGAGCGCCGTGTCATTTGTGCGCGGGCAGGAAGAGGCGCTGAGGCAGGACGAGGGAGCACCAGCAGATGCAAAGGCTGAGTAGTCTGAAGTCTCGATACATATTCGAGTTCGCGCTGATTCTATCAATATATAAGGCAAATTATGCTTGTTCACTGCGTCTAGCAGGAGCAACATCAACTACGATGAATTTCTATGTCAAACATGAATTCTCATTTTATATTTGCTGCACTAGGAGTTCGAGATTTCTCAGGACCAAAGATGTTCACAACGTCGCGACTAATTTGACGGAAAAGCAATCATCCCCAGAGTTTCAGCCAGGAAGCTCCGCCGGGGAAGATCATGCTGACCCTGTCTGTCCAAAATAATACAACTACAAGAAGATCTGAATGTCATCAAAGATCCAGATGTAAGATGGACCCTTAATATAAATGAGATCATAGAATTCAGCATGGAGATCTGAGAAGATCAAGAAAGCTGTATAGAAAGATCTGTAGTACGGTGCTGCTATGATGAAAGCGTCGACCAACAACACAATCCTTTCATCACGACAAAACAGTAAGTTGGGAACGAGATCGTGTGCTACAAATCTCTTCTACTTCCACACAACCGGCACCATCAAGCCATCCCCATGCCCATCCACTCCTCCATTTTTAGAATAGCAACAGAATTTTTAGAATAGAATTTATTAGTATTAGACCTTGCCCTCCTCAATTATTAATCGCACTCTAGTCTTTTCATCATTCTGATTCTTCTTCTTATTTTAGCATAACGATATCATGGAACAACATCGAGCAGGCATTTCATTTAGTATTAGGTTGACAACGCTAAAAACTAGTAGGCTTAACGAGTTTAGTATCTGAAAACATCAGGAGACTTCTTTGGTTCGGACTCTCTTTTTCTCCCCCCGGAGACCTTCTTAACTCCAAAAAAAATGGCGCCTCGTGGATTCGGTTACACAGCTGCTGCTGCTGTATTTGTGGCACCTACTTTGGTGCTGCTGCATGGAGACAGCTTCTATCGTCATGTGCTGGGTGTTTCGCTGAAGGCCCCCACAGAAGTATTGAGTGGGGTCTCGAGTCGTGCTTTGGTGTCGGAAAAATTGGAGCGCATCAAAGCCAAGGTCATGAAGGCAGCGTCTCTGCCGCCTTACGGAGGCGTTACAACGAAGGAAGAGGCCGAGAAAGACCGAGAGGTTGGTGAGGAGGCAGCAAAAGACATCGAGAATGCGATCCTCGGAGCCTTCGCTGATCAGGGTTCAGAGGAAGCCAGGAAGTTGGACATGCTGGATCGTCTGGCGACAATCGAAACCTACCATACGATTGGTGCCGTCCTCCATGCGAACACAGCAGAATGGGGTCATTTGGAAAAGGAATTCGGAAAAGAGAGATTTGCTGTCATCCAGAAGGCCATCCTACGTGCAAAGGCGCAATCCAATAGGAGGGCACTTCTCGCAGGAGGTTTGGCACCCAAACCCCAAGAGGCAGCAAAAATCTACGACGACAAGGAGGTCGATTGTGAGAAGTTGCATGCTTTAAGCGCCCCCGATTGGGCACGTTTCTTATCGAACGAAGGACTCATTGACATACTAATGTTTTCCCAAGAACGCACAAAAGACTTAAGTAGTGATTTCTTGCCCCAGATCATGAGCGGCAGCGTGCAAATAGATCAGGGCGGGAGCGGTGCGGAAGGCTATTCTAGCAGTACTACCATGAACGTTGGTGCTCCTCTTGTCGTGTCGATTACCATTATCTTTACGCTCACTATACCATATCCGAGGACTGCAAAATGCCCAATCGAGTTGGTACAGGTTGCCATGATCCAAAGGAAATACCCAGAAATCTGGAAGGCGTTGACGACGCCAGGCAAGGTGGGTGAATTGGAAATGGAGCGACAATCGGTCACCAATCGCTTGCAACTCTTCGCCATCAGTGGAGCTAGTAATGCTAAACGCATGGAGCAGCAACGGTCCTCTGGCGCCTCGAGAAGCTCCTCAGCCTCTACTTCTCACGGAGAGGGAGCCCCCGCGAGCTTGTTGATCCTGGGCGGACCGATTCTGACGCAGACCGTGAACTTTTTGGGCGCTTTGAATCGAGCCATCCAGCGAGAGCAGAAGAATAATTCCACTTCGACCAGTGAGCTGTTCCGAGTTGTAAATTTCCCGGCCTTGGACATGGACTCTGATATAAATATCAAAGTAACAGCCGAAGCACTTCCTCCCGACAGCGGAGTTGTAGTAGACCCGGAAATTAGACCAACAGCACACACTGCGTAATATTCTAAAGAGGAGTAAGGGCAGTAATAAATGTAAAGTGGTGGGATTCAAATTAAATAAATTTGAATCTAACAAAAATGTAGACATCACACCAGCCCAAGGCTGGCTTATTTGCCTCCCTTGTCTCTGCTGCGTTCTTCACGCCCAGCTTTTTACACTCTTACTTAACGTCTTCCGGTTCGAGGCGTAGACGCTTCCGGTTCGAGACTTGTATAGTCTGCTGTTATGCTTTGGCTTTGGTTCTACTGGCTAGGCTAATGCAATCCTTGTCCTCAATTAATCGCAGTCGATTTTTCATCATTCTTCTTACTTAATGCTTTCTTATAAGTAAAAATGGAATACTTCAAATGACTGATTGACTGCATGACTGTTAAAAACATAAGCGTAGAGCTAAGCGCCGGGGGTCTTAAACATAGTCAAACATAAGCGATATTATCAAGTCTCAGAAGATACAGGTCGTTACACTTTTTCGTCCTAAAGCCTCGATATACTCTTGTTCATGAAGAGTTTTTGCAGAAACTATTCGTTTTCTGGAATCATCAGCCTTCCAGTCTTGAAGCGTAAAGTTGTAAATCTCCTCTTTGTAGTACTCTTGCAGGCCGTATAAGGAAAGAAAGGTTTGCCAAGAAGTCAGTGCGTAATTAAGTAGAGGGCGAGACTAGAAACGAGTTTTACATTGAACATTGGAGGTCAACATAGTAACGGTACACACAGAAAAAGATGCGAAGCGTTGTGAGTTCGTTTCCAGTACATCTTTGCTATGTGAGCTTTTTCCTTGAAGAAGCCTCAGCTCCTTTTACTTGGATGGAAGGTACAAGGCTAGCGGTAGCACGCGGAGCAAGAAATCGACATGCTCCTGAACTAAGACAAAGTCGGAACTTTCAGAAATCTTTTGTTACTTTTACGAGGAGTTTGTGAGTGGTTGTTCTAGAGCTAAAAGTTGGGTAGAGAACAAGCATTGAGTTAATAGAGATCAAGAAGAGTTAAAGCGAGGGTCTAAGGAGGAGGGTACTTGACGAGCAGGGAAATTGAATATGATGTTGAGTTTTGGTGGCTGGCTCCATAAAGATGCCGTCTAAAGTAGGAGTTAAGAAGCAGTTGAGTCGGAAGCAGAACTCCTCTTCTACGGCCGACAGAGCGTCACCTGTTCACCTTGTCGGGCCTTCGCGTTCTTTTTCTCGGGCCTCTGCAGCTAGCGGGCCGAGAAAGGATTTTTTCGGCGAAGTTGCAGCACAAGGGACCAACGACAAGGTTCTCGATGGTCATCCAGCGCGGTCGGTACCTCGAGAAGATGAGGTCGATTCCTCAGACTCTAATGAATAGTGCAAATGAAGAGGGAGAACGCAGGCTCACCCTCGAGCAGAAAGGGGACCTTGGCCTATGGGTCCCGTGTTGTGGTCCTTTAGAAGCGTACCAAATTACGAAAGAAGCAAGAAGGGCACGAGAAGTGGCCTCCTCTGGCGAAGGCGCAAGGGAAGCAAGCCTAGCCATTGGAGCACGTGGATGGCGGCCAAGCTGGACTACCGGATCCCACTGGCCGAGGACAGGCAGGGTAAAAGCCGGCGCCTTCGGTTGGAGGATGCAGGTCTTCACAACTACTCCTGGACAAAGCAGAGCAAAAAGAACTTCAGGAAGATGGACACGCAAGGAGGTCTTTCCACTGAAGACGCGGCGAAAGTAGTAGTCGCCGAGCACGAAAACCTGTCTGGTGAATTGGACGATAAGAAGAATGCGAGGAAAGAAGTGCGTGAAGTGTACAAGAAGAATCCAGGCAACTCTCCTTGCCGGAGCATCTTCAGATCTCTGGCGCGCCCCGTCTTGGTTGCGCTCTTGAGCACGCAGGAAACTGCTCGCTGCGAAAGATCTTAGAAAAGACTGGTAGAAAAGCGAACCTCGACGAGAAGAAAAAACTTTTAAACTTAGACAGGAATGAAAGCGTTTTTAGTCGCGGATATAACAATAAGTAAAGATCTCGCGGCTCTGCCTTAGGTCTAGCTGTGTGTAATTTCGTAGGTGGAAGTGAAGTAAAGAGAAAGTGGCAGGCTGCATCGAGGTGTAGTCCTACGTCCTTGGTAGGTACGGCGACATGCACCTGTGCCTGTCTAGCCACCGTAGGAATAGCTGATCGGGGTAATTATTGAGTTTCCAACCTCTCCTCCTGCAAGATTATAGGCACCCGGTTCGAGGCCTTATTTTCCATCTTGATGGCTTGTAGCAGTAAAATTTTCCCGGTTCGCATTCTTCTCAGATCGAAGATCCAAGTACGACGACAGCTGTTGTTATGAGGCAAGCTGGATATATTCTTCTGCTTTTTCGAGGACCCCTTGTTGAGTTTGCCCGTGCTTGCAGGAAAGTCCACATCTCACTATCGCCAACGTCGTCTGACATCGTCGTCGTTACCTATCATTCGTAAAGCTGTCGCACCGAGCCGCGTCCAGAGGCTGGCCTCCCCTATGTTCTTGAAAAAATGCGCCTGTGCTTATGGGTAAAGAGAGTAAATGGAATAAGAATTCAACGTTGATGATCTCATACAACAACGTTGCTCTCTTATGTGTAGGGTCCGGCGTTGCTCTCTTACGAGCTTCAACGGGTTCGGCGCGTTCGACCGAGCCGCGTCCAGAGGCTGGCCTCCCCTATGTTCTTGAAAAAAAGCGCGTCCTTGTAACCGAATTACACTAACTTACTGCGCCCCTATAGGTGATAGAGGAACACTAGGTTCCGCCTGCCGCCGGTTTGCGAACTGGATAAAGCTGAGGCCGCTCTTTCAGTAGCCCCAGGATACAAAAAAAAAGAAACAATTTCGGAAATCTCCAAATCCAAATCCAAATGTCGCTCTGTCATCTACCCCGTGCTGTATAATTGAAGTAATAAATAGGTATAATTCATTCGGTAGCAACGTATAGTGGTTCATTTCAGTATTGTCTTAGTCCTCTGCTTCGTTATACCTTACAAAGAATTATTTTCTGTTTCGTATGAAAATTCCATTTGATAATTGCTTATCTGTTTCTATGATGCCAAATTTCAAAATTTTTTATGTATTAAATACGATAAATATGTCGATTTTATATGCGGAGACTGCCGCCGTGTAATAGTCATTACGCGGCAACATAGTTGGACTTTGGTGCATGCGGAGACTGCCGCCGGGTAATAATTACCACACGGCGGCATGCTATTGGGGCTGCGGTCGCCATAATTGTCAAAAGCTTCCGCAGTAGGATGAGAAGACCCAAGAACAAGAGGCAAAGGTGTGTCATTTCTTCTATCGTGAGTTGATAACTCGGCTTATCTATTTTTGGTGGGCATGAAGAAGAGCAGCATTCAGATGGAAGGCGGTCTTAGTCCAACTACTGATAGATCGAAGACGGTCACGTTAACGATCATGTTGACAGGAGAAGATAGATCCTCTCTTTTCAATTCGGATTCAAGAAGATCAGTAGACAACTTCCGAACAAAATGCCCTGTAATGTATTTTGACGAGAACTTCCGATCAAAATGTCCCTTATTTGTCTACCGATGGTCCAATGATGGCCTGCCAAGAACAAGACCTCCATGTTGTCGAATCTGAGGGTTTATTCGATCTCGTTCGCGTATCAATAAATTTTTTATTTTTATAAAAATCAAACAAGACTCTCATCTGAATAAGAAGATGATCTGGTGACTTCATCAATCATACAAGCAGGACTGATTCTCTATCATCTATTAAGCCCCCACAACATTTGATGTTCTTGTAGCTAGCATTACGAAACTCAACAAGAGCTGCATCCTTTTCGTTTTTGAAAGCTATCTTCTACCCTTGTTCCGAGGTAGTTTCCACGACAACATCAATTTCAACTTTTATTTTCCTCCTCAGACCCGATCAATACATCTATCACACCGACACCTTCCTCCCACCTAAAAACGCTAGTTGTACTTCTTACCTTAGTTGTACTTCTTACCTTAGTTGTTCTTGTACCTGTAGCATAGGTAAAAAGCACATTCATAAAAAAAAATGTTGAATCTCGTGAAGAAAGTGTGCATCTTGTCTGCGGTGCTTTCGCTGCCTTTGGTGATGGCCAAACCGAATAAAACCGATGAAGAGAAGATCGCGGAGATCGATGAAAAAATCGCCGCACTCGAAGAAGAACACGACCCGGCAGCCGATGTCTCCAAAATGCCCCGAGAAGAACGTAAAAAGCACCAACAAAGGACATCAGACCTGAATCGACTTAACAAGAAGAAGTATACTTAATTCCTAATAGTATGATGTCTACTGCTTGATACTTTTTCTTAATAGGCGCCGGGTGTGATTGAATCGTCTTCATTCTATTTTTTCATAATTTTGAGGTCCACGACTACAAAATGTATTTTTCTTCTTGATACAAGATACAAGTACACGTAGAAAACTGAAATTAGGTTTTGAATGCAGGGCCCTACGCCACACTACACATTCTAATTCTATTTCAAGATTTATTTCTCAAAGTACTTAAGTCAAAGAACTTCTCAATGTTGTTTCTTATAATTCTTTTGTGAGTACAACAACAACCCACTACTAACTGCAACAGACAAAAATTGATGGGTGGCGGTGCTGATCCTTTGGGCGGACTTGGTGGTATGGGAGGTCTCGGTGGTATGGGAGGCATGCCTGGAATGGATGAGATGCTGAAAGACCCAAATTAAGGCTTTCGCTAGTCCACATCTTTTAATACAGATGATTGGAGGAAATAAACGTAATAGTAGATACAAGGGATGTATATTACAGCCGTAAGAACTAAGTAAAAATACAAGAATCTTCTATAGAGATCCCTCAAGAACAGTATGCATCTTGATCTCGAGAGATCCCACATTTTCTATTTAGAGATGCTCCCGCAAGAACAGCACCAGTAAAGCAAACGTAACTAGTATTTATAAGAAGGGATGCATATTTATTATATATAACAATTGTGTAATCGGGTAATGTGCAGGAAAACATCCCAATACAAGGGAGAAAGATAGTCAGGCATAAATATTCTTGCGGGATCCACCGTCCCATAGGGAAGATGAATTAGTCTTAGTGCAAGCTCTAACCCCAGAAAATGGAGGAGATGCTCAACATGCTCAAGGGTATGGGAATTGGCGGTGGAGATGGCGGGGAAGGTGGTCTAGGTGGCCTTGGTGACCTGTTAAAGGGCTTCGGTGGTGACGAAGGCCTCGGAGGACTAGGAGAAGGCCTCGGAGACCTGGATGGTCTTTTAGGAAAGGGCAAGGGCGGACCGGGAAGCCTTGGCTCGGACGATGCTCCAGACGCTACCTCTACCGAAGGTGAAGACGGTGAGTCTGGCGCAGACGAGTTGTAAGGGATGCCATCAGATTTGGTTCTAGATCTCCTCAGAGCCAGGAGATAAAGTTGTCAGAAGATAATGATCAGGATTATATTGTTATCGAAGATGGACATCCCTGGTGACCTGGATCAAGTCACACAGAAGGTAAGAAGGATCATCTAGTAATATTAAATAAATTCATTGTATTAAAAGATGGTTGTCCCACTGTCTCCTTTGCTTGGTCTTCATGGTGAGCCTGACAGGGTAATTATAGTGCTGGACTACCTATCTATACTCTAGATTTATCCCTTCAAACATCAACATATTTGTTCGCTTTGTTAAGTAGTCGACGTTCCACGGACAATGCTTCATGGAACAAAGAACGCTTAAAAGTTGTTCACCTAGTGATTAACAGGAAGAGCCGAATCGCCTGTTGATTATATCATCACCATTAAGAAGAAATAACGCTGCAATCTAGAAGTTGTATACAAAGAACAAGAATCATTGCCATTGCTGGGATGTCATGATGATGATCTAATGTATTTGCCCATTATAATTGATCGCAAGCTAGTCCCTTGACCACCTTGATGTCCACATTTCTTACAGTACAAGCAAGGCGAAAATAGTTTCGCCGATATCTCATGTCTCTGGTGGATTTCAGTGGTCAAAAATCCTATTGCTTGATTCCAAGAATTTGATTTTTATGAAGATGGTTGCGCAATTCCCAGCTTGTTGCGCCAGGAGTACAAATTCAGAAGACTACAGCAGGACGATATGGAGCAGACTGCAGACAGTGACAACCTTGTTTGATATTTCTTAGGGGACCGACTCTATGTCCTCCTCACCATCAAGATGAATTTTCTGAGCATGATGTCGATGGATTTTCACTCGTGTTGGTCCTCGACTATTAGTACTCACCCAAATTTAGTCTACGCCTCCAAAAGTAAAAATAGCAAACCACGCGATAGACAAAGGGAAAATGGTCCCGACTATGCAGGCTTCATTTATACTCTAGCGTGTTCTTCTAAGTATACAGAAGTTTCATAGCAGAATACAACTTCTTATACATGATATCATGCCATTCTTCTAGACTGGAGATCATAGACATACAGCTCCACGACGAATAAAACTAGCTGAAAGAAGGTGCTTCTGAGTGAGCACGAATTGAGAGGAGAGTGTTGTATAGCAAGAGGAATATACCGAAAGAGAGAAGGACACCAGTCTCTAATCCTATCCCAATTGAACAAATATAAACTCTCGACTGCTCATTCGTGGATTATGTCGTAGCGCGATCGATGACACCGATTATAATATAATGAGTTTCGCATTAATATTGAACATGAAGAAAATCTTCATTAGGGACCATGCATAAATTCATTATACTCCGTACTGGTTGTTCATTCGTCTTTCATGCAGTCGATCGTCTTCCGCCCAACAGTATGATATCATGTTCTGTTGAAATATATATGGCATCAAGAAGAAGAACATGAATTGATTTATTCCCCGTTTCTTTAACCAGTTGCACAAGAGCCTCTTGTTGCTCCGTCCTGGTCCTCGAGTGCATTGTCGTCGCGACGCACATTGATTCAACCGTGCCGCGACCTGCGCGACCGAGAGCTGTGTGGAGCAAGGACAACACTTTCGAATTCGGACCTAGACAACATCAGCAGGCAAAATCCACGACATCAAGGACGCAGAGACGCCACACCTTCCGATTCTGCAGCTGTTCTTAACTCGCTGGGCGTTCTTGTTAGAGCAGTTACTAGGCGGGTCAGCGTCAGGGTCTTGGAAGACCAAACGTCCCTTGTCGGAAACACGCTAGATCAGATTTCATCCCTCGTCTCGACGCGATGTTTTTCTGGAGGAAGGCGCGTCCGCCAACGCCCCTACCGGGGTTCATGCGGAAAGTAAAGGTCTGCTGTACTATTGGACCTAGCTGCGACAGCGCAGAAACTTTAGATAAAATGGTGGCGGAGGGGATGAACATTGCTCGATTTAACCTGTCGCACGAGAACTCTGCGATTCACAAAGCGGCAATACAAAACGTGCGGAAAGTCACAGAAGGTAGTTTTCCAGTCCTTGTTTTTCTTCTTTATTACGTTCTACGAGTAGTTATAGTGCTGAGAACTCGTTCCTGTGTCTTATAGCAGACGAGGCCGTTGAGTCATGATCATACGTTCAAGGTTATGAACATGAATCCGTACATTACAGCCTCTTCACGAACGAATCCGGTCGGGGTTGTTTTGGATACACGAGGTAAAGAAATCCGTACGACAAGCCGGCCCGCAGCTTTAGACCTTTTAGAGTTATGCATATGCTGCTTTTTGATTCTTGTTTTCCTTCCACTTTTATCAGAGCATGTTGTTGTAGTTCTTCAATTTTCATCAGACTATTATTTTCCTTTATCCAGTTACATTTTCCGAGTACGTAGCAGGTTACAACTTCTTCCAGCGCTCGTTCTGCTGCTCTGACAATCAAAGATTCCTACATGATTCCGAAATTCTACCTCCTACCTGTACCTGCCTGCGTCTCCTCTAACTCTAGGCCAAAAGGTGCAGCTTCTTTCCGCTCGTAAAAACTACCAAATTGGTGGATCTAGTTCGTCAAGTGCAAGCACAACTAGCACTAGCAGTGGAGGGAACAACTCTTCAAGTATTGGCGCAACAGATGGCTCCCCTCCGACAATTGTGTTGAAGTATCCCGAGATCGAAACGCTACTGCACCCGGGTCACACTATACGAATGCAGGATGGCGAAATACAGTTGAGGGTTCTCAACGTCGATCCGCGATCAGGCCTCCTCGAATGTGAAGTCCTATTCGACGCAACGTTGGTTATGCAGAAGTATTCGAAAACTCAAAATAACCGAGTTACTGAATGAAATAAGGGAGGTAGCTAGCTCTGACAAGCCTACTCTTCCTTCTCATCAGTATCTCGGTTGTTCTGATCAGTTCCTTGCTTAAATTTCAGTTTTTCGAAGTGTGCGCTGTGCAAGTAGTTGCGCTATCACTTCTTATATAATATCGGTGTGCTGTGCCGTACATGATCAACTACTGCTATCTTCCCTGTCGAACACTCGACGTTGTAGTTGTTGGTCTTCTTTATCATCATGGACGAAGGTTCTTCAAGAATTGTTGTCGAACAACACCGTACTAGCCTCCTTCCTAGTGCTTATCTATATCTACGACCTCGTCAATCACTGACTTTCATTTCATAAGTCATATTATACTAGAGACTACCTAGCTTTCGTCCAAATTAGGCCTCATCTCTAACGTCAGTGCTGACGCAAAAAACGTTCATTTTCCAGAGGATGTGGAACTGCCTGCGACCGAAATCCTAAAGCCCGAAGACACACAGGATCTCGATATGCTTGCTCCATTCGCAGATGGCATCCTCTTGTCTTTCGCTGAAACTGCGAAGGAGGTACTTCTACTTTCATCGATGTGCTGGATCTACTATCGTTAGTACCTCAAGTTGAGCATGCTTAATTTTCAATTTATTTTTGGCTCATCAAGCTCAAGATGGACTGTGAATTATGTTCTTCTTCTTGTTTTACACATACTTACACTAGGTCGATCTGGTGCGTCACCGATATCCAGGCAAGGAGATAGTGTCGAAGATTGAGAGCGTGAAAGGTCTCAAAAACCTCGAAGACATTATTGACTTGTCAGATGGGATTATGGTGGCTCGTGGAGATTTGGGCATGGCGATAGAGGAAGCTCTGCATAGTGTTTATGCTGAGAGATGAGAACCATCTTCAATTAATACTGTACTTACTTGTGTAGTCTATCATGTACTTATGAGAAACAAGCTCAACCTCATTCAAGCTCCGCATCCTAGTCGTGGTCATTATGCTTGAAGTCATCATGATTTATACTTCTGTCCTCTGTGAAGAACGAGGAGGACTTGCCATGATAGCCATAGCTTTTTTACACTTTGACTTTGGCACACGACTTTTGATTACTTACGACCAAGAACATCGAACTGTTGCAACTGCATCGTCCTCCTCAAAAACAAAAGCTCCTGTTCCCCTTTTCTTCATAAAAAGCAGAAGTACATCATTTCGAAATGTAACGATGTTGGATGTCCAGTTTGGGTCGCTACGCAGATGCTTGAGAGCATGAAGACATCGAGAAAGGCCACAGTCGCGGAGTTGAGCGATATTAGTATTAAGGCTTGTTCTTGGATTTGCATTTGGAAGATTTGGAATCTTCCATGATCTTCATCTTCTTTCAGAAGCGTTCTGGTGCCTCTCTCAAAGAGAAATGCTTTTCAGAAGCATCCTGCCTGGTGCAATCTTCCATGATGTGATCTTCAGATGAAGCCTCCTGCCTGGTGCCTCCTCTCGTCTCAAAGAGGAAAAAAGCCTCCTGCTGGAGCCTCTCTGATGAAAGGGAAAAGCAGACCCAGGAGGATGACTCGCAACATGGATTTTTCGTGGAAGGTCTAACAGCAACGCGGTTCTCGATGGTGCGGATACCCTCATGTTGTCTGGCGAAACCGCCGTGGGCGACTACCCTGTTGATGCAGTGAGAACACTATCAAAAACCGCATACGATGCACAACAGCAGATAGAACTCGCATCACAAAAAATTATGTTCCCACTGCGGCCAGCATAAAGATGAATTGAAGTATGATGCTGAATAGAATCATCTTGTTACCACGATGTATCTTTTTCTACTAAGGACGATAAATTGATGCTGAAAATCATCTTGTTATCTTGTTACAATTACAAGCATGTATCTTTCTCTAAGCGTTAGAGAAACAAGATACATTGTAACATGTTAGTTAGAGTCTACTAATGACGATAATTTATGTTGATTTGATGGTGGTGATCCTGCTGTCAGTGACACTTAGTGACCAGCGGGAAAGACCACCAGAACGCTGATTATTTCTGGGACGACGAATCCGAGGAAGATCCCGCACGGCACCTCCCTTCCTGCCATAGCAATACTAGAGGTCCTCCTGACCTACTAGCTCTAATGAAAAGCTCCAGCTCGAGGTGAACGAGCATTATCAGCGCACCCATCGGCGTCTTTACAAGGGACTCATTAAGCCTAGACTCTGCAAACAACTGGGGACGGCTGAAGAGAGGCAGCAGGAAAGTTTAAGAACAACATTCTGACTTTTTTGACTATCTAAGGTTTACCCGCTTATTTGACTCTTCAATGAAAGCTTAAAGTGTCGGTCTCGGTGTCCAAAATGAAAATTTAGATTCTCTGAATAGAAATTGTCCTTCTATCTACCTCCAATCTTCTATTTTCTATCGATGCTGTCCTTCTATCTATCTACTCCTGTATCCACTAATAAATATCGTAAACAAGCTGGTATTGATACATCTACTTAGTATTGTCAAAACCCTTCTTGCATAATTTCGGAGAACAACGAGTATCCTTACGCTTGCGCCCCTTGGGAAACAGAACAATTATTCAATTCAGTTTGGAGGTTCTATTTTTTTTTTGTATCGCGAGCGAGTTCCGATAAATCAAAACCTACCTGCGTATTTTCCGCGTGGATGCCGGCGCTTTTGTTCTCAACAAGAACATCTTCACCTTCTACACCCATCTTCACCTTCTACACCTTCATACTAGTTGTATTTTTCTAGTACGACCACTCACCTTCATCATATCTCTCTACGACCACTGCTGCTGCTCAAATGGAACGAACGAAATCTGCAGCTGGAGAAGACCTGTTCATCCGAAACAAGGACGTGAGAGCCAAGCTGCAAGCTGATTCAGAGGAAAATGCAGCCTATGAGCAGATCGGTGGATCAAGCACGAGTCAGCAGATGAGAAGCAGCACCGCGGATGACGTAAGTGCAGTCTTCTCTGTCGTGCTATTTACGTCTAGTCTGGACTCCTGATGACGAGGCCCACTACTTTGATAGAGAGATCAGTGGGCAGGTGAATTTTGAAATTTGCATGTATCCTACAGATATTCTATGATATTTTTCATTTTCACGGTGACAATCTTGCTCTCGACTTTGATGCCACCTCGTCTACAAGTGTATTACAACCGTTGTACCTTGTTCGCGCCTGCTCTGCCACTAGTTCGTTTCCGAATGTTATAACTTTCTTGTCAGGTCCATCTCTACTGCTGCTCTACTCATTTCTTACGAGGAATCCAGCTCACGAAAACGAAAACGAATCCACAACAACGAACCTCAAGCCCTAATTTGCTTTCAACAACCCCCTCAGGCCCTGATCGAAGAGATCATCGTGAGAAACGCTACGCAGATAGCCAACGATGCGAATTGTAAGCTGATAATGTGCATCACCGAATCTGGACTCACTGCGTCTCTTTTGGCGAAGTACCGACCGACGGCGCTCGTACTGATGCTGACCGACAACGTGGAGACGCAAAAGAAATTTTTGCAAGTCAGGGGGATCCGACCTGTCCTAGTTGAAAACTGCGGAAAGCTTTCGGAACAGCTTCTCAGTTACTATTATGGCAAGCGGGATTCTAAAAATGGATTAGTTCAGGGTTCATCTAGTTCTAGACATTCATTTTCACTGGTCTGTAGAGCATGTTGACCTGCACCGGTTCAGGATTGCGATGAAGAATCTATGATGATGAATTGCGGTGAAAGACAGCAGGAATATGTAGAAACATTGGTGATCTACTTTTTTTCCACTTCTTGTTTCACCTCTAAGTTCCTGACAGCAAAAACCGGGATTCCTTGGAATACGTGCGACAGTCTTCAGGCGCAATGATCGACGTGTTCGAAACGGAGGGGCTCAAGTTTGCACGGGACGCGAACCTAGTCCAACCACGTGATAAAGTCCTACTGTTGCGGTCGATGCCTGCCGGATATGACCAAATCTTGAAGATTTTACAAGTGTAGGAAGCAAGCAGAAGCAGGAAGTATCAAGTATGTTGTAAGCGACGAGTCCAGAATTTCTATTTCACAATCTATTTCACTGTTGGCGAATGTGTGAGTAATCATCGTGACGAAACACTATCACGCCGTGCGGCAGTCTGCACTGAATTCTGTGCGAGATTAATTGCGTTGCATTGTGTTGTATCATCTATCCGAGCTCGCGCCTCGGTCTCGGTAATATGAACCTTCCGCATTTTTTTCAAAAAGAAAACTCCCCTCGTCGTGATAAGAAAACCCCTTTCTTAACGTCGGCCGGATGAATAATGCACTGAACAACAGCTGTATCACGTCCATCCAGTTCTTTTTGAAAGAAGCTTTCACGAATCTCTGCACATGTGGACTTTGTGCGACAGGCTTAGGCTAGAAGTCTTGAAAATCGCTGTTCGTTTTGATATCACGTTGTTTTGGTGTTTCATTCACGACAGGTTCTTTCATCCGTCGCACCCATTTGGTGGTAAAATCAAGACCACATCTCATTGTGCAACTCCGCGTTCACGTGGCTCTGGACAAGTATCTCCTGTGATCCTTACATAAGATACGGAAAATCTTCCTGCGTTGTCATTTTCGAATAATATTTTTGGTACGAGGACAGGCAAAGTTCTTGTGCTTTGAAAAGTGGTAGGCAAATTTCAGATTTGCAAAGTGGTTGTCGTTTTTCCCCTGTGCCACTAAGAATGATACAACGTATAAAATTATTGTTGTACCTCATTGATATTAACAAGACCAATAGTTGCAAGACGGGGCAAGAAGGACTGGCTCTTTCCTTGATGACTCAAAAATGGCTGAAATAAAATACGTGGGATCTTCGGACACGGCTGCAGTCTGTCGTGAGGAGCACATCAACCACACCAGCGAGCTTCGCTGTATTAAGGAGTCAGATGTAATTTTGACGCCGGACCTGATCGAAAGCGCTGGCGAAGGCGAGTATCGTGTAAAATGCGGAGCTGTGGAGTATGCCGACCATTTTTACCAACGTGGTGCTTTAATGTTGAGTGAGGACTTTACCCCGATTTGCCACGCGGATGCACTCCTGTTGCGAATCGTATCAGTCTCCGAGACTGAGTTGAACTGTCGTGATCCAGGAATTGGTTTTTCAAAAGAAGGGCAAGAGGGTTGTCTTCTTACACATTCTAATTCTGGACCTTCTGATTCTGCACATTCTGGCTCTGCACATATGGACCAAGAACCAACTACTGTACAATACAATACAACTAATCTCGCACAAAGTTCGGTGCAGACTGCTGAAGAGATGAATTCTTCGGAAAAGAGTCTTCGTTCCTCTTGGGCTCCTGGCATAGTGCTCTCGCCTCTCGACAGCCTCTACAGGCAGAACTTTGCGATGTTAAGCGAAAACGAACGCGAGGGTTCGGACGGTAGGCGCAATTCCATGTTTATTGTTGGCTTATTGCCAAAGACGTTGAAGCTTGGCGGCGAGTTTGATATTCGCCATGCTGATACTGCGGGGATGCTGGTGGGGTTCGAGTTGAATTGCGCACGCACGCGATGGCGTATGTATATGGTACATCCCCAAATGATAATTCACGATCGACAGGCCATTCAAGAGGACGAACAAACAAGCGTGCACCTGTACGCAGGTCCTCCGAAGACCCAAAGTAAATCGGCAAGAATTATTCCACGTGCCGGTGAGCATATACGAGCTGTGTCACTGCCACTGCCTTCAGAATGCTATTTACAGCAAGAGAATTCGAAGGAGAAAGATGGAAGGTCCGACCTGAATTGTTATTACGAACATGAAGAAAACAACCTCAACGCTTCCCCTTGGGAGCAAGATGACAGCGTTTCCGAGAGCTCAAGCAGCGACGATAACGACATCGCCACGCGGCTGAGGAAAATACAAGAAGCTGATCATGAAGATGGAAATCTTCATGCAGTTGTAGGAAACGGTTCGTATAGGCGGGGTCACCTTCATGATGACGCATCATGCCATTTGACTCCGAGCGACTGGGAAGTGGACGACGACGATGCTCGCACTGCGACAACCGAAGATTCCTTTTCAGACGGAGAGGAAGGCCACGACAACGCTGCACGAGAACCCAGCAAAAACGCAAAAGATGAAGATAAAAAGCGCATTTACTGTCCCTTATACGAGAATCGAGACCTCGAGTCTGCCTGTTGGCTTCCACTCGAACCGCCAGAAGCGCCGCGCCTGACTATTCAGTGTGCTCTAGTGGATAGATACTATCATCACCGCGACAGCAACGACGCAGCACTTGAGCCTGGTGACGAAAATCCAACTTTCGAAAAACGTGACCTTGTAGGAGATGTTGAGACCTCCTCGAAAAAAGTAATGTTGAATGAAGAAAGTCGGACGAGAGACGCCAAGCGTGTGTGGCATGGCCGAAGATATCTAAGAAAACTTATAGTAGACAATTTTGAAAGAAGCACGCCGCGGCGTGCCGCTGGAGAGCTACGACAACCAGAAAGAGACCAAGGTCTGAAAGACACGAGTATACTTGACACCTTGTTCGGTGAGTCCGACTTCACTGAGAGAAACAACGAGTTTGACGCTGATGCAGCGAAGTTTCGGCATAGAACCAAGAAGCTACGGGTGGGCATCGATCGTATCGCAGAAACTGTGCCAAAGGGCGCAACAAGGCCGCTGCCGCGGAGCGAAGACATTTGCGTAGCGTTGCAGGTCAACAATCGCTACGAGGCTGTCTTCGAGCGGTCTCGGTTATCGAGTGCCACAGTTGAACTGAGTGACTACCGCTGGGTGATTCTCACTCCATCTTGTGACACACGGTTTAAGATTGAAGCAATGATGATGGGTAGGTCCGAGTAAGGAAGAAAGACGTGGATTAAAAGCATCATCCTCAGTGTGGCGTTTTCGACCCAATCTAGAGAAACCGCGCCAATCTAGAGAGGTACCACCGCAGTGAGAACGATCTACTTTGGAAGGTGTAAGACTGCGATTTTTAGGTGACTGCAATGGAACCTTTCTTCCTTTGAGATGAACATCTTGTATTGTACAAAGGAGGGCAGCACCCTATTCCATCTTACTATGTGCATGTCCATGTGCAAGCGTCGGCAATGAGAACTGATATCTTTGGTGACAAGGAGAGGGGAATGCTTTATTGTTATTTCTCCTTATTCTGCACTGATAACAGTATAGCTGTTCCTGCTGCTTGTCGCCTGTACGAAGGCTTACGCAGAAATAGTCATTTTTGGACGAGCGATTGTCTCACATATCTTTTTCAAAGCGTGGTCGTCGAGAGGGATGCCAATGAGCGACTTTGAGGGTAATGGAGTATTAGTCTTGAGAAGAAAAACTAGCAGTAACAGTAAGAACTTGAACGAGCTGCTACGTCAGGCTTCCGACTACATAATGTAGTTTTCATAAAGAGTAACAACGCACAGGTAGAAGAAGAACTCTAAAAAATGTTGATCTCGTCTCTGTCCCGGCTTTTTGCAGGTCGTCGAGTCGAGTCTAGCACGCGGGGAGAGAACGAGAAGAAGCCTCCTGCCACGACTCCAGCTTTTCTTTACGGGTTCTACTTACTCGCACTCTCACTCTGTGGCAATATCGCACGTGCGGAATTTGCGTCTTTGTCGGCTATGGAGGAGTTTACTCCAAACGCGAGACTGGAGCGACGCGAAGCGCGACTGAAGGAATACTATCCACAACGAAAGGAAATACCAAAACTGCTGTTATTGGTGCCCGGGCACGGAACTGCCGAGCGCTGGCCTTGGATCTCCGATTCATTGAACAAGATTGCTGAGGAGTGGCGAACCGCATGGAGTCCGCTGATTGGTTCGTCACCATTCTTGTCCTCGGAAAATAGTGATATCAGCAACCTTAAACATGAACAGCAGCAAGCAGTAGAACTAGTAGACCCGTACCCGAACTTGGCTTGTGTGGTGTATTTGTACCGATCGGAGGAAGTGTACAGCATCGGGCAGGTCTTAAGGCTGCCACCTTGGCCCATTTTTCAAGACGTCATCCTTGGCCCTCTTTTCACGGAGAAAAAGGGACCAGGGAGGTTCTCGGGGATGCGAGCGCGGTAGCTCTAAAGGTCAGTGAGAGAGACCGACAACGTGGAAACTTCACGGCTACTCATTGCGAGATACGGCGTCGGTTACGGTGGAATTGGACTGGGTTCTTGAAAACTTCAGCCGATATTGATCCGACTGTACGAGGCAGGAATCTACACACGCAAACTCTGAGTCACGATAATGCAACCACATTTCTGGGCACGCTGATGACGCCGCGACAACGCTCCCAATTCGCCTACACAAAGGCGCCATCTGGTATGACCAGCTATAGCGCCTTTGCAGGGCCGCATCTGTCGGTAAGTCGATTGGAAGCTGGGGACGAGGACGGCGAGCATGATATGCCGCCAAGCAGAACTACCTTCGCTTCCTCCAAGAACCGCCAGAACCACTTGCAGCCTCTGATTGAGGATTTCGACTACGTAATCGCGATCCTGGACGACATCTCGGTAGAGGCATTCGCAATTCGTGACTTTCTTGGGCTGATGAAGCACAATCACCTCAACGTTGCGACTCCGTTTGTGTACCTAGCACCAGGAAGTAACTTCATCACGCAATCCATCGTTGATGCCGTGAGCGAAGACGATCCTAGATTCAAGCAGGTCGCTGCAGGATATCGCTCGGATCAGCACATGACCGTGACAAGTAAAACTATGGCCGCGCACAAGAAGGTCGTGGAATAAAACGAAATAGGGATTATATTCTCGTTTTCATTCTTGAAGTAGACTAGAAAATAGATGACATCTTCACAAACATACTGATGATATGCGAATAGTCTTGGCTACAACTAATGATCTTCGTGTCAGTGTCTGGTTTTCACTAAAACTATACCTCCCTTTTTTTGTTTTTTAATATCCTCTAATCAAAATAGTCTTTTTGGCTCCCTATACAAACGCGGAATAGCAGGCACAAGACTTCGCGCTTGGGAAGTGCAGATGACGATTTTTCGAAAGGACGCCTTCTACTGTTGGGCGGATATGGTCGATCCCAGTACGAATCCGATAGGTTGGGGCTATGACATGCTCTACTACGATATCTGCAACCACGCATCCAACATCGGCTTTATCAGTGGACCGCGCGCCGAAATCTTTCACCTGGCGGAGAGGTTTTTGCAAGGATTGTCTTATGGCTTAGATATTACAATGACGAATTTGATTTTTAGTTCGAGAAGAGGCGCGGCTTCGGGATGAAGGGGTATAACTGCAATTCATTGCAGTTGAAGTTGCTGGTGGAAATGATGTTTTTCTTGACATTCTCTGTCTTCCGCTGCTGGAGCAACTTTCTTTTGGTCAATAAAATAGAGGTTCATTTTCAACCTCTACGTGAACAAGACGTTTCTTCTAACTCAAATCGAACCGTTACGTGCAAGACGATGAAACGTTTCCCATGCCTAAGAACGTGAAGGCCCATTATGTCCGCGTCGGAGATTTAGGTAGTCTGAACGACAATGGTGTGGGCGGTGCGAAAGACGCGCGTGCGCGCAGTCGCAAGGAGCAAGCTCGACAAAAGGCACTAAACAAAGCTCGATCTTCTTCGGTTAGAGGTGTTGCTGGTTCTGGAGAAGCAGCAGCAGCAGCAGTGCCAGTAGAGGCTCTAGAGGCAAACAAAATATATCAAGACGACTCGTCTGCAGAGGACGAGGAAGAAGAGAAGGGATTTCATGGTATCTGGGGTCTCGGCAGTGATTTGCAGAAAGAACTAGTGCAAACGAACACGAACGCGTACGTCGAAGTGATAGGCCAGTATCAGATTGCAGAAGCAATGATGGAAAATTGGCTCAAGAAGAAGAGACTCACACCCTATTGGGAAAAGGAGAAACTCGAGAAAGATCGCGTTGAAAAAGTCATACGTGAGCGAAAGATCGACATGTGCAAGAACAGTGTGAATTCTACAGCTGCTCCTGTTCTAGAACAACAAGGTGTAGAAGTAGGTGTGTCTGCTGAGGTTGGTCACGACACTACTCCATCTTCAGCAGAGCACAACGACGAGGATGAAGAAGCAGCTTTCTCTGCTGCTGTGTTGGACCACAAGATTACAGTAGCGGCACGCGAGTGCGAGGAGCTCGCGTCCGGTGCCTTCGAAGACAGGTTGGACACTGGTGAAGGTGACGAGACAAAGACCTCTTCTGGTAGTTCAGCGCCATCCTGGGACAACGCACTTGATGACTCGCGTGGGTTCGTTGTGAAAGCTTGTCTCGTGGCGCTCGAAGACGATTTAATGTTCCTGAACGATCCCTCCAAAGCGGAAGCACACACACGGACGATGCGGGGAAGTTTACAGCTGTAAATGTTCGACATCGACGCAAGAAGGTGCAGATCCTACTTCTAGCAAGACTAGGGGAAGTACTTATCAAATCTTACTCTTGCACAACTTCTAGATCTGGAAGGTGGACGTCGACGTGGGCGTCGAAAGCTCTTCTTCTAGAGATGAAGGGCGATAATGAAGACGAGGAGGACGACGAGGATGCGTTTTAAGTTTAACTCTCGAAATTTGCGGACTCGAAACCTGTTACGGAGAATCGGCGGAATCAACGCCTCGGCGCTCGCTTCGGCCAAAAAAGGCCGTCACGATGAGCGTCAAGCCGCCAACGAGAACGCATGAAGAGGAGGAAGCGTCGAGACAATGGCTCTGCTGGCGAAACACCAACTGCAGATTCATCGGGTGTTGTTTCAACCATCGGAAAATAGTATGCTGAGGGTAACCATATCCATATCCAAGGCTTACCGTGATCCTAGGCTGAAGAGGGTTACCATCGCCATCAAGGGTTGGAATCGAATTTTTCATCGGGTGTTGTTTCAACCATCGGACCTGAAGATGGCAGCGCGCTTTTCTTGCAAGTGCACAGAGAGCGGGAGGACTTCGAGAAAGCAGCGCGGTCGCGCTTCTCTTGCAAGTGCACAGAAAGCAGGAGGACTTCATTATTTTATCATGATACCATTCAATACCAACCTCCTTACTGCTCAAAGAAAAAAGGAGAATATACTTGGGATGACGTCTTCTACAACCTAGGACAAAAGATAGATTGATGGTTGTCAAATTTGAAAGTATTCGTGGCAAAGATACGGCCATGCACGTTGATGACTTGGTGACGTGACAGTCCGTTTGGAATATTTTGAGTCTCAAAATTTGAGACCAACGAATTATCGTGGGAAGACGCGACATCAAGGACCATCGTCCCTCGGGGAACTACGTGTGCTTGTCTCTCCCACGTGAGCAGCCCTCGCCCGCATCTCATGAGCTGCTGCCCCACCTACTAGGAGCGGCCGAAAGACGCTTTCGGAGAGACTGCAGACTTCCATTTGTTCCGAGCCTCGAAATAGGGTGGACGAAGATTCACGCTCAACAAGAGAGCTCAAGCCGGAGGCCATGATCTACAGCTAGTACTTAGACTCTATTTATCCTTGTAGAAGCAAGAGGAAGAGGGTTCATGGACGCGTACTAACTTCAACAGTTGTTACCGAGTACCTTGATCCTTGGCTAGAAGGGTATGCCTTGAGCCTTTCTGTGATCCTTTGAAGAGAGAACCCAGAAGAAGATCCACTAAACGGCTAAGCGTAGACTAGTTTGTTGTATATTATTATTGTTGTAAGGTGCATGTTTCTGCAACGTTTCTTGTCGAGGTATGCTGCTTATATATATCACTTATTTCTACGTCTACGAGTACGACTACTTGTCTCTATGTATGTTACACTTTTTCTAACCCATAAGTGCCCTCTCTCCACTGAAATATCGTCGCACAAAGTTGTTTGTCTAAATTTTATTAAAGATCCTCGCCGATGTGTTATACTAGAATTTTGCAAACATAGTAGTGAGTAAGAGGAACGTGAAGTCACAACAAAGCAGTGAATAGCCCACAAGAAGCCGTGCCTAAAGTAAGTCTAGTGTAATTTCTTTCCTTGAAGACGTAATCTTGTCCGTTTAAATTCTCTACAATCGTTGTAAAGTCGATAATTCTGCGTTCATCAAACACAAATATCCAGTGGTATCTTGACAACTTCCCTTCTGATACCTGCTCAAATTAAATCTGTCCAAGTAGTAAGTAAAAGTAGTATGAGTAACAATAAAAAGAAGACAGAAAATGTGAATAAATAAGAGCTGAAACTCTAACACAGGCGGAGGCGAGAAAGAGGAAGGTGGCGAAAAAGTCCTCACCTTGTTTTCCCAAAAAGCGGAAGAAAAGGAAAGAAGAAGATATTGAAAAGGCGAAGAGGCATGAAGCAGGCTTGATTTTAAGGTTCCCCCCCGTTTCCCCAGAAATAAGAATCACCGTAAAAAAACAGAAGCAAGAAAAATAGTTTTTTCTTCTTCAGATTCACTAATCAAAATAACTTAAAAGAAAAAACATGTCTGAACTAGAGCGGAGAAGCAGGTGTAACGGCCCGGTGTGGGCATTCGCGGAGGACGTTATTCGACGGGGACATGCGCCTGTACATGTAAGGCCGAACGCGTTCCATGACATCACGAACGGTGGGAACTACAGAATCATCTTACACACAGTAGTAGATGGAAAAATGACGCACATCATCGAGTACCAGACAACGAAAAAGGTTCTCTTCCAGCCACCGAACCAAGCAGTGATGGAGGCGTATAATGCAGAAGGGGAGGAGAGAACGAGACGGATTGATCAGCTGAAAATGGTAGTAGTAGAGGACTGGATAAGCAAAAAGAATCCAATGCAAGGAGGATCAAGGATGAAAATTCCTATAACTATCAAAGAAGTGACACGAAAGCAGCTAGGAGGCAAGCGAGCAAGCGCCAAAGCAGAAAGCAGAACCCCGGAAGCCGAAGGAGATCTAGCTCTAGTCACTGAGCAAGGACGAGTACGGGCCTACTTTGGTGTGGACCAGATCTCTATCATCACAGAATCTTCCAGTTTCGAGACTCTGTTTTGGGAAGAGATAGGAATAGGATACAGGCATAGTAATAGCTCTCAACGACAAGATGATGGTGCCATCGTTGTACCCTTCTACAACACAACTGAGAAGAAAGTTACCTCCTTCGTCCGCGAGCAGGATCCACTAACAGGAGACATCAAGATAAGGTGCCCGAACGACTACACCACATGGGAAACAGTAGCAGAACTCATTAATCACGGAGAAGTGAACCGATTCTACGGAGAACTAGTGTACTTGGATATGGACGGAGAGAGTCCCATCTTCAATCTTTTTCAGATCAAAGGACTTATATCTTCTAGAGATGCAGAAAAATGCCAGTGGAAGTCTTATGTAAGTGGCCTCAAGAAGAAGAATGCAGCGCGGTCGATCACTTGGTTGGCGAGAAACGAGGTGGAAAAGATCGACAACCTTCAGGCCAAAAAGAAGATCGTGGCGGCATCTATATCAACCTCATCATCTTCCTCGTCATCAACATCTAGACAAAATAGCAACCATCACATCAATGAACACAAGACTCTTGCGTCACACATGCGGATGTCCAAAGTATTCAGTGACGAGGAAGACGAATCAAAGAAGACGTCGATGTGTAAGAAGCTGTTCCGGGAGCCGGCTGAGCAGATAAGCAACATAAAGGAATCGAAGAAAAGAAGCCATGAGAACAAAGGATACAGTAGTACATCCAAATCGGAGATAATCAAAACACCTAGTTTCTCTTCGATCGAGGTGACATCTCCGTTCCAACTCCCTGAAAATCAAGAGTACTACATGAGTATGAGCAAGCAGACGAGTGCACGAAGCGACAGGAACGAAGTGGAAACGCAATGGATTCACGAGGCCAAGGACGAAAAAACAAAGCGAAGAAGGATCATGGACAACATCAACTGGGACGAGATCTGACTGGGAAGATGAAGAAATAGCAGGAAACAGAAGAGAAGACAACACCGTAGGAGCCGCGCCGAATATGCAGATGGGTGAAGAAGCAGCGATTGAAGAAGTGAAAGTGGAGTGCTGAGCTTAACCCGCAGAGCTTAAAATTGCTGAACTAATTAAGTAGATAGCTGAACTAGAAAAAGAAAATAAAATAAAGACTAAAAAGCACAAGGGAGCTTGTTCTGCTGAGGACTATTTTTATCCTCGGAATCGGAATTCGGTAGTAGTTGTCTCACTCGCCGGTCGATTGACTCGTCATGATCTCGTTATCGTCTTCGGGAAGGTAATCTCGATCGACAGGCACTAAAAAGAAGTTTGATATATACAAAAGAAAAAACATAGAAAAAGGTTTTTTCACTATCTCAAAAAAAAAAAGACACAACCTCTTACTTGGACGACGAGAAGAAGCCACTGGGTTCTGAGGAAGCGAAGCAGAGAAGAAATCGACTCAAAATTGGCAGCATGAGGGTGAAATCGTTCACCTCTGAAGAGGGAGTCGTCACAGCGATGGTGACACAGACGCTGATCACGATGCTCTTCGACAACACAACTGATGAGAAGAACTTCTGGCAGACGATTGCCATCGGGGATCAGAAGTGGCTCAAGGCGGCAAACAGATACTCCTTCATCACGGTGTTCAACATCGTAGTGCAAGGCATCATCACCTGGGTGCGCGAGGTCTCGAACGGTGTCGTGGAGATTCGAATCACGAACAAAGGGGAGGTTGAAGCGGTGATCGAGGAATATATGCAGAAGCAGGGCGTCGTGGATCATCTAGGAGTGCTGATCTATGTGGACGGCAGAGGAGACTCGGCCTTGAGGAAGTTGTGGCACCAGGGAGATGGCGAGACGGCGGAAATGGGCAAAAAGCAATGGAGTGAGTGGATTTGCGAGCTTTCTTGGGCAGCAAAAGGGAGGAGCTTAGAAGAATGGGCAAGTGTGAACACGGAGTGAACAAGATGAAATGAATATAGTACAGATACAAAGAAAGAAAATAAAACAGAAGAATAGAAGAAGAAAAAGTGATGTAATATCGTTTTGTTCCTACTCGTGATTGTCTTCGATTCGTCTATCGTCGTCTCGAGTTCCCTCGTCCTCGATAGTGACACTTGAATAACACCCTACTCATCAATGAAAAAGGGATGAGAAATATAAAGTTTTTTTCGTTTATTCCCTTGAAAGAATAAGTACATCTTCCTTCCCCTCTTGGAAGAATAGTCACCCTCTCATTCACGCCGGGAGGAACAGGACGAGGATGGGTGAAGACGACAGCGAAGCCTGGCGGACGGGCAGACTGAAAAAGGGTTCAAGAGGAAAAGATGGCGACAGATGCTTGACGGTGCAGAAGAGAGGCAACATGAAGATCAACATACTAGCATACGAGGAGACTCTAGTGGTGAAGATCATGACGTCAGAGGAGGAGAAGCGATTGACAGACGTCATGATCACTGGCGATGTCCTCTGGGTTGTGCAAAGCGGAAAATGGAGAATGACCAGCATCTTGGTGGTAGAAGAGCACAAAACAGTACAGCTATCAAGGCATGAAACAACAAAAACAGCAGATGGAAGCCACGCAATCACTTGGTATCTGCAGAAGTCGCAAGTCATGCTGCGACAGCTACTTCTATGGACAGAAGAAGAAGTAAGGCCGCTCTTTGGTGCTTGCATCTGTGATCACAACAACAACCGGTTGATGCAACACTATCACGAAGTCCGTCCTGAAGGAGTATTCGAATGGAGTCAGTGGTGTCTACAACAGGGCGCAATGATGCATTGTGCCATGTTTGGAGCAGAAGGTCTGAGGAGTAAAAATGAAGAGTATCAAGCTGCAAGCGATCAGCAGAGCGATGTGTCGCCTCTTGAGGGGAGTCTCCTGTTCACAGACTCTTTTCTCGAGCTGGCTGAAAAAATAGAACAAAATGGCAGTGATGAAGAAAAAGTTGTGCAAAGGATGAAAGAGGAAAAAAGAGCCAGCCCGCCATGGAAGAAGTCTAAAGTCGATCAAGGAAAAGAATTTACTGCAGAGATAAATAAAAATCAGTCTTCGAACTCAAGCTCTTCATCATCTTCTGCCGGTCGTCGTTTCATCCCACACTTGGAGAAAGATGGAAGACGAAATCAACTAGAAGGGAGTCGAATGCGACGACAGTGGTCCACGGAGAGGTGCAGTCGACTTGGAGTACTACCCGAGTGCGTTAATCATGTTTGAAGTGGAAAACATCGAAGAGGGGGCACTCCCCGAGATTGTTTCGGAGCTTTCAAAAACATCATCTTCGTCATCATCATCAAACTCTTCTAGTGACTTACTTAAGTTGCAACAAGCAAGTAGTAGCGCAGCGGAAAAAATAACATCTGAAGATAAAAGTGACAATGTGAGGAAGGATGCAAAGAGTACATCTACAGCACAAGATAGCCGAACTGCTTCGAATAGTTTTACGAAGGTAGCAGTAAGGAGCACGAGTGGAGGTAATGCTCGAAGAATCAAGATCCCTTCTCCGATAAACAGATGGAACTTCAGAAGATTTCTTCCTAGTAGCATCAACGAAGATGATCACCTGGGTCCGCTACCGAGGTTCTCGAATAGGAAGCCAGTAGGTGCACCTCCTAGCCCCATGACAAGAGAAGAGTACAAAAAAGCAGGGCGAACATGGGGAGTAATCAACTTCAAAATCTCGCCCATCTTGAAGAAGCGACAATTCGGGAGCAACAAAAAGAAAGTAGTGAGGCAGTCATCAGAGTCGGATCCTTCACCTTTTACCTCTGATTCTGAGGTGACAGTGGAGATCGACGAAGAAGCCGAGGAACCCGCACTAGATGATGCATCATTGCGAAGTGTACAGAAAATTCCTGCTCCTGAGCACATACCCAATAGCAGAACATCTGGGACAGATATCAAGGAGTCGCACTCTCTTTTTCTCTGTGCTGAATACTTCAAAAAGGATGTGAAAAGAATTCAGGTAGACATTGCGATAGCGAAGGAAGACACATCCTTCAACATCAACACACAGCCTAATCCTCATAGTCCTGGGAAGTACACATGGATAGATCAACTCGGTGTCCCACGGGTATTAGTGGAGAAGACGATCGTGCTAGTGGTGAAGATGGGAGACAAAACGAAAAAGATACCAAAAACAATTACGCCTTACATCATATACACGGACCACAACAAGAACGATGTGGTGAAGTACAGATCCTCCTTCATCAGCGTCCACGAATTCTTACAACAGACAAGTACCACTAGAAGGAGGATGCGCAACGCGAGAGAAGGCACCAACACAAGAAAAAGGAGGGTGAATCCGTTGAGGATATGCTTCAAAGGCGACAACAGCGAAGAAGGAGAAGGAGATGCGAGACCAAGCCCATCGCCATGTCCATCACCTCAACAGCGAGCTCAGCGAAGACGATATGAGGCAAATAAGAAGGCTCTCCCCGTCCTCCATCAAGTGCTTGGCACAACCAAAGATGTATCAGCAGATGGCTCATGGAGAAGGACAGCACAAGCGAGTTCGATAATGCCGATGCACGTGTATAAAGGATGGCAGGCGGAAAAGGGAGCAGCATTGTCCGCTACGACTAAGAGACGAGCAGAGGAGGTCATGAAGAATGACAAAGAAGGAAAATTCAAAGTGTCGTTTTTGGGACGCACCGCGACAGTGGAAGAAGAGCAAGAGACGAAGAATAAGATAGCCATAGCAAGAGCCTATAATAAGGAAAGACATAAATGAAAACGAGCAGTAAAGCAGTGTGAAGATAGAAGAGTAAAATAGAGTCAGTCATGTCAATCTCACAGCTGAATTAGTATATTGTTAATCCCAGGCTAGGATTTCATTAGATTAGGTAAGTCACTAAAGTATTCGCTGATAAATAAGTCAAATCTAATGTTTGAACCACAACAAAAGTCATCTTATTATTAAGTAAAAAGTATAGCGCTATTTTTCTTAACAAGGAGCATATCGTTGCTTGACTGGTAGAACTAGAAGTAGGTAGTAATTCCTCCAAGTACAAAAGTGGGTTTTCTTGAGTTGTCCTTAAATAATATGAAACTAAAATACCTTGACAAACTTTTCCTCTTCTGTTGTCTCGGCGTAAGAAAAACAATCCTTTGAAAAAGCTCTCATACTCTTTGGAAGCCGGCGAAAAAGGAGAAGATGACGTGCCCACAAATAAGTGGCTACGGAAAATAAGAAGAAAAAGGGAAAGAAAAAGATAAAATAAAATAAACTAAGAGCACAATGTAAGTGACAGCCTATGAGTCCCCTTCTATCTTAGGACTTCTATCTTTTTCTTTCTCGAAGACGACGCAAAAGAATGTCTGCCACGGTGAAGAAGTCGATGAGCAAGAGAAGGAGTATGACGGAGGAAGCCAAAGGAACAGTCACGAAGTATCTGAAGACGCTCTGTGCAAGGCTAACATACATCCTGATGTTGCTGGATAATTTATACAATGGAGTGCTCGTCTTATGGAAGACTGCAATGGAGAGACTGGAGCTGCCGATGCAGAATCAGATCATGATCATGGCCGACAAGATCCAGGACTGCGCCTCCGGTCTTGCTGACTACATCTTCCCGATGCAACCAGTAGCGGAGTTGCTCAGCACGAAGAAAAAAGGAGGCATCATCCCATACAGCATGTTTAAAACGGTCCTTGGCGTCGACAACAAGTTGGCCGAAATGTGCGAGACGTTTTGGGCGATGGAAGATAAGATGCTGGAATACGGATGGCCATTCGAAACCGAGAACAAGTTGAATGGGAAATGCAACAAGTGGGTTGTGGAGCTAAAAAGCAAGATGGAAGTCCTAACTGATGACCAGATAGACACTATAGTTGAAATGAAGAAGAATGTGAAAAAGTGTGCAGTGTGAGCCTTGAAGTTCTTCGATAAAGGATAGTCCTAGCGAACAATTGAACATGTTGACGAAATCAAGAAAAAAGCAATTGTTGATCTTAATCTTGTTGTTGATGAAGATAATTAATAGTACTCATTTGAAGCCAAGACTTCTCAGAAAGGTCAGCAACTCTAACAATGCAGGCGGAGGAAGGCGAATGAAGATATGGAGCAGAAGATCGTGAAAAAAGAGATTAAGTACTAGACCATGCCCACCTCTAGGGTGGCTATGGAAGACGAAAAAAAGAAAAAAGGAAAGTAAGTAAAGCATAGTATGACTGTGAAAAGTATAAAATCATCATCCTAAAAACACCATTCGAAATCAGTTTTTTTTCGAAGACTTGAGTCAGGAAGACAACAAAATGATTAACGTAACCGAAGAAGACGTATCAATCGAGGAGGCGCTACGATTAGTACGCAAACCGATCCAAGAAGCGACGAAAAAGCTCCAGGAAGCGAAGAAGAAGGTGAGGAGCATCGACCAGGAGGAAGCTCGATCAAACACCATAGTGGAGAGGAGGATGCAGGAGGAACTCGTCAGCGCCATGACATCTCTTGGTGCTCATGATGACATAGTCGACAAGATAAGAAACAAAGGAAGAGCAATTACAGTGGAAAAGATGAGAAGGTCACTTTTTGCCTGTGGTAACACGAGAACTTGGACAAGCTGGTTAGCGAAGGTGGGTAGAGTAAGGAGAACACAGCCTTCTTCTTGGATATCGGAGCAGTACGAGGCCGCAGCAATTCTAGTATCAGAAGAATCACAGATAGCTGATGAAGAGGTAACAAAGAGGCTGATTAGAGAGTGGATGAGCGTGCACGTGAAGAAAAAGCACATTGAGGAAGAAGAGGCGGCAGCACTCAGACTCAGATCAGAGTCGGAAGAGAAGCAAGCATCTACGTCCTACGAAGCCGCGGTCCCACGTGCACTTCGAGTCTCAAAGCCAGAACATGAAGAAGTCTCTCCACAATACATGGAAACTATACTTCGGCACCTTGGAAAAAGCGAAATAAATGCAGCCATAGTAGGAGCATGGAGAAGAGCAGAACCACTGAAGAAGATATCAGGAGAAGAATGCGAGATTCTCAGAGCAGTCAAATTTGAAGACGGGAAGTTCCTACGGAGCGCCAAGAATGCAGCAGACATTATGGCGCACTCTCTAATTGCACGGGCAGTCTCTCCGGAAGTGCGTCCACATACGTCACATGTAATAGCCACATACAGTGGCGATTTTGCTGTCTTATTTGGACTCGATGCGCGAGGCTTTGACGAAGAAAGAAAAGGCTATGCGAGGATCAGCATTCACGTGACGGAGATGATGTACTTCTCGCAGCGAAATGAAGCCGTGCCAGTAGCATCGAAATGGACAGTATCCTGGTTAGTAGACCGATCAACAGCAGCATTGGCCACCACTCAGGCTATGATATTTGAGCTGCTAAGAAAGGATGGAAGAACAGCAATCAGCAGTCTAAGAAGTGCCTGGGCGAAGATAGTGCAAAGGACCGAGGAGGAGAATGATGGCACCCCAGAAGACGACATCAGAGGGACACCACTGAAGCTGACTCTTCGACGATACCTAGTCACGCAAGAGGCAATAGCATTCTGCAGTAGTATCAAAGTTATTCCTCTCAAGGACGGAAGATTTATTGTCCGCCAAGCTAAGCACTGCGATGAAGAGACGATAAACGATGTCGTCGCCTCTCCTAGTGCTGAAGTCATCGAGTACATCATGCAGAATCACGACAAGCGCAAGATAGCAGCAGGGATAGTTCTCAACTGCATCAGATCAAAGTCGTCAATGGTGGATATGAGACAGCCGAGGACGAAAGATGAAATAAAGGAACTCCTCCTATGCACTAATGCGGAAATGAGTGAGTGCAGAGGTAACAGAAAATACATCAAGGTGGATGCTCCTGTGATGATGGATCCGGACAATCCGCAAGTGCAGGCAGGGTTCGACCGTGATGTGGAAGAAGTACTGCAAGGTCTTGACGAGGAGTCCCAAAGCCTGTCGCCAGTTGCTCTTGTTCACAACATTCATCTTCGCACCAATATCGACTACATCTTGAAAGTCATCATCGAAAACCCTTCGATCAGATATGTTGCAGTTCTCGAGGCGATTCGACTGCGAATTGACTGGAAGAAGGCCGAAAAACAAGTATCGAAAACGATAAAATTAGTCTGGATCACGAACACATCTCCGGAAGTTTTCACTTCTTGTGGTGGAGTTGGTTGGCTTCTTGTGATCAGGAAAGGAGAAGACATTCCTGCGGAAGAAGATCGCGTCGTCTTCAACTCAATAATTGCAGTACATGAAGAAGTGCTGCCTTCTAAAAAACAAGAAGAAATTGAAGAACACATCATCAATACGAATGGAGGTGATGTAGATCAACTAGCTGTGCAGAAGGATGACAGCAACAACGTCAAGCAAAAAGAGCAGAAAAGCGGCCGCCCAGAAGATGCGATTGCTTGGTTCTCAATGTTGAAGATTGGTGACACCTTCCTGAAGGCATCTTACATGCGTGATCATCATCTCAATCGCGCTCAAAGAGACTGCTCACTGATAGAAAAGCAGATGGCTGAAGTAGAGTTACAGGCGAAGACGATGGCAGAGGATGCAAAGCACAAAATCGTCGTTGCTGATATCAACTTTGATGTTTCCATCCCTGCTGATGACGATGCAAACAAAATGAGATGGCCCAGCCTGGCGTATCAGAAAGTTTGGCTAGTCAACAAGCGGACTGACGACCAGCTTCAAGTTGTAGATCATGTGGAAGGCGTAACGCAGATGAGCCACAACGGGTATGCAAAACGACTGGATATGGCAGCCACTAATGCTGAGGAGGCAGCAATCACGAAGTTCTCAATTGTCCAGAACGGCACCAAGAAAACCAAGGACCATGAAAAGCCAATTCGCGAAGCATGGATATTTGACGCGCACGAAGAAGCGGAGGGCGTCTTGTTCAACGACCATTTGATGCTGATGATTGCTTCGTCTGACGGCGATGCCATCTTAGACAACGCAGATGCCTCCTTCTCGGCTGCGAAAATCAATCAGAGAAGGCTTAGAAGAAAACCGAAGATAGTGGAGAACGTCATCAAGCCACAAGATATGGCCTCATTTGGTGACAATATTCTGGGGATGTTCAATAGATGCGTATATCCACTGGCGTATCAAGAAAGGTGTGCATCTTCTGCTATTGGTTTCCCGACCAAACAAGTGAACGTCACGAATACGAAGACCTTCTTTCAGAAGTTTTTCCCACTAGTCAAATGTCCGAGGAACAAATTCGCCGAGAAAAAGGAAGTGCAAAGGGCGTGGGAATGGGCAAAAGCGATGTTGGTCAGAAACAACGAAGAAGTCATCCCTTTTCGCGAAATCCCGACTGTGATTGCTGAAGCCTTGGTGGATAACGGCGTCTACGAACAAGTCCATGTCCAAGCGGAAGACAGCAAGAAGGTGCAGAAGAAAACGGAGAAAAAACGACAACAAATGTCCGAATTAGAGGCGTTCTTGCAAGAAAACAATAGGTCGAGAAGCACAAAAATAGATCCCGTCGCGGCTTCCGTCGAGGAAGCAATTCAACTCGTGGTTGGAGCTGGGCGAGGCGCTCCCTGCTCTAAGGTGGCCTCCATCTCCTTCGATGGACAATTCTCGAACAACTCTGATGATATCCTGGTTGGCATCATCGGTTTTCATCTACTAAAATCTGATTGGATTATTCAGACAGCAGGCATTGGAGGCACAACAATGTGGGAGCAAGCGAAGCTGAAGCAGGTGTTCGGTCAACTACAAAAAGCTGCAAAGAAAGGTCCTGGATTCGCTCTTACCACTTCTCAAATTCGACGTGCTCGAAAACGGCTCAATCAAAACCTTGGGGCCCCGAATGGTCTCCGCGCACGGTCACTTATCGATGCACCTGAATGGGTCGATGATTTAATCTGCCGCGCCTTCAATGATCTGATCGAGAAAACAATGACCGAGGACTACGACACCGTGATGAGCAAAATAGTGACGGAAGCAGAGCGATTCTTTACAGGATCGCTCCTGCATAAGAAGGCGAGAATTTTGGAAGCCAATGACCTCCGGTTTACGGTCAAAGCCGAGCCATTAATCCGATTACTGATGAGTCTCCTTGGAGATGTCTGGCAAGAATACCTCGAAAAATGGGGCGAATTGGGACGTGCGTCTGTGAATGGTAGAAGCGACATATCGCTCGGTATGGGAGTCATCGGAATAAGGAGAAGATTGAGCAGACGAAAACGCGGCATTGCAGGCATCGTGTTATCACACGATGCCCGGCAGATGTTCAATCTCATCGGAATTTCTGTAGTCCTCTGCTGGCTGAGATGGCTACGATTACCACCACAACTGATAATGTTGCATCTGATACTGTGTGGCGAGAAGAGCATCCTCTTTCAGCTTGGAGAAAAAGCATACAGGATAATGGGGCACCGGAGATGTTTACAGGGGCAATATGATGCCATGCTTTCCGGCAACATAGCCATATTTGCCCCTTTCCTGAAATTGATGGCCAAGTTAATTGCTGAAACGAGACGTGATGATGGTTCGCTAGACCCCGAGGACTTCGAAGAGAAATTAGAAGCGGCCAGAAATGAAGCTGAAAAACTTGCAGACAACATGTACCAATGGGGCGTCGAGTATGCGGCTTCTGAAGTGGACGACTTGTTCGATCTGGATAATATTGATGCTTCGATCGCCAAAGCCCTGATGGACTCCATCAGCGTCACACAGGACGATAATGAAGACACTCGAGTTTGCGTGGACGACACATTAATCGAGGCCACATTTTCCAGAGCTGACGTTATAAGCCGAAGGCTACAGAAATTGTTGCAGACGCTGTCATTCATCACAGAAAAAATGTTTAAGTCGGCTCTCATTTTCGCGGCTACCGAGAAAGCAGAATGTCTACTTTTTGACTTCAACGATGGCACTGAACTCGAGCAAGGTTGGATCGACGATATCCTCAAATCAGCTGCAGTATTTCAGGTGGCTCCTAAGCTAAAGAAGAGGCTCGTGTTGTTCGGAATACCATTCAGAAATGACATGGGCGATGCGATGATAGGACTTGTTCGAGCGAAATTATACAACATCGAGCGGAGTCTTGCTTTATTCTTCAAGCATGAACCTGCGGGAGTAAAACCAAAATGGATCTTCACGGTCGCGCAGTGGCTTTCTACGTCGAAAGTTATGAACGTCACGCCTCTTGCAGCATGTGAGCTGGAGGAAAAGCAATTCGAGGACATCGAAATGGCGATGGCCAGATCGATATTGCGAGGCCTAGGGATCCACGATCAACTACTACACCGTCTGACGATAGAGGCGAGGTTGTCTCCGATTCAGCTCCTATTCTCCACCATCACATCTTGGCCGAGGCTGTTAGCACAAAGTGCGCGGGTTGCCCGGAGGCAAGCAGCGAAGTTTGCAGGTGCGACACAGTCTAGAGGTGAATTACTTGCAGTCTACGACAGAAAAATTACCGTCACCGAGAAAGCATCAATGGATCAAGAGACGCTCAAGATGATAGAAACTCGCAAAAGTGTGCTGCTAAACATCGATAACGCGCCGCCACTGTCTTCTTCTGCGGTACCGATCAACATGATCATCGACTGGGCTGACGCCACCCGGTGCGATAACAGCAAGCAGTTTATTCAAGAGGAATGGCGGTCAAAGTGCGATATCTTAATTTGGGCGGAAGAAAACAACTCGTCCAACATTCTCGTCATGGAGCACACAGGAGGGCAAGCATTCAAACTGAGGCGAAGGTACAACTGTGCACTTGAATTCGAGCAGCGATACAGAGGAACTGTATGGACGCCGCAGACAAAGACCCAGGTTGCACTACGAGAAGTAATTGCGGCTGAGCTGAAAAGGAACAAGGTGTCCCGTGCGAAGCAAGGATGGGTAGCTGCTTTTGGTGTTTTCGAAAATGCGATCCACAGACGATCTTACGCGAATAAGAAAATGTGGGCAGCAGCATGTCGAGGAAAACTGATGCTGATTAATGCACCGAAACCGCCTATTCCGCAGCTGAAGGAAGCACTAAAAGCGAAGCAGCACGAAATCGAGAAGATTCAGATGACATTAGCGGATGATGTCTGGTTGTGGGCAGAAGAGGCGAAGTGCAAAGTGTTAGATCCGGAATCGAAGATGAAAGATGCACTCAAGCAGATCTTCGACAGTGAACAGAAGATGACACAAGGGCAAATTCGTAAAAAAGTCGCACTTGCAATTGCCGAGAACAAAAAGGAAGAGAAGAAGAATGAAGAAGAAGCAGGAACAGGAGGAACATAAAAAGGTAGGTTAAATGCTTGACGGTGCCTTGTCGTGAGGGAGCACTCCTCTTACTCACTTCTTCGGTTCACTTGAAAGCGGGTCGGTTGTGCTTAGCTTTTTTTAGGCCGGTGGTGCTGGGGGTGGAACTGTTGTGAAGCCTTCAGTTTAAATCACACGCTTGATTAAAGACGGGTGCAATGGTCCTGAGTCTCCAGGGATGCCTGCTAGAAATAATAGATAGTAGACAAGAAAGAGAAACAGTTCCATAACCTACTGGAACTTACTTAGTGCAGGTTATCTTACTGTAGCTCAAAACCAGTTCTGGTGCGCGATCGCGGCCAGGGAATCTTGGGGGCCGGACTGGGAGACTAGCTTCTGGTCTTAGGTCTTGCTCGACAAAGGACCCTCCAACTTTTAAACTTGATAGTAGGGACTGTCGAGATGGTTGGTTTTTTCATGAATGAAGATGATTGATGTACGTCTGTTGTAAGTTTCATGTTCTTCATGGCTTCATACAGATATTCAGTCTACCCGAATTCGTTTAAGAACTGCGTGCCGTTTTGATAGTCTTACTATTATCTCGTATGGTGCAGTTGCTGTGATGCCCACTCCGCATTCAACTGTATCCGTCACCTAACGATGTGTTATACTAGTTATAAAGGTAATCTGGTTTTTTCAAGAATAAGTTTGCTATTGTCATCATATTTTTAATCTACCTCTAGTACGTCTACAACTACGCTAAAGTTAAGCATATTAAAGAGCATCAATTACCGCTTGTGTATCAACGAGGAGCACAAGTCATCACCAAGATGAAGCGCAGTTCTGAAAATCCTCAGGTGGAGAGCACCGCGACCAAAAGGAGTCGCGCAAACCGAAGGCCCGAGGCGAAGCACATCATCGAAATGAGAAGCAGTTGCGAGAATCCCAAAAGCACTATCTGTGGTATTGATCCAGAACCGCGACTGAGTCTTCGCGGTTTTGATGGAACATTATCCAATAGTGCGTCAACGGCATCAACAGCCTCAGCTTCCATTTCAAGGAGCGCGCGAGCGGTTTGCGGGATGCCTCCTTCAGAAACCAGTAGGTCATCAAACCGCAGCACCACGAGGCTGAAGGAGAACGTTGGCGCTTTTCGAACGCCCCTTCTTTGCTTGTCCTCTGGAAGTAGTGGCTCTTCTTCTTCTTCGTCTTCTATTAAGGCTCAGCTTTCAATGGTCACCATTGAGATTGGAGTCACTGAGATCGAAGAAGCGGCCTCCCCTTGAGAGTAGAACAGGGGAAAGGGAAGGGAAAGGGGAGAGCTTTGAAGGAGAGAGCATCAGTGAAAGGGGAGAGCTTTGAAAGGGAAGGGAAAGGGGAGAGCATCAGTGAGCACTGAATGCTGAACTTTAATAGTACCCCCGTCGTTAGCGCAGGAAGGATGCCGGTCCACGGGAGCAACGGCAACAGAGGAAGTAGTACTTCTTCCGGAAGGACGTCCTCCGGCTTCAAAAAAAATAGAAGCGAATTTGACAACGAGTGCTGCTCTGGTTCTTCCAGTTCCTCTCCCAGCAGTTCCACCTTCAAGAACAAGAGCGTTTTTTACAACGATATTAGCAACACGGATAGTACAGCTGGCTTCTCTACTATGGTAGGCAGCTCTAAGTCTATTAACCTGAACGAATGGAGTTTCGTCTCGACGCGATCGACGCGAGCTGTGCCCTGCGCAAAGGAGCTCAAGCCTCCTGGGAAGAACAACCCAATACCCAAGAAGATCGATCGCAAAGCTGAAAAGAAAATCGCGGCCGCCAAAAAGCGGGCAGCGTGGCACGCAAAAGAGCGCATCCGGCTAGCCTCCAACCCTTTAATGCGATACCAGAGAAGGACGCTGCACGAGTTACGAGCCAACCTATTTTAAGCTTGTTCTAAAGTCCCTGCTGTACTTGCTCTACCTTGTTGGGGTAATATCTTTTATTATAAGTACGAAAAGAAGAAGAACAAGATTTGGATTCTATCACTCTACCAGGCTTGGACGATATTTCATACGCAGCTAGCTATTTGCCTGCTCATATCTATCTATGCATCTCTAAAAGATCTGAAGTCAGTACGCGACATTGGTAAAGCCGTGAAGGGCAAGTTGCTGAGCTTGCAGCAGTGCGAGGCGCCGCATCAAACGAACAAGGGCATGAAGAAGAAAGGCCGAATCAAGCGCGTTTTTGGCGCTTTCTGTGCGGGGAAGAGGTTCGGCGAGAAGGGCCAGCCGACGGCGACATTCCTCTTCTACAAGATTTAAGGACTCAGCACTTCATCTTTGCGTCAATTTTCATCTTCTGCGTCTGCGAACGAACTAGATATAAGTCCACGCCTAGTAGGTAGCGGGACTTTTTACAACTTAGTACATGCAACCTTCAAGGAAGGAGAGTGTGACTTATCGAAGATGTTGAGCAGAAGAACGCACTATCTAGGCCACCTCTAATATGTGCATTGTGCGGCGCTGCTGCAGTGCGGTCTGCCCAAGGCGACTCGACAGCCAACCGAGGAGCAGGTAGAGGCCGCAGCGCGTTTCTACGCGCCGCCAGCATTACGGGCGGGCGGCCCGGGATGGGCCACCGGAAAGATCTGCCCCGAAATTCTTCAGCGTATTGCTGTGGATTTGTGGTTGCTTTTGCCCCATCGTGGTGGGTGCCTTTTGGCTTTCGAACGCCTTCTGATGGCCCGAGAGTTCTACAGTTGCTTGATCTGTCTGATGTCAAGTACTAAGCCGATTCAGCTGCGCTTCCGCTGGGGATTATGCCGCGAGGAAGGGGGCCAAAAGCTGCTCGAAGAGGACGCGCTTGAACGTGTTCGAGGCATTTGCAAGGAGCTGCGACTATCGAATCCTGCGGAGCGAGCCGAGAACGAAGCACGCGGAATGTCGTCTGGCCCTTCGTTCATTTATGGCTCGCTTCCTTGGTACTTGTACGCTGTGGCCCAGATCCCGATGGTGCTACACAACTCTAGACCCAAAAAACTCCGCACTTTCATTAAGGCTCCCCCTAATTCATCTGAACCTGAAGACGCATCATTGTAAGTATTTAGCCGTTTTCAAGGAGAAAGCACTTCAAAATCAAAGATGCCTTTCAAGATGAACAATAGAGATCAAATATAAAGTCTAATTTCAACATGCGGACGCGTTGCATCTTTCTTTGTGCCCGAGCAATGTGCTGGATCCGTGTCGCGGAGTGCCGACGGAAGAGGGCGGCGCGAAGCAGACGCATCGCCATGAAAGAGAAGCTGCGACGCATTTCCTAAAGTTGTAATTGGACTCCGAACAACACAAAGAAATAGGAATATTTAGACAAATTTCGCTAATCCTAATAAGGTATACCGTGTTTTTTATAAAAACGGACGAAGGAGAAGGACAACCGGACCAACTACGTCAAGTGACATTTATGTTGTGAAAAGTCTCAATGTCCTTTCTTTCTTCTTTTAGTTTTAGCGCATTCCTCTGATTCAATGGCGCAATTTTTATATCGACAGGAGAGGGAGACACCGTTATTGACGACGAAAAGCAGTAGACAATATGATTCATCTTCTGCTTGTAAGAAAAAGAGTCACGACTTGTGATGACTTCTTGACCCAAGAAAGGTGGACGACAGAAGTAGATTCGACGATTATGATTTTTTTTTTCGACGAGATTAGTAACATCATAATTTGAAGACGAGAAGTACTCATACCCATAGGTGATTTGGCTCCTACGTACTGTTTGCGCATAGCTGTATGCGTCAGCTTCGGAGGTGATGCACGAAAGCCACCTGAAACCGCCTCGAACGAACACCGAGATGCTCCTTCGTGATCCTTATCATGCTAGACGCTAAGCACTCATGTTGACATGATCGGTGAGACTCGATGAATCTGTGCTATCAATCTATGAGGACAACATCAGTACTAGATGAAGATGAAAACAAACAGGCGTGACCACTTTAGCAATACTAACTGCCAGTGGCTTGGCGAGTCAGTTTGTGCTGATGTGAAGCGCCGTGTGGTATATTACACCTCAAGATTCTACAACTGGTGATGCGTGTGTCCTCTAGTCATGCCAGTCCCTCTCATCCCGGAAATCATGCAGCAATAGAAAATTGGATTTTCTACACTGTTGCGATGAGATTTTCACAAGGTGATTTTCAGAAGCAATTGGCGATGAGATTTTCAAAGGTACAACCTTCAGATCAAGAAGTATGTCTCTTATTTTGACTGTTTTCCAATTCCAGTTTTTATAGATACCTTTCTCTATATTTTTTTTTACAATTATATATTCTTTGTGAATGAACGTGATGGACTTCTCAGCTAGCAGTTAATCATAGAGTCATCCTTGAGTAGAAGATTTTCTCAAATATCTCTGTGTTGTACCCGATTTGGAAAACTAGATTAGAATATACATTTTATTCCTAATACCATTCCTATCCCGAACTCCAAGTTCTTGTAACCTCAAGAACAACAACAAGCTACTGTTACTGTTGCTGTCTACTATACTAGGACCAGGTATACAACCTTACTAATATTTATATACTAACAGTAACAGTAACTACATCATAATAAAGCCAATAAATTAGCTACCACGAGAATAAACATAGACGACAAAATGCCGGGTGCTACTGTGACTGATAGCCGGTCCGTTGTGAAGATGAATGGGCCTACTACCTCTACGTCCGATACGACCATGCCGCTGGCTGCGATTCATTCCCTGCCCTTTGATGTCGAGGACGCGACGATGCACTTGGGCTACAATCCGGTTGAGAAAATAGCTGGTGTGCCGACTGGAGCCGCGTCCGAAACGGTCTTCATGGAGATCACCGGTGACGATACGCATTGGGCGCATGCTGTGCGGTATATTAGCAAACATTTGGATTACGGTGGAGGTGAAGATGATGAAGCAGAACTTCATCCACAAGCAGCCACAAAGACGCGCTCACTTCGAGTTGCACAGAGTGTGGCGGAAGGAGCGGGACCGTGGCAACAAGCTGATGAATTTTTCATCTTTGGAGGCAAGGGAAAAGGACGACTATGTTGGCTATTCTATATTCCTTGTTGTAGACATTATAGTAGTAGTACTGGAGTGCTGTTCCCAGTTGGAACGACGCGTTGTAGAAGTTCCATCACGTTGTAGAAGCTACATTTTGTTGCGAACATGGATCGAAAGCAAGAACTAGAACTAGAACATCATAGACGATAAGAATTTAACAGTTAGAAGTATAACCTGCTGCACCATGATTCGAATGAATCAACATCAAATGCACTTCGTCTAATAATCATCGGAGGCAGACGCGGGAACAAGAAACATACGAAGGCGAAGGATGAACGCCGTGCGCCGATTCCCAAGATGGGCTTGGGTTGGCACTCTCTCGCGTTCGAGCCACGTTCCAGTGACATCAAGCCTGAGGAGGAGCAAAATTCGGCTGAAGAGGAAGCTTACGGCAAATGTAAGTACCTTAATCTAGTAAGATACAGATTTAAGGTCGTTCTTCATGTTCATCATGATGTTCTTGCGTTCGTACCAGGTAAGATCTCTTGATGGTAGCAATATGATGATTTAAGGAAGACTAGACAAGAGAAAGGGATCGATGCGGCGCTCTTGAAGGGATTTGAACAAGAATGAACAAGCTCTCTAAGAAGCACAAGAGGGGAAAGATCATGAACCTTCTGCGAAGAAGCAAAGAGTGTGCAAAGCAGACGATGAGGCAACTCCCATGTTGTCCAAGGTACTAGTATTCTTACTTACTTGTTGTTGTTCTAGACACTGACATTATACGACAATTCTTCTAGACATACACGATAATGTCACAACAATCACGAACCTTAAAAAAAGCTTCGTTTCTTGCGGAGCAGAATAAACTTAAAGAACACTACAACTTAAACTACCATAGATTCCAGTAACGATAGTGCGGCAGCGCATTGGACGGCCGGTTGCATGTGAGCGCGGCTTTTCCGGCGTCGATTTCTTCCAGAGCATGGTTCTATTCTGCCGTCGTTCGAAGGCCACAGATGCTTTGCAGAAGGCAGTCCAGAAAGTCGAAGCAGAGAAAGCGAAATCAAGACAACAGGAACAGGAGTTACGGCTGATGCTAATTCATCCTCACACACAGAGTATTTACTAGATGTTTTTTTCACCTGAAATGGTAGATAGTCGTAGTTGCTTTTTGGATCCACCTGAGGTGATAGGTAGACGCTTACAGTATGAAGAATCGCGAGTTCTAAAGCAGTTGTCGGGCTCGGACCAAAAGGAAAAACGGCCATCCTGCTGCTCTGCTTCTTTCGCCTTGCTCTACCTCTGCAAACTGATGACGGACGACGTAGAGGAAAAAAAGGAGAATCAAGTATCTTTGTTACGGATGATGCTTTTTCATTTTGCATCTACCAGACCATTGAGGCCCTCCTTAATGTTCAGGCTATACGTTTTGAAGGGGAAAAGAGGGGTAGCCTCGATCTTGGTCTGCCTAGATGGAATAGACGCCATCCATTTTTGTGGAGATTTGATACCAGAATGCGTTGCTGGATGGCACTGCCGAGACGCTGGGCCCGCTCCCTGGAGTCAGTCGTAGTCGAAGAAAAGACCAAGAAGCAGCTTTTAAACGATCTAGAATGGTTTGAGCTAGAAGATACACGAGTCTTCTACAAAGAACACGGTATTCCGTATCATCGCTGTTACTTGTTCTACGGCCCTCCTGGCGCAGGGAAAACGAGCTTGATCTACGCACTCGCAGGTCACCTCGAACGCAACTTGGCATTCTTGCAGTTATGGCAGTATGATAGTAGTTGTACGAGGAAGTTCACGTAGGAAGTAGTACGAGGAAGTAAGATAGTAGTACGAGGAAGTAGTAGAAGCAGGACCTCTTCGTCCAGGATCCTTGTTGTTTTCTTTCTACGGATTTGTTCGAATCCTCCATTGCTATGGTTCTTATTGCTACTTCTACATCATCTGCTTTCGCACATCACACTACATTAATATCAGCTAAGAGAGACATTTCTAATACAAGTCTCCCCAGATTTAACCGACGATGGTTTTAGACAATCGATGGAGACATTGCCTGCCTACGCGATGCTGGTGATGGAAGACGTGGACGCAATGTTCGATCACTGTCGCGAGGCCTCCGCCAAACAAAAATCGAGTTTGTCGTTTAGTGGGTTTCTGTTATGGAGCAAATCAATTATTTTTCGTCGAGTTCGACCACTTCACTAGTAACTAAGGAATGGGTACCTAAGAAATGGGTACTAGGACGTATGTAGAAATATGCTAGATACATCACTAAGTTTTCAATTTTGCCATTGATAATTATGGTCTGAAACATTTCATTTCTAGAAGTCATTTTTCAGTGTTTCCACCTCAAGAAGGTGGGAAAATGGAGGCAAGAAATGAATTGCTTCAACCTTTAAATAGAGTGAAAAACTCACTTTCACGACACTTAGAAACTGCTATCTTCTAAGTTCCAACACGCTTGATGGTTTGGCTGCACCCGACAATTTGATCACATGTTTAACTACCAACCATCCGGAAAAGCTCGATCCCGCAGTCTTGAGACCTGGGCGAATCGATATGAAGATCGAGTTTCGCGCTGCTGGCAAAGAGGTCGCGAGCAAGTATTTCAAGACGTTTTACAAGAAGAGTGACTTGAAGACACAAGCTGCCGCTGAGAAATTCGGGCAGTTTGTTGGGACGCTTCTATTAAGGCCGCTTCATAACATAGAATCGTAATCCACCGTACGCAGCCAGCTGCATCTTGGGTTGTCGGTTTCTTAAGGGAGAATGGGCACCGAGATGCCCCACGAGATGGATTGCTTCTAGCTCTAATGTTGGGAGCCAACCGACTGTCGATGGCGCAACTGCAACACTTCTTTCTCCAGTGCCATCGGCTGGAGAAGGATGCTGAGGCAGCGGCAAACTACGTCGCGGAGTTTCGTTTCGACGACAAGCCAGCTATGAACTCAGCTGCTTCGAGCTCAAATGGGATGTACTGCTAGAAAGTGAACCAGAAAAGAGGTGTGCATCTGCAAGCCGAATTCTCTCCACGCATGTGCAAGCCGTGTTGAACTACACGAATTTTTTCCACGCTAAAGGGGAGAGTTTTTCTGAAAGTAAAACGCACAACACGACGACTTTTTATCAGACTCATCTACTTAAGTAGATCCGTTGATATTTCAATGGCGATGTGCAATTTGTATTTGTTTGGAAGTACTTCTTATATCACAGACGTATTACCAGCCTGATCTTTTTCTTTCTATCTCCTTCTCCGAGTTCGAATAAGGGGCGCTCTTTGTTTTCTTGGCGCTTGATTATGGTATATTACCAGCCTGTGCCCGATCTTTTTTTTTCTATCTCCTTCTCCGAGTTCGAATAGGGAGCGTTCTTTGTTTTCTTGGCGCTCGATTATGGTATTCAATTATATGACAAGAAAAAGAAAAACTGATATTCATCCATCATAGATCATTATGGTATTCAATTATATGATATTCATCTGCCGGAAGCTTTGCTCCTTTGTGTTCATCTGGAATATTTGCCAACTGCGCTTACACAGGTGTTTCATCGATGGTCCATGCTTGCGACTAGGAACGTTTCACCTTATCGTTGTACAGATCTTCATCGTCTTCATGCAGAGTACCAAGTCTGTGTTGGAGTTGAAAAATTCTCAATCATAAGCCGTCTTTAATTTGTATCTGTTCTTCAAGTGGAATAAACAAAACAGGAATAGAGTGCTAACCGTCCATATTAACTTTGCTCTTGCGGAAGGACTAGTAGGTTTCAGACGTAGCAACAAGACAGATGACTGAAAATTTATCATCCGGTATCTGTATCACCTAGTACAATAAATTTGTTCTTGATAATTTGCGCTTGACAGACTTAGGACACGGACTTACATCAACCTCGTAATAAATTCGATATTGATGCACTCGACCACTGATACTACCTGGTGCTGGTGGTCTTAGATTATTTGTCCTTGATGCAGCCCGTCCGAAACCGACTCGTTCCGTCCTGAATGTTGCCCTCCGGAGACTCCGGCGCACCGCCAGTGAAGCCATGGCTACGAAGAGGGAGGGGCGCTCCAGGCAGTGGCTCTTCGATGACAGACGGGGTAAAAATACTAGATCCTCGGAACGCTTATAACGATGAGATTGGTCGTGGCGGCTCCTCGTCCTCATCCACGCGCTTGGTTGGTGGTACTACCGGGGTCGGTGGTACTGGCGTCGTGGTGGACGACATATACGATATCGATCCGATAGCAGGTGGGAACAACGATCCTCTGCTTCCAGCATCTTCATCTAGGACTATTAACGCTAATGCCGGACGGAGACTCGCAGGAGCAGGAAGAACACCAAGTGGACCTCTGACCTGTATGAGGCCACTCATTGAGAGCAAAGAGAAGATGGGGATGTCGTTCCTTAGTTGAGAACAAAGAGAAGGAGGGACGACATTTTTCCCCTATCGACGTTCTGAATAAGTGGAAGCATTCATGACAACTACAAGTGCAGCGTTAGCGGGCGCCGCAGGCAGTCTTCTAGACGAGCCCGAAAATTTGCAGCTTGCAGTACCTTCCATGGATGCCGAGGATGACGCAGGGGGTGGCGTTCTAGCAACTGAAGATGCAGCGTCTAGAATCGGTGGAGCAGGTGGCTACCAAGATGGAAACATGTACAATCCCGGAGGGTCCTTTGGTGGCGGGATGTATGGAGGGTACGGACCCGGTCGTGGTGGCGACGTCGATCTTTTCGGTCCCACAGCGGAGAGTTTGTTTCAGTTTGAACAGGGATTAGTTAAGGCTCATCATGCTTCAGCTTCACAGGAGAACAAAGTAAGAGAAAACGTGTCAGTCTCAGTTTCCTTCTTGGATTCTGAGATTATGATTGAAGTGACCTAACCTTACCTTTTTTCCTAGTTAGCTTGGCTCCACCCGTATTATTTGAAGTGAACGAAATAAGTTGAACTACTGCGAGCTCTAACCTAGCTTTGAACGACGTGGTCTGGGATGTGATAGCAGATGCTTTCGATTGGTGTCGCATGTCTCTATGCCAGAAAGCGATCCCAACAGCTGTAGCAGTTGTCTCTAGACTACGACAGTGGGTTATACCCTGCGACACTGATCCAGAGTGGCTCTTCCACGAGGGGCGATGGATAATCACGAATCTTATGGATCAAACAAGAACTGGTGTAACTGTTAGTACTGAAGCGGTACTAGTGATTAAGTGGTTGTAGTGTTACTGACTCTTACCAGGTAAGGGCAAACAGCGGATGGTGTACTTCATGCTCCTTAAGTCCTCTCTGCTCTTCTAATCTGTAGGGGCACATCGAAGCTCGTAGGATACTTAGAGCAGAACGCGACGAAGATCGGAGATATAGGGAAATCCGGAGACTCGCAGAACTGACGCGGCTTGCCGAAAGAGACGCAGAGTTATTGCTTTTCCCACGCGCTTCATCATCCACAGGAGCCACATCCTGCTTTGTTACAAGACCTAATACCACTTCTAGTCGAGCAAGAGTGATCCATTTGTTGAAAAAAAAGGATCAGAAACACTGGGCTCAATTTAAGCGAGAACTGCTGCTGGAATGGTTTTTCGACTTCCTCGCGCGTTACCGGTTCAATAGGCTCCTTCGACTGCTAGGTGTGCTTTTTCTGTGGAAAATGTACTTGATTCGACGGCGGCGGAAACTCTTGGCCCAGCAAACTGGAGACCCTGTCGCGCAAAAAATGTGGGATACCTTAGCTACAGCTGCGAAGCTGAGGCAAGCGACTGCGACGCCGACGCCAGCTAAGACGTAAAGGCGTGTACTGGGTAGCTAGTTGTGGTACCTTTGCAAATTTTTTTACTCGTCCATGTCCATTCATCTTGCTTGTGTCTGCACACCTGGAGGCACTTCTCCGTGTTAGTAGAGCATGATGTTTCATCCGCAACTACGATTGCGAGTATTCTCAGAATGGCCGCTGGGCGTGTACGTGTTACCGATTTGAGGCAGGAGCGCGAAGTGGGTAGATTACTACGAGAGAAGTGCGCGTGAAAGAGTCAGGCCTTCTACTTGGGTGGTCTCGAAGACTGATATTTATAATAGAGTAAGGCCAATAACGGGTTTCGAGTTGCTCGAGTTGCCACGAGTTGCTCGAGTTGCCGAAGCGAAGAGCTTCACTGCTGGAACGAGTTGCCACGAGTTGCTGGAAGGTGTTCGCTCCATCGAAATGGAGCGAAGCAGGGCGGTGCGAGCACGGAGCTAGCTGCTCGAAGTGGCGAAGTGTAGGGGAGTGCTGTTCTTGTTGTTGCTCATGAAAGGGGCAATCGGGTATGGAGGGCTCCTGAGCCCTTATGGCTTTTTTTTGTAGCTTGCGAGCGAACGTCTATTAAAGCACAACCAACGGAGCGGAGGGCCCGGCTCGTTGTTGTTTTTGTTTGGTGTCAGTGTCGCTGTGGCGTGTCGTCTAGTTGGTGGCGGTCTCTCCCTTTTATTTTCTTCGGATGTGTGGGCAATGAATCTACTCCGGGGGTGAGAGCGAGCAGCCCCCGTCTGCTTTATTGGGCGGCGCGTCTCGCTTTGCTTGGGGGTGAGTAGACTAGAGGAAGTATGGCTGTTCGACGTAGGTTGGTAGTTGGCAGTGGATTATCGGACTAGCCTCGTAGTCTTTACTTAGATGTCGCGAGTAACTAGATGACCAAGCAAGTGGCTGGGATGAGTCTCGAGCCCGAGACGGTTACTCGCTCCGGTCTCAAGGGTGCACTGAGAAGAAGACCAAGGACCAGAGACACGGCTCGTAGTGTCGTACGCTCCTGCTAAGGTTTCGCGGAGTCTCGTAAAGCTGCGCCCGAAGGGCGCCGCGCAAAAAATTAGGGTGGGCAACTCGAGCAACTCGAGCAACCCGAGCAACTCGACCCGATACGGGTCAAAAAGTGCCTTATTCTATTATAATAAGCAGACGTCGTCTAATTATCACTATGATACAATATTCGCGTGAGATGAAAGAGCTACTGCATATTTGACAGTTGTAAGGTGTACTTATTTGTGATAGGTGCAAATGGATACCCTACTTGTGATAGTGATTTGTACTTGTGGTCTGCAGTCTGTCTTTCGAGCGGCTACATCAAGATACTAGCAGAAAACCAAAGTACACAACCACAAGTGCAAACAATAAATCACAATAAAAATGGCCCGTTCGCCGGTCCGTACTACTCCTGAAGCCTTGCAATTTGGCCTGGATTTACTGCGTGACTTCGAAAATGAGAAGGCGCCAGCTCCTGTTTCTGACGAGCGCAAGCAAGCGAATCGGCTTAAAGCCACGAAAGTCAAGAAAGATGAGCGGGACTTGAAGAAGGTACATACTACATCTTGTTCATCATATGCTTAATATCTTACCTAGTTCTAGTCACAACACCAACATATTTTCTGGAGTTGGAAGCAGAACTAAGGAAGAACTAGTACATCATGTTGATGTAGTTGATGTAGTAATAGTATTAGTTAGGCAATACTCACATCAAATAAACCATGCTATGTATCTATAAGTTGTTTCCTCCAATTCGGAGTCCTTCTTAACATCTTCAGGTTTCCGAAATCGATTATGGGAAGCATGAGAAGCTTGCATCCGAGCTTGAGCGTGAAGAGGCCATCGCCTACTGGGAAAAGGCTGCTTCGCAGAAAGATGTGCCTCGTCCTCCTGGATGCGCGCATGACCATCATTAAGGCTCGCGCATGACCATAATTAAGCCATTTTGGCTCAAGCTCTTCCATTTTCCTCACCCTTCTGATTGTCGTGGTTCTTTCATCACTCAACGTTGCTTAGGTTGCCTTAGAGCAGATCTATCGTTACCTCAAGTTGGGCATGCTATATTACCTCATCTTCTTCTTCACATAGTACTTACTTGAATACTCAGAATATCAATATGCAAGTAACAAAAACAATAACCGAGTATCTGAGATCATTTCCCAGCATACTTACGCGGTTATTATTTCAGCATTTCGAGTAGCTCAGTTTCATTTTTGGATCTGACACAGCAGAAGATAATCCATCTTCTGAGCGCTAATATACGAAGGAAATAGCCATTTACGAAAAACCCACTGAAGAGAAAATCTTAGCAGCTGATCGCTTTCGCGAGGAAGGAAATAAGGCTTTTCGGGAAGAAAACTTCGGTCTCGCAGCAGTCCAGTATCGGAAGGCATTACTCTATTGTATGGCACCGCTCTATTGGCAGCATAAAACAAATATTACAACTTCTACGTGAAGAATCAATATGAAGGTAATTATGGTAGGTACAAGGAAGTAGAGAATAACCTTATAACGAGAGGAGGACACTATTTATAAGTATAAGCTATCACTAGTTAGTAGATAAGTTCTTGCCTGACTTTTCTTTTTTCGGTTCTTGTTTTTTCTAGTTAGATATGCTCCACCAACAGTATAAGCTATCACTAGACCTAGAGTACAACAGAAGAAGATAGATTAACACTGCCGCATGACGATTCTTCGAATATTAGCATTACAGTATCAACAAGTATAACAGCAGCACACTTTTAGTTCCTTGTTCTCTCATCCTCTTTCGTTCATGTCGTTTGACTACACGTTTCCCGAGACGGATGAGCTGCGTAGCGAGTGCGACAAAGTTAAGCTCCGCGTGCACTTAAACATGGCTGCATGCAAAACGAAGCTTGAGGATTGGAGAGAAGTCTTAATACAGTGTCGCTTGGCTCTCGACGTCGACGCAAACAATGTCAAAGCCTATTATCTTAAGGCTACACTGGTGTCGCTGTAAGGATGATTCGACGAAGTGTAAATGTTAAATGTTTCAGTGCTGGTGTCTACTAGATAATTAGATGTAGAATCTCAGGTACTAGATTGTCGCAAAGATTGAGATTCTGCATCTAACATGTCCCCCAACAGAGTTGTTGTACGGGGACTCACTTACATTTTTCCTCTTCCTGAGGAGAACGCCTCGACGAGCTGCAGCAGTCCTAAGTTTGATGTCTAAGGATCGCCGTGGCGTGGCACTCACCGCGCAAGACCAGTTCGAGGCAGCGCAGGACGCCTTAAACCATGCTCACAAGCTAGAACCTCAAGACACGCTTGTGCGGCAAGCTTTAGCGGCTCTACGGAAAAAGAAGTCAGCTTACGTTGCTAAAACCAAAAGCGTTGCGAAGGCTGCATTGTCCTCCTCGGGATCCATCTTGGAGGGTGAGGGTGACGAACGAGAAGACTCCAAAGAAGATCAAGATCTTCAACGTGTCTTCAAAATCCAAGCACAAGAAATTGTAGGAGACCAAACAGGTGCGATTACAGCCGATGCAAGGAGCGAGCAAGTAGGGAATTCTTCTTCTGCTTCGTTGGGAGAGCATAAGAGCAGTGCTTCGCAAGCAACGCAGACTAAATTTTCTCCTTCATCAAAAGTGACGGATGATGCAGAACCACCAAGTGGCCGAACAATAGATGCCCCTGCCCGTTTAGTCGCTCCGCAGCACATCAATGCCGGAGAGCAGAACGCGGCAAGCGAAAGCGCAAGTGGCGGAGGTCCGTTTCTATACTATCGTGATGGTCCACCTGCCTCTCCTGAGGACGCTCTTGAAAATCCACCTCCAGAAAGAATATGCAGTAAAGGTTTAATATCAAGATCTGTATCTTCTTCTTCACGATCCTCACAACATTATATTATGGGAGGTCGTGCTGTAGGGAATTCATCATCTCCAAATGACTCATCTGAGATAGAGAAAAAGACAAGAGGAAAAAGGGACCCAGATGATCCCTGAGATGAATTCCCGATACAGCCTCTAAATTATATGCTACTCTTCAATCTGAAAAACCCGATGATGTCTTCAACAACATATTAAACAAGAAGGGGAGTAGTACTTCCCCAAATGAGCTGGCCTCCCAAGCAGAAGAAGTTTCTTCATCAAGTACAAAAGAGAATCTTCATCTCCGCATACGCAAAAACGCAACAAATAAGATGAAGGACATTCAGGATGTTGAGCGACTGGTGGATGCAGATGACCTTGAAATGCACACGCAGGTCAGTGGGCATGCTGAGCCTATGTCCTCTGTGTCGTCTGAGAACATGAAAAATAGGCCATTACTCATCAAACAGTTAGTAGATGATCTCCATTCAGAAAAGAATTCGGATGACTTAGAAACCGAACTCTCGTCGGATCCAGAGGAAATACCTCGTTTGCAGCAAGTAAAGCTCTTCCTTGGCCTTACCGGAATCTTCTTCTTTCTCCTGGCTATTTCCATGTTTGCACTTGAATGCTCAAAAAATATTGAACGCCTCTGAGGAGGATTATGTTGTTGTACGCGAGAATCTGGGTTACTAGGGAAGTTGCTGCCACTGGTCGTTGAACAAAAATCCACCAGACCACAGTTAGAATCCGATCGATCTTCGTTGAAGAAAGCAGATGTTACTAAAGAGAATCAATTTTCCTCCGACGAGGACTGTGTTGTCTTCTGACAGAAATCTACCTCGGTACAAGTAGTGCAAGCATCATGAAATGGGGAATGCGAATATCACCTTTCTGATTCTGTAACAATCCGACTAAGTAGAAAACTTGTTGTTCCAAGACCACGTGAATGACGATCCAAATTCTCATGGCGGACGACGAAGTCCAAGGCTACAGATGATTCGCTCTTGGTCTTGGCAGTCCCAGTCTTCTCTCTTGGCGGTCTTGTCATGTCAATCTCAATCACGACAAGAGAAATGTGTACCAATCACGTTATTGAATTGTCGCTTTGGATCACAGCAGTTAGCAAACTTGAAGAATGACCGTTCCACGCTCTTGATCATGTTCTTAGAACATCTACATCAAGTAGCACGTACATTTGTTGACGATGTGAATCTACTCGGCAATCTGCCCAAGATATTCCTGGCGGCTTCTGCTATCAAGTACTACTATAACATAAGTGCTTCAGTTTATTCTCGCTTGTTGAAGTTGATTCCAGCAAGGCAGTTATTTCTACATCTACTATCCAAAAGATGTGTAATCGAGAAGATGTTGGTTTGCTTTTCCTTATTCAAAAATAATAGCATTATATATAATCCTCGCGAGTGTACTTCTGTTGTCTTGTTCTACGAGACTAGCAAGCAAAACATGAAGCTCAGCTTCGAGTTTGAGTTTGTCTGACTGCGTGTACGTGTTGCGAGGAGTTGGGGAGCTTGTCGTTGAGCTGTCGTTGAGCTGACGCGTCCTTGTCCGAAGCGCAGCCCTGAAGCAAGATGGACGCGGGAAAGGGAGCCGGTATTTCTTCATTGTTACAGCAGAGGAGTCATTGTTACAGCAGATCCAGCTAGACGATACGTTCATGATTATTTTGATGATAAGTTGTAGAAAAATCCTCTACAACTGATATAAGTAGAAGATTGAACGGCTCCGGTATTTGGTAACCTGAATTTGATCATAAGGGAAAACAAGAAGAGAACCCTTATGATCAAATTCAGGTTACCAAATACCAGAGCCATACAAAGATGATAGTACATCAACTGAGAAGGGTACTATGATCTACTATGTTGCTTTAATACTTGCAGTTGTTCTCCATCCTCTTCCTCGACTTCAGATGGCTCTGGCTCCGCGGTTCCACCCGAAAAGATGGTGGAAAAAGGCCATATGTTGCTGAGAAAAGGCGAGCAGCTGATCGCAGTGGGAGAGAGCGAGAAGGGCCAGCAGCTCCTTCACAAAGGAAAGAAGGTGATTCAGCATTTCGCACACCAACTGAAAGGTGATCATACTGCAGGAGGAGCTTCAAAAAGTGATACTGGAGGAGCAGGTGGAGGTACGGGCATGGGAGGAATGGGCATGGGAGGTTCCTCTGGCAGTACTATGGATCATAACGCTGGTGGTCAGCATCTTCATGCAGGAACATTACAACAAATGGGAGGTACAACAGAGCAGCCTCAAGCTGCCGCGACGCATCAGCATCCTGGGAGTGGTGCAGCATTTCCAGGAGCCAGCGGCCACATGGGAGGAGCCTATCCTGGCAGTGCTGGTGCTATGATCGGACATGGAATGTCCATGTCAGCGGCCGCTTCTTCAGCAACGGGCGCGAATCTGATTCCTTCTTCATCAGATGCAGCTTCTTCCTCAGGTACTACGACCGTCATCACGAGGACTACAGCAGGCGGCCAAGGAGGTCAAACAACTGCGCCTACGGGACAGATCACCCCTGTTTTAACCGCGCAGGCTACAGCGCCACTAGTTCCCTCAGCTGGTGGGCCCAAAGATCCTTACGCTGCTGCAGGAGGAAAGTATGGCGGCGGTGGAAAGTTTTTCGTCAAAGGTGGAGACCCATATGGCGGAAAACACCACTACTACCAACATCAACACTACTTGCACTACGACCATGCGTCAAAGGGAAAACACACGTTCCATGGAAGCGGTTACGGCGCCCTGAAAGCCGGTATCGGTAAAGACCCTAATATTAAAGGTGAGCACTATAATGGAGGTCATAAAGGCGACCATGCTTTTTACATTAAGGCTAGCTACCACAAATGAATGGAAGAACCATCATCTTCACAAGCTAGCATCCTGAGACATCCGGGAACAACAACAAGGTAGTTCCAGGATGTGTCCCAAGATGGATCTTCTTGTTGGGTAGCTCTAATTACAACAATGGGAGTCACTACAATCATGGCTACGGTAAAGGCGGTCCAGAGCACGGCTACCAATTGGCTTTGAAGGGTGGCGCTGGAGACAAGGATGGCCACATGCACAATGAGGGGGGCAAGCGCGGCCAACAGCGCGGCCACATTGAGAATTAAGGCTCTTCAAGAAGACAATTCATGTCTAGCTGCGGCCATCTTTCCCTACTTGTTCCTTCTCAGGTGGATTGGGAGAAATGCAAGCAAGAGGTTGAATTGCTTCAACCTGAACCTCTAAGAGAAGCTAGACCTGCCAGGTAGCCTAGTGGAGCCTTTTTTGTGGACACTAGTGATCGTGCCGTTAGCGCCTAGCATGTCCTCTGTATGGCTATTGCATAACATCCTGAACGAGTGCGGGCAAGTGGTGCAGTTCCATCGGGAACCCGAGTTCTGCTTCGTGCAATACGGAGACGCGGCTCACGCCTACTGCGCGGTCACGTGTCTCAACGAAAAAGAACTAGACGGCCGTACACTAAGAGTCCTACCCGAAGAAGAAACCGAGAAGCGGCTTGAGGCTTGGAAAATGAAGCAAAGGAGCGAAATTTTAGCCAAACTGCAATCCGAAAATAGGCAGAGGGACTACACAGACGCCCAACTAGATTTTGAACTGGAGAAAACAACGAGCGTGAAACAAGCGGCCTTGGACATGCGTATACAGAATTACGTACGCCCAGAGGTGCCTCTACAAGTGTCGGACATGCTCTCTCCGGAGATTGGACCAGCGAAGCCACCAGCGGTAAAAGATCAAACTTCATGATCTAAAAATGCCAAAAATATTGTTGAAGTGAATTTCGATTTCCTCATTCCTACGTTTGTTCCTGACTGAGTCCACCTTCTTCTAATATTTATAAATATGTTCCTCTTTTTTATGAAACGAAAAAGCGCACTCATCCTCAAGAAAGTAGGCACTTCCTAAGTAGGAAAAAACCTCTTTTCTTGAGTATGAGTACTACACTTTTTTCTGTCATATTTTTACTGAACACTCACACTCTCCACCAGGCTGGCCAGGATGACGGCAAGCAGCAGCAGAACAACATCAAGTTAAGGCTACCACAAAGCACAAAAGAATCCATATTATTCTTTCACAGACATCCTGAGACCGTTTTAAGGGGGGAAAGGTTCCGCGATACGTTCCAAGATGTTGGGTTTCTCTTAGTTCTAATCAAGGCAAGTATTAATCGAGGTGGAGCACTTTCAGCTAGATTTGATACTAGCGCTGGGATGCGAAGGAAACGCGCAAAATTGATCGACGAGATCCGCCTGCACGAAAAACGAAGGAGAGTCCTGGAGATCATCGCTGATTGCCGGGATATCGAAGCTGAAATACAAGAGATGAAAAGACCAGTGAATCTCTTCTCGGAGCGCAAGTTCATCACGGAACCTTCGAGATGGAAAAAGCTGGCAAGACACTGCGCACATACCCTCACTCGTGATTACGAATCACAATTAGTTGTAGTGTAGAAGTACTCTTTAGTAGTATATAGTACTCTTTAGTGTAGAATCACCTATAGTACTCTTTAGAAGAGTTTTGATTAACAAGAACTCTCGTCTATTACTTTTGGTGAACAAGATGAGTACTGGTGCTCTTAGTACTACTACTAGTCAACTAAGAAAAAAATTATCCTTTTAAGGTCGGATATCAACAGATCACTTACCACCTGGGTTTACAACTTTTAGTCTAGTTCTAAGAGGAGCAAGTGATGCAGACGACGTTCCATCCAGTGAAACTGCGGCGAAGCGGAGTTCTTAGTGCGAAAGTGCGACCTTGGTTGCTAGAAAATCTGCATCATCTCTGTGCGAGCACACAGCTCGAGCTCGTTGAACTACTGCTACAAAAGATCGCTAGTTCACCACTGCCGGTAAAACCACGGTCCGGGTCAAACGAGGGTGACAAGGAGAATCCAGGCGCTGCAGATAGTAACAAGAACAAGACTTGTTCTTTTTACAAGGCTGTGCCATCATCAGCTACTTCTACCTCCTCTGCTGCAGCTGGTGCGGGAAACGCTAGTGAAGGTACCAGTGCTGCGAAAAGAAGCAAATCCCTAACATCAAAAACAGATGTAAAAAAGGAAAAGCAGCCTGACGATACGTCGATCCCACTAGAGGGCTTCAATGCGCAGGATCTAGTGCGCGAGCTGAGCCAATACGGAGACGCTGTCTTGGTCGAGGACGTAGCGGAACGCCTCTGGCGCATGATGATTTTCGAACTCCGTCGTATGGGCTTGAGGGCAGCAGTCCGGGTTCCGGGTGAGGTGGGGCCATTAGCAGGAGTTGAGGACACCTTGCTTCAGAAAGTGGCAGAACAAGAGGAAGAAGATGAACAGGATTATACATAGCAGGTAAAAATGTGTTGTCTCCACTTCTAGCAGAACAGGAGAAAGAAGATGGACAGGAGGACTAGGTCACCTATAATTTCTTCTCTCCACTTGCACTTCTAGGAGTACCAAGAACAGGGTAGACGTAGTAGATGTTGAACTCTCCTCTATCTCTGCAGATGAACTCCGGAAATGAATTCCCCATCATCTTCTGATCAACGTGGCGAAACTAGAAGTAGTTTTCAACTCCTGGAGTAGATAGTATACATAGTTATAGTTTGTTTGCTCTCAACACGAAAATGATCAAGATGAATCTAGTTTTTCCCCCACGCTATCATCACACGAAATCTTCACAACGCGCAATATTAAAAACGGGCCTTTTAAGGGCCAACGTCCCAAGCTCCCACCAACGCTGACCCTAGGATCATATGGACCTGGTAATACTCTGACTCTCCTAACAACAGGAACAGGATGAGGGATCACTCGTCAATCTCTAATGGGAAATTCCTTTATTGATGAGCAGTCGGAATCTTCGAGGTAGAAGATGATGAGACCACGATAGCATATAAGAGTTGATGTGTTCTTCCCTACATCAATAGACGGCCGTTCATAGTGCTGGCTGAACAGTGCTGGTTGATTGTTCACAGCAGTAAGGACACCACCGCGAAGTGATTGCTCATAGAAGATCAGATAGAAGCTGCTGCGATTCTTCTGCTTCCACGCAAAGCACACACGCCGCAATGAAAAGGCTCCTGTTCTTTCATCTGGTACTCAACTGCCTTGCATCTTCTCAAAGGCTCAGGCTGGAGGTCTCGTCGTGGACCCTCCCACCTACTTATGTGTGTCGGTGTCTCTTCAAACAGTGACTATCCTCAAAAAATTCGACAGGGTAGTAGAGTTCGAGTGGAGCTAGTTAGTTGGATCTTTACCAATAACTTGGTAGGGGTTATAACAAACTTGAGTTCATCTTATAATTCATCTACGTGTGTCTGTGTGTGTCAACATTCTACATTTGACATTCTACATTTGACATTCTACATTTGACATTCTACATTTAACATTCTACATTTAACATTCTACATTTAACATTCTCCATCTAACATTCTACATCTAACATTCTACATCTCTCCGCCCCTGGTGGGAAGGGAGACCTGAGAACCCCTGGGGGGGCGCCACCTCTGTGTGGACTAAAACTGGTGCGAATTTCCGCCCCTGGTGGGACGGCGAATCTACTTGCGCGCCCCAGGTGGGACGCCTCTGCAAGAAGGACCGCCTGCGCGCTTCTTTTTGCCTTTGCCTGCGTGTTTTAGCGCGCTCTAGACGAGAAAGGGCGAGGCCCTTACTGTCTTCCCTTGGAAATACTTACTTGGGAAGCCCTCTGCGTGAGGTTTCTGGTGGCTTTCCTCCGATGATGCAGAAGAACGAACACGAAGAGAGACGGCCAGCCCGGGGCGCCCTCCTCCATTGTGTGCCAGGGCTCTCGCACTCTTGATGAGGTGAGTGACCCGCCAAGGGCGCAGCAGGAGGAGGGGCGCGGTGGTGATGGTTTCGGTGCTCCGTGTGTTCTAAGTGTCCATGGTGAGGAGAGGCCCACTGCCCCGGCAGGTTGGTGCCGCCTCGGTGTTTTCCATGAGGGCAAGGGGGTCGGTGGGTTGCAGGTGCGACGCCTTGCGTGGCCTTGTTGGTTGCTTGTGTTGCTTGGTTGTTGGATGTTTGTCGGACAGTCTACACGGCCCAGGTGTGTAGCCTGGTCGCTCACCTCGCCCTCGTAGGCATGAGGTGGCCTCCCGCCTTCTGCTTCTGTTCTTGCCACCACCACGCACGCTACAGCTACCTAGGTTGGTAGCTTCTCTCTGGGCACCGATCGCTCAGCTCTGGCAGCCGTGTTGAGGAGGCCAAGGCGGTACGGTCACTGTTCGTTGTTGCTCGACGACACAGCTGAACACCTGCCGCCGGCTCCCTGGTTGGAGTTTGTTTCCCTTCGCTCTCTGGAACACGCCCACGCGCGCGCGTGACCTGACGGCGTGGCCCCTACCCGGCCACAAGTTCCCCTGGAGATTCTACACGGGCGTCCTGACTTGCCGCAACCGCATCGCGTGAGCCTTGTATGTTCATTCTAGCAGGCCGCTTGCTTTGCCGCACACTAGTGAGTAAGACCCAACGCGTTGCCGAACTCCTTCTATATTAAATACATACATACGTCTCTCTTAGACAGGAAGAAGTCCTAGCTTGTTATCCATCTTTCTTAGACAGGAAGAAGTCCTAGTTTGTTATCCATCTTTCTTAGACAAGAAGAAGTCCTAAATTGTTATCCATCTTTCTAAGACAAGAAGAAGTCCTAAATTGTTATCCATCTTTCTAAGACAAGAAGAAGTCCTAAATTGTTATCCATCTTTCTAAGACAGGAAGAAGTCCTAGTTTGTTATCCATCTTTCTTAGACAGGAAGAAGTCCTAGTTTGTTATCCATCATTCTTCGGCACTCCGCCCCTGGTGGGAAGGGAGACCTAAGAACCCCTGGGGGGGCGCCACCTCTGTGTGGACTAAAACTGGTGCGAATTTCCGCCCCTGGTGGGGCGGCGAATCTACTTGCGCGCCCCAGGTGGGACGCCTCTGCAAGAAGAACCGCCTGCGCGCTTCTTTTTGCCTTTGCTTGCGTGTTTTAGCGCGCTCTAGACGAGAAAGCGCGAGGCCCTTACTGTCTTCCCCGGGAAATACTTTGGAAGCCCTCTGCGTGAGGTTTCTGGTCGCTTTCCTCGGATGATGCACAAGAACGAACACGAAGAGAAACGGCCAGCCCGGGGCGCCCTCCTCCATTGTGTGCCAGGGCTCTCGCACTCTTGATGAGGTGAGTGACCCGCCAAGGGCGCAGCAGGAGCAGGGGCGCGGTGGTGATCATGGTTTCGGTGCTCCGTGTGTTGTAAGTGTCCATGGTGAGGAGAGGCCCACAGCCCCGGCAGGCGGGATGGTGCCGCCTCCCTCGGTGTTTTCCATGAGGGCGAGGGGGTCGGTGGGTTGCAGGTGCGACGCCTTGCGTGGCCTTGTTGGTTGCTTGGTTGTTGGATGGTTGTCGGACAGTCTACCCGGCCCAGGTGTGTAGCCTGGTCGCCCACCTCGCCCTCGTAGGGATGAGGTGGCCTTCTGCCTCTGTTCTTGCCACCACCATGCACGCTCCAGCTACCTAGGTTGGCAGCTTCTCTCTGGGCTCCGATCGCTCGGCTCCAGCAGCCGTGTTGAGGAGGCCAAGGCGGAACGGTCACTGTTGTTGCTAGACGACACTGCTGAGCGCCGTGGTTGGAGTCTGTTAGTTTCCCTTCGCTCTCTGGAACACGCGCGCACGTGACGGCGTGGCCCCTACCCGGCCACAAGTTCCCCTGGAGATTCTACACGGGCGTCCTGACTTGCCGCAACCGCATGGCTTGAGCCCTGTGCGCTCATTCTAGCGGGCCGCTTGCTTTGCTGCACACTAGTGAGTAAGACCCAACGTGTTGCCGAACTCCTTCTATACATACCTACGCTCTACATCTACCATTCTACATTTAACATTGGGGTCGTCGATTGCAGAAGAGGACTCGCTAACACTACAGCAGCAGGCGCCTACGACATAAGCGCACAGTTCTTTTGCTTTTCCCGATGAAAAGATACTCAATACAGCAGTTTGGCCAAGAATGAGAATGACACAGTCGATTTGAATAATACAAAAGAAACGAAATAGAGACATCGGACGCTTATTCCTCTACATTCCAAACTAATACTACTTGCTGAGTAAGGTGAAGAAGACCAAAGAACAAGTGGAAAAGACAAAGATAAGCACTAAATGACTTCAAGGTACTTGTTATTTTGCAACAAGAATTTGTCTTTGTGCAGTCCGCTTTGATTGTGACAGTCAGCGTTCTGCTTAGAGTAAATCGAAGGAATTACTGCTTGTTTGTGTTTCGTTCGCTATTCGGGCTGTACCATAATAATCAAATACTGTCATCAAATTCAACAACAACAAGGTTTGCTTCCGAAACAATGGAAGCGCCGGGCGCAGGATCTTCTATCGCTCCGCCTCCGGGGCTGGAAGGAGAAGGCCGGGGAAATGGGTTATGAGAGGAAGCCAAAAAGAACAATATACATCTGTAGTTTCGATTGATAGAGTTCTAAAACTGCAACAAAGACGTATTCAAATGTAAGTAAGCACCTGCTCCTGCGGCTTTCATACTTTGCAGTCTACAAAAATGGACAACCGAATGGCGCTGCGGCGTCTACTTGGTATAATAATCGGTATCATATTCTTGCTCCTTACCCTGCCTCGTCTCGGCAATACGAACAAGCAGCCTGGCTGTACCATCAACAATCTTCCTTGCGCGACTCGCAGCATGAACAACAAGATTCTGGCTCGTCCTATGATGCGCTTCCTGCTGGTACAAAAGGAAAGCAGCCTGCGGGTGTAGCAGCTACAGCTACGTCGTACAACCAGATAAACGTTGGCGAAAATGATTATGATCTTCGTCTTCGTGTTCGTGCCGGTGCAAAGCAATGGCTGCAAGAACAGGCTAGTACTACAACTACTACATCTGAGATGCTGGAAGTGGGTGCATCTAAAAGTGACAGGAGCCACAGTTACAGCAAACAATCGGATAACAGTTGGCCCATCTCGGCTGCTCCTGGTGCCCAAGGCCAGCGGTACAACAACTTCTACAACACGCAAGCCGACTACAACAACTATACTGATACTGCTGGCAATGCTGGCAAGAACGTCCTTGGTTCTGTTGCCAACAGTATCACTGGTCGCGGTTCGTCTACCGACAAAGACTACAACGCTCTTGGTTCCTCTGACGACTCTCTCAACAAGCGCAACGTTAGTCCTGCTTCTGCTGCCGAGAAAAATCTCCCCGGAAAAATCTCCCCGTCCGTTGACCAGTTAGTCAATCTCTATCTCGCCACCAGTGCTTGCTCCCCGCCTAACATTGAAGACAACGCCAAGAACGTCAGTTCTTCCCTGATGAACTTCCAAGACAGGTTCCAGGCTCAACTGCAGCGGTTGGGAGACCAACTCGAGAACCAGAGAGACGCGGCGACTCTTGTTCCTCTAAGGCTTAAGGGTTAATGAATTGCATCCTTCACTACCATTCCTCACTTTTTTCCGAAATCTCTCCTTACAACTTTCTTGTCTAGTAGTATAACTTCATGAAGGAACAAGAGCCACCCGTGCTGGCGAACAGAAAAGGAGACTGTCTGTACATATTGAAGCAGGTTGACCAAGGGAGAAATAAGAGAGAGCTACTGGATAATTCCGACGAAGGTAGATAAAATCAGTACCATTTTTCGGTCTACTTCTACTCTCTGTCTATGATCTTCGAGACCATCACCCTTAGAGCTATTTCCCAAGCGTAGTTGTCGAGGTCATCTTCGCTGTCATCAAATCAACAAGGATCTTGATCTTCTCACAAAAGAACTCACAAAACACATTTTTCTAAATCAAGACAAGACCACATGTGCGCAGCAACGTGCTGCCGCTTCGACTAAGTGTCCGCACTCCCCCACCAGAAGCCCCAGCGGGAGTGGGACGACCTCCCGACAAGAGACCCCGCAAGAGGCCTTCCTACAATTCCGCCAAGCTGCTAAGGAGGTTTTCTATCCATCCTTGCTCACCAAGTTATGAAGGAGATGAAAGTAACTAGTAAAAGTCTACTTGATGCTGATGCTGATTCAAGCAAGATGAACTTGAAAGAGGTTTTGATCCATCGTGTGTATCATCTATGACGCCCTTGTGGCAGTCTGCACTGAACTTTGTACGCGGAAAATACGCAGGTAGGATTTGATTTATTGGAACTCGCTCGCAAAATACGCAGGTAGGTTTTGACTTATCGGAACTCGCTCGCACTACAAAAAAAAAAAAAGCGAGATAAATTGTATTGTATTGTACGTACTATCTTTATCATGAAGTAGCAATTATGAATAGATGATAATGAGAATAAAGAGGTGCGTCGAACAGCTCACGTCGACGATCATTGTTTCATATGAAAATGAGCTGCATCTTCAGCCTTGCGCATATTTTATGCGTAGAAGTGCCTCTACTTGTACTTGTTGATGTCCTAAATAAAATAGTACTAGTGCAGCTTCATCTTGTCAAGAACATCGAGGAATTGCCACAGCCACTATCAGACATGCCTCCTCATTTTACTACCTCTCTAGTACCAACCTCTTACACTAGTACCAACCTCCTCATTCTACCTCTCTAGTACCAACCTCCTCATTTTACTACCTCTCTAGTACCAACCTCTTACAAAACTAGTCTCTAGTCTAAGAAGAGCGCCGCCAGCGCAGCGAGAACACCACTCTTGGGGGGGCAATCCAGATTCTGACGATGAAGGTGAAGCTGTGGATTCAACGTTGCAGTCGTATATCGCATACAACGATGAGGGTGAAGCTGTGGGTACAACGACGAAAAAAGAGAAACAGTTTATTTGCCTAGAAAGCGCCATTCCTGTTTCCGATTCGTCTCCTGCGAAGGTGAAAGAAGTAGACGTCGAGAAAAAGCCTACTATTGTAGTTATGAGGACCTCCTAGAAGTTTGTAGATTGAAGATAATGTAGAAGAAGAAGATTTTTAAAAGTAGTTGTAGACTTTTTAGGCAGTTGTAGATGTTGTACTTCTCCTTCGGACCACAGACAGTGCTTCTACTTGGAAACGAAACAAACGCTACAGGTGGAGTGGAAATCCTCACAGGAGCACTCCTCACTTTTTAAATCTTTCTACTTAACCAGCTCTAATGCAATAGCATCGAAGCTGCGCGCTCCTGATATCATCAGGGTTATGCGGCCTACTGCCCACACGATTCCCGCTGCTGAGGCCTACAATCCGAAATCCCCGCTGCGTCGTGGTGCAGTCGTGGCTGCTGGAGCTGGAGGCAATGTCAATGGTATTCTTCACCAAATACGAACGTCGCGAGTCATTTTTAAAGTCAATCTGTGTCCTGGTCCTCCACGTGTGAGGGTGTGCTCCGCGTGGATCGATAGGTGTACTCTTAGATAGGTTTACTCCCAGTTCGGTGTACTCACTCTTAGATAGGTGTGGTCTTAGATAACAATCACAATGAATATGTTGTATCGCTGAAGATACTACGTTTTCAACGGGTACCTAACCTAACAACATATTCTTAATTTGATAATTTCCTTCTCAATATTCTAACCTATTAACCCGATACTACTATAACATATTCATACTACAACTACTTACTATAACATATTCATACTACTATAACATATTCATACTGTTTTTCATTTGCTGTAATTGTAGAATGAATATCAACCCTTTGGTCTTCCTCGGTCTATCCTATCATACTAGTACAACAACTAGTAGTATACTACTACTAGTTATTATTGCTACTACCTCCTCCTCCAACGTAACAGGTACCGCGGCTCCAGTGAAGAGGTCGAAAGTCTGTCGCTTTTGGCTTAGGGGAAATTGCCTGAAAGGGAAGTACTGCGACTGGGCTCATCGACATAAAGATTCGCCCCCAGCCTTAAACGCGTACTATTACTATATTACTATAAATATTATTTTTAGACTTTTCATCATCTCATCATCATCATCATCATCATCATCATTTTTAGACTTTTTTATTTTGGTATTACATTCAGTCTGTTTCACTGGTAGTTTACTTCATGTAGTGTATGTAAAAAAAACCTCTAGAATTAGCTGATTTTCATTAATATTATTATTTTGTTGTTATATGGGAATATTCGTAGTTACCGGACTCACTTTAGAGCATAAGACAGTCTCACTTTGTGCCATTTCGAAGGGAAATGGCTGCCATGGATCTAGACCCACAATGGTTTGCTGATAGACCGCGCGACACCGTTGAAGATGGGGCCATAGATGGAAACGGCTTGGAAGTAAGCGGGTTTCGCTCGCCGCTATGGTTATGTCTAGATAGGCTTCGCCTAGCGACGCCATTAGGATTGACTTATGTCTGCGCATTGGTCATGGAAGTCTTTGAGAGCGTTGCGGAGGATATCCGATCCTACGCCAGACGTGGCCTGCAGTTGGATGCAGCAGCCGCGCCATGCGGGTGCGAATCTGTTGGAATGTCAGAAGACAGGACCTTGCTGTCGCAGCGAGTATAGCAAGGACGCTTGCTCTGGTGCGTGGTGGAAGGCAGTAACGGGGGTGGCAGTATGTACAGGGAGCCTTACGGACTTGTCTGTCTGCTGACTGGCCAGGCTTCGAGTGCTCTTCGAGCACTAGCCTCATGTGGGTTAGGTGTCTAGCGTTAGCACAATGACACAGTATCGTCCTTCCTTCGGTTGGATCTTGGTATAGTTTGCGTGATGTGATGCTTTTCAGGTGTTGCATTATGTGACCGGACAGCACATTCACGAGGTGGGTGCTGACGCGGTGCTGCGAAGGAGGGGCAGCACCGACCTGGCCCGAGGTGTCCAACGGGTACGTCCATCCGCTGTGCGGGTGGACGGATGGAGGATCTGCGATCTCTCCTTGACTATCTTGACTTCAATGCACTACATAACGAGATCATGGCATTCGCCTGGTGTAAGTAGACTGTGCAGGAACTGGCGACAAGTCAGATGCTTCTGGTGATGGAGCTGCAAGGCAACTCACGTTGTTGCAGTGACTCTCACGCGGGAGGAGCGCTCTAGGAAAGCAGTGATGTTCAATGTGCAAGATAGTGAGACTATCTTATCTTGTTCTGAGTATGGTAAAGGCGTGACTTCTACTAGTTACTGGATGTAGTGACGCTGATGCTTCACCTAACTTGATGATGGATAAGGACTTGTATGCCCAATTTCAGACACTCCCTGGCTGAAGTCCTTACTTTGTTTTTATAGTCTTACGAGATCGATCGATTACCTCAAGAATAGTAAGAGTACTTTTACTCGATTTTTTGCAAGGTTCTCTGAGCTGCAATGCTCCATATTTTGTTGTTCTAGTACTGCTAGTTCCCCTGTGCCTGTCCGTCGCTGCTAGGGGCCCGTACTTCTTTCTCTACCGGGCGGCATAGGAAAAATCGCAACAGTAGTACAACTACAACAGTTTATTCATTTTCCTCCTCTTCAACCACTTTCGAAATCTTCGGTCGATTTCCCAATGGATACAGGAGAAAGTAGTCTTCGTGGAGTTACTTTTTCTGCTTCTCTTACCACTACAGGAACGAGCCTTTGTGTACATATTGGAAACATGGCATTTGCAACATTGGTGAGAAATGTCAGTGGAAGCACACGGAGCCGGGAGTTAAGGGAAAGCACCTGTATTTCGTAAATAAATAGCTAATTATGTACTGTCCTGGTGTAGTTTGGATAAATAGTTACCATCAATCTCGTATTTCGTGTTTGGAGGAACAAGTAGTTGTCGTTGGCTTTATTTAGAGTACTGCTTGTGCTTCTACTCACACATGATGAATATTAAATAAAAGCATGATTACTCCTACTCCACCTGGATTCATGTCGTACACAAAAGCAAGAATCTTCAGTGGACGAGTCTCAATATACTTATAGTAATAGTATAATTATCGTCCAGTGAAGATTCTTGTTTACTGGCGCTAGTTCTCGCTTAATCCGTGGAAGACGCGCGGCCAGGTTTCAAATTCCTCCTTTTCTAATGAATTCGTGAAAGATCCCTTCGAGGAGGAAGACCAAGACAAGGACGTGCTAACCTGCCAACCAGTGCCTCAGATCACTTCTACCGCTACTGTCGAGATTTTACCGATGCAACCGATAGAGAGAAAGGTAGAACACTTCTATAATATTAATATCCCTCTACAGAAGATTGGAAACCACTCAAACAGAATCGGAACACGCTTCTCTCACTTTCCAACAGAATCGGAACACGCTCAAACAGATGCCAACAGCTACAGCGGGCGCCTCTTCTTTGATCAAGTGCCACGCTGATGCAACAGCTGAGAACAAGGCCACTGGGAATTTGCTGGAGCAGGTAGCACTTACTTCATGTAAGTACTCGCCAGTCTGACTGAGTGTGCGTAAATTATACGCTTACTTAGCTCATGCCTCAAGGATACATTCATGACCTCCTAAGTGTGTATAGCTATCTCCATCGACGCAGGATCTCTTGATATTAAACAATCATCCCGAGAATACTTCAGGCCACCCGCCATAACGATGAGGTAGAGACTCGACACCAGAACGAGGCAGTCGACGTAGAATGTCAGCGCTTGTTATGATGACTTGGACTTCGATTTCGATTTTCGAAGTGATATTCTAAAAATTTGCAAGTAGAAGTCCCTATTCTATCCTCTGCTCTCCTCTCCTATCTTCCTGCTGCATGCTTTATTCTATGGTCTGTCTTTTTTCTAGGTAGGTCGGCTCCACCACAATTTTTTATTACTTAGCCTTACTTGGACTGGTGGGCTCACAACTATGAACTACTGGCGACTTGCAGTGGTGACACCCCCTAATTTTTGAGTAGTCAAAGTAGGACCGATTTTTGAGTTCTCTCTTCTCTAATTCCAGCTGCGGAGAATCTCGAATTGAAACGTCAGTTGTGTAAATCGGCCAGCGTCATAGGCTGCAAAGGCCTTCTGGTACTGCTGCTGGTTGCATTTTACATCGTTATGGCCAGAAAATCTAAGAATTAGACTAGAGCTTACAAATATATGAATAATATCATATGTGAAAATATTTATATGTGATGTAGGAGCTTCTTGTTAGGTGAATCAGTGCACTTACATACGGAGCACACGCATGACAAGAGCTTTCCTCTGGATTTTTATTATAGGTACAAAAACGTCGGATACGATATTTAAGTACAGTAGTCACGTTCATTTCCATATCCTACGTTTAAGTATTTATTATAGACTATTCAATGACAATAATTGATGTGTAATAGAAAGAAGTACTAGCTTCTAGTCCAACAGGAGGCACAGTCCAACCGAGAAACATCAGAGACACTAGTCCCACAACCCCAGAAGCCGTACTTGCAAATCGGAGGTCATCTAATTAAACGGTCTTCCATACCCCACGATGAATGGGTACACTACTACTACTACTACTACTACTACTAGTACTACTACTACTAGTACTACCCGCGTCCTCTAATGTCGGCTATCATTCCGTGCAAGAACGCGGAGCGGCAATGAATGCGGATACTTCATCGAGTATGTTGTCGAAGAACGGGACGAGGAACCCCTTTTGTTCTACAACTATGCCTCGAACTCGATGCAGTGATGAAAAATGAAGGATCGTGTCTCGCCAGTGGAAGAGGAACGCCACAACTCGAGATGCATGACGATGGGATGCATTATGACGGAAAGAGTGACGGGATGCATCCTCTTGGGAACAAGAAGTTCGGACTTCCAAGAATGACGGCAGCTGAAGACATTTTGACATACTGATTTCAGTTGGCAGGTACTTCAGTTTCATCAAATTATAAGAGATAGCTTTATTAGCAAGTCTCAACTTCGGACATGTAGTCCCCCGAAAATCTAGTTGTACATAGTACGTAGTATCTTCCGGTACTACATACGTGGCGCCGCCCACTACTACAAAAAAATGTCAGTAGGTTCTGTTTTCAAGGCTTTCTTGAAGTCAGGATTTGAGTCGTAGAAGAAGAAGTTTTTTGCTCATGAACTACATAGGTGATACTTGAACTTGAACTTGATAGAAAAGGGGTGCCTCATGTTGAACTACATACTTATAGAAAAGAACATGTACATGAAAAAAATACTCTATGAATCATGAATAGTCTATTCAGAATAGACTACATGATGAACTAGCTCAGTCACCTCCTATACATACATGATGAACTAGCTGGATAGACTACGTTTCGACTTCCAATAGTATCTCGTATAAGCTATATCGAGTTGCGAGTTTCGAGAAGTTCTGCATTCCTTGCCCGAGAGTCTGGCTTTTTTTTGAGCATGAAGACGGACGAAAGACGGGCCCACGACGATGGTTTTCTTATGCTTGACACGATGAGAGAGGCAAAGAAGGTAGACAAAGAACGCAGACGAAGAAGCGAGTCGATGCATTTGATTACCGTCATTTTGTTAACTTTCTCTTTGTTTTCGATCCGTCAGCACTTCGTCAACAACTGGCCTCCTTTCTGCTTTTTTAGGCGTTACATCTAAGGCGTAGAGTGACGCAAGACGTTTACTCTGCTGATGGTCTAGCATGCGCATGCCCCTGCCTACGGCGTTAAGTTCTGCCTTTTTTTTCATAAGAAACAGAAAAAAAATTTCTGCTATCTTATCAAAAAACTAAAGTCGGCGCCTTCGTTAGTTTTCGTCTACACTCTGCGTCCCTGCGTCGTGTTTCTCTCTCGAAACGCTTCTCCATGGCCCAGCCCTCTAAGGCTCTCCCTCTTTCAGGTCTATGATCTGCTGACGCAGTTGGTAGCCGCAGCACCCGCCAAGGAGTGCGCGACGCCAGCCACCATCCACAAGGGTGGCGATGCCTCTGCGCTGAAACTCGTGCGCAGTATGGGCGAAAATAAATCGCAAGTCCATACTGATTTGCTCACGGTGCCGGACGTGCTCCGCCGCGATTTTTTGGAGAACAAGTATGAAAGTGAAAAGCTTGGCGCTGCTGCGTACCAACCACCCCAAGCCCCTACGCAGCACCCCACGGGTTTGCCTACTTCCGATCCCTCTGCGCCTTCTTCGTCAGAGCTCCCAGCGAGCTCAAGCGGCTGCTGCTGGTAAGCGTAAGTGTCGAACTCTTTGCGTGAGAAGCTACCCCAGCCCATACGCAACCGAAAAGCTTGAAGGGAATGCGTCACATTCATACCCCGCCGCATTTCCACTCCCGGCAGGTTCTTCTTCCGATACCAACATCGACGCAGAAGCACGCAAGCAAAGAACAAGAACAAACCAACTTCGCGAACAACGAATCGCCCGAGGCTACCTACCACGACGATGGAAAGCGCTAGCACGGGCAAAGCGCTGGGGAAAAGCCTGCCCCTACGAAGAAAATGGCGAAAGTGCGCAACCCGATGAAAAAAAACACAAAGCAACCGAAAGCAGCGACGAAGGCTACCAAAGTACCGAAGAAAGCTGCCAAAACACCGGGGAAAGCTGTCAAAAAAATGATGGCCATGGAAGCGGAGTAGCTTGCTACATGACTTCCCCACTGTGGCTCGCATCGCTTTCGAAAGCCAACGAGAGACGCACGCCCATCAGTTTCCGACTTTAGAACGCAGGGCATCACTTCAGTAAAATGAAAGCAAATCGATCAAGTTCGAGAATCAAAGCGCGGCAGTCAGGTTGATGGCTCTCATTTTCCATCCATCCAAGTAGAGGCCTTCGAGCAATATAGAAAAAGCAGGCAGGCAATACGTATGGAAACAGTAAGCGAGTACCCCGCTCGGTGATATGTTAGAAAAAGCGCCAGCAAATCACTGCGAGCCAGCGCTATCCTTTACAAATTGCATGGAGAGCCCCCGGACGGGCCTGGAATGCATGGCGCCACAGTTGTGACGAACTTCGCACACGGCTGGGGATCAAGATCAAAATGAATGCCACAACAAAGCCACGGCATACCGGTGAGCCATCAGCTTCACCAGCCCGCAGCATACCATACGCATGCCACACGCATAAAATAAATGCCAGAAGCATCCAAATGACACGACGCCAAATACATAGGGCCGCACAATCAAAGGGGGAGCCATCTCACATCAGCGCGCGGGATTTGCATCACCTGGCTCACGCGTCTAGCATCGCGCGCGTGTTCTCTTGCATCTTTTGCAAGCGACGCCATCGGTGTCGACAGTTCACTTCAGCTGATGCACTGCGCGCGACATGGATGAGAGGAGCGAAACCGGACAAAAAAGCAAAACAAAGCCACGAAGCACGTTAGAGCTGCGCGCTTCACTGTTATGCCATCGAGGTCGGGCCTGGTCTCTCTTTTGCTCTCTATGCATAGAATTCAAACGCTCCGCGTTTTCTTCTGCTTTCTTGTCATGTCTTTGCTGCAAGTCATGCCGTTAGCGTGCTCCTTCCGGGGCAAAAGATGTCGCACATGCGCCGGCGCCAGCTGAACGGGAACGACGACGGAGACACTTGCGGCCAGTTTCTTTTTGGAATTGGAAACCAAAGAAAACAAAACACCAGCCCAGCAATGCGGCTGGGATGATCTTCACAGTTCACGGGCGCGAGCACTGTCCACGCATGAGCATGAAGCACGGGAACACTATGGAAAATGGGCACTACTGTGCTACCACCAAGATCAGGGCGATGGTGATGATGTAAGCCCACCGATCGGGTGGGGCGGGGTGCCATCTCATCCCTGCAGCCGTTACCACCAAGATCAACCACAACGCGCCAAGACTTTTGCTGCTTCGTCAGTGTTAGCGTATAGGATTCTCACCGCATCGATCTACTTCTAGTTCTAACTCGCGAGCCAGCGAAGACATGCTTCTTAAGCACTCGCTTCGCTGATCGCAATCATAAAACCAGCGGAACCAACCAAGTCGCTCGCTTTGGACTATGCTACGCACTGCTTTAGCCGCTGCGGGATTCAATAAGCCACGGCCACAGGCTCAAAGCGATAAGCGCCGCGCTTGTTTTATGGTAGAAGGCAGAAGCCTGGCAGCAGTGCAGCACTTTGGCCCCCCTTCAGGCTACCCCGTTGCGCGGTTTTTGTATCATGGAGAAGCATGGACAAGCTCCCCCGCGACGGTTTCGCCAATATCTGAAACAGCGCAGCCCGCTATAATCTCAATTCGTTTGGCGCAAGCCGGTCAAAGTGCTGGCCTATCGAATCCAGGTAGTCCGTACGTGCTACAAGTTTGCTCTCTATTAATTCGCTGGCCAAGTCCTCTCCTTTAGGTGTTCCCTCTGTGTGGGGCGCTTTGGCAAGTTCTCTCTCGATCGTGGGATGGTCGCTGTTTTTGTTTTTCTGATTCGCTCGGCCTCTAAGATTGTTCCGATTCTTGCTGCCAGCAAGCTCTTCAAGGTTTTCACCGCATTGGACAAGCAACACAGTGGCAAGAGCTAGGCTGGGCCTCTCGCGTATACTGGTCAAAATTTTCGAGCGGGCGCGCTGTCTCAATCTGGTGCGAATCCATTATCTTGCGCGCAAGAGTTTGCAACTTCTTCAAAAATGTCGCGCGCAGCAACTGTCTGCAGCAGCACCAGGCCCGTCGGGCTCTGAATGAGGTGGCCTTTCTTCTGCTGAGTGGCAGTTCTCAACTTTTTCAGCAGTATACAATACTGCTGAGGCTTCGGCCATTGCGTGGCTACTGTATGACTGACTGAAGACGCGGCGCATATCTCTCACGCGCGTCGCGTGCAGTCAAGTCGCGTCGCCTGGGTTCTTTTCAGTTGATTTGTGCGAAGCTTCCCTGCTCTGACGCGCGCAGCCCTTTGGCGATACTTTCACGCGAGACGCTTGCCGTCAAAGCAGCGCACTTCTGTAAGCATTCCCTTCAGTTCGGACCCACGTTCTTTGCTGCCAATCGCTGGCCGCTTCCAGAAAGTAGCGGGCAAGTTTCTCCCTTCTTGTCTCTGCGGTATTTCCCTCCTCTCTCTTCTTCCCCTTTTTCCTTAAAGTCATGCACTTTGCCAGTATATCAGACCCTCGCGGCCTTGTTTTCTAAGTCTAGACCTTATACTTACACGAGACAGCCCGAAGTGACTTAATAAACTTAACAGCAGCGCAGGGATGTCGTCATCCCTGCGCTAGCCTGTGATATTTTTACTAGAACGAGGTGTACTAAACGCCTAATTGATCGAGGAGTGGTGCATCAAGTGGCGGAATGACTTTCTTCACTTCATATGAATAACATATAGATTTTTGTTCTTATTATGTATTTGTACCTAGCTGGATAAACGTGGCCACTTGGATTCCTTTGTATTTTTTGTTTCCTAGTTAAACGTGCTCCACCGATCTTATTATCTCATGTATTGTACTTATTATGTATTTGTTCTTGTTGATGTTGTGCACTGTAATTTGCTCTTATTATGTAGTTACGACTATGATTTCGAAGAAACAACTAATATTTATTGTAGTAGATGAAATATGCTGATCCTCACATTAATATTCCAAGAGGTTGAAGAGTCTCATACCTTGAAGACCTTGGAAGAATCTGGTCATTTGGCGCGTGGATTCCATGGCCTATATTAGAATATATATCAGGTGGCTTCAGGTTCAGGGTCTCGTTTTGGGGCTTTGATTTTGTGCAGATCTTACCACCTTAGGCTCGCTTAGTATTTGATTTTGTGCAGATCTTACCCTAGTAAGATAAGGTTCAAGGGGGAAGTAATCAGTGGACTCTCTGCCTAGCCGCGCTTTCCGAAGTGGAGTGTGACGCCGAACAGCTCTGCTTTTGAAATCCCGCGACGTCGGTGCACAAAAAAAAAAAAACATCCATGGCATATCCAGGACGTGATCGAGGCCACTGAGCTTGAACTTGAAAAGGATGCAGAAGGCGAGAAGCACGCAGAAGGCAAGTGAAAGAAGCATGCAGAACCCAAGAAGCCAAACCACAGAGAAAAGAGAAGAGGATGGTTGGAAAGTCGAATTTGCTACACTACTCAACTGGAATTTGAACTCAAATCAACAAAATGTTGCATGGGGTTGATGTCTATTTAGTATTCGCATTGTAACAAGATCACTTCTCCTGCATCACGAGCATGCGCTTCGAACTGCTGCAACGAGAAAAATATTTTCTTTGATATCAGTCATCAGATCATGAGATTATATCAACACCCATAAGACTATCTTCATTCAACACCGACCCATAAGACTTCCCAAGGTCGCTAATGATAGATATTTCTTGCAAGCAGATGAAGAAGAGATCGCAGATTACTAATACTAAGAACTAGAAGTAGAAGAACGAACATCCCTAATGGATGTTGGCCTCAGCACAGTGTGCTGAATGCAGGAAATATAAGAGAAGTCTCTTTGTGATAATTCTTTGTTTCGAGAATGCATACCGATCAGGAACTGCTTCATCTCGCCAATCTCAATACTTGAGACTTGAGCAGAACTATTTGAGATGCTCCACCACTATTGATGATGCATACCTATCCCCATATTTTTCCCCGCTTGTAACGGCACTGGCACAGGAATTTGAAGTGTGGACTTAATTTGTGTAAGATGTTTAAGTGTCGCATGTCGTTGAGCTCGGATCGTCGCCGGGGAAAGGTCTATACCCTGTTAGGGCCCTCTGTAGGCACAGTCGGCGGGCAATACGCATCCCTTTGTCGGAAAAATTGTTGCCTGGCCGTTGTGCTTCAGGATTATCGCAGGGTAATTAAATGTTCTTATTGCGAGGAATATAGACCCAGGTCCCAAAAAAAAAAACGAGTGCTACAAAAAAAAAAGTGGCTGAATCTGTTGAGAGTTTGAGTGGCCTTTGACTGGTGTACACCGCATCTCAGTTATGCAAAGGTCATCATCGTCTTAGGTTCGCGCGAGTGATTCCCTTTGTCTGTCGTGCGTTGAGTGCCTTTTCTATTCGCTCAAAATGATAAAATTTACGAGTGTGAGCGTTCTTCTAAAAGTGAGTAAGCTTACGCTCGATTCGCGGGCATCGTCTAATAGACAAGAGCGCTATGGGACCTGCAAATTGCGTCTCTCCAAAACTGGCTCTGTTTTGCTTCGATATTACTGGAGGGTGAGAGTTTAGTTAGTTCCGAGAGAGGAGCCCCAAGCTCCTCGCTCGTGTTAGATCATGTATCAAAGCCTGTCAGTGACCCTTTTTTATTAGGAGTATCCCTCCTTGTTTCATCTTCCGTTCTTCTAGTCTGTTCTGCAACTGTTATACATTCTACATTGTCTTGCACTCATTTTATTTACTTGTTTTGATTGTACTTCGTTTCTCCTGTCTTCACCCATCACTTCTTCTTTACCCTTAAGTGTCTTCTCTTTTAATATCCTGTTGCTGTGCATGTTTTTTCTCTGATGGTGATCATCCCTGTAGACAATTTAAAAGATTCAATTGAAATAATGTAGGTATTTATTCGGTCATATCCAAAAATACCGAAGTGGGCCCACAAGTAGACCCAAAGCCAGCAGCCACGCAGCCGCCTACGCTTATGGAGCGATGACGAAGCGCAAACGAACCAAGTTCGACGACCTTCAAGAAACCAGTAGGAGCAGGCTGGCCCTAGTCTAGTGCAGCTCCACCAATATGATCATATATCTGAAGAAATTTTAGCGATTATTCGCGGGCCGCCTCACTTTAAAAAAGTTCGATCTCAGTAGTGGCGCCGCCCTCTGTGCCGAGTGTCCACAGCTTGCAGCTTCAGATCCTAGCTAGCAAAAGGCCACATCAAAGCTCTAGCCCTTTCCGTGTTCTTTTTTGCAGGGTTTAGCTCTTGTCTCTCGGGGTTCATCCGATAACGTCCATCATTGTTTTACTTATGAGCCGTCGACTAATATGCCCGTGGGGCTTGGGCTCTAGCTTTTCTGCGGCGATGGCCGTTGTGCTTCATCGTCTAGTACTTTTAGGTGCCTGGCCGTTGTGCTTCAGGATTCTCGCAGGGTAATTAAATGTTCTTATTGCGAGGAATATAGACCCAGGTCCCAAAAAAAAAAAAGCGATCGCCTAGCGTGAATGAATGAATGAACGACGTTCTTTTGGGTTTGGCCCTGTTCTTTTTAACGAACCGTTTTTTTTGATTCTCATTTTTTAGCGAAATATCTTTCTTCCATTTTTCTTGATTCTCATATTTATTCAATTCCCGCTGCAGTTGAAAGCAGGCTGCAAAGGCGACGGCAAAAAGTCGCCCAACCGGACGAGGCGCAAGTGTTTGACTTGCATAATGATAGACACCGATGAAGATAAAAGCCTGGAAGGAGAAGGAGCTCTTCCTCTTTGCCGCGACGTTTGATCCTGCCTATAAAACTTGATCAACCAACTCCAACCAACAATATGATCCGAGCAGCAGCAGCCTTGTCCTTGAAGATGACATCACTATTAAAATTGATCTTAGGTGGAGGCTCCTGTGATCGTCTACTTGTCAGCGATCTTGATATCACCTATAAATATGTTGAAGGTGAAGCGATCCTGATCACAGCGTTTTTTTTTATCATCATCTACAGAAGAACAGTGGACGTAGAAGAAGCATCATACTTCGAAAGTTCAGCACAGGCGAAAAGAAACAACTACGACTATCTGGTAAGTATCTGATAATGATCAGCATTTTCTTTTAGAGCATGAGGTAATTGCCGATGCCAACGCTAAGTTGTAATAAAACATCGAGAGTGCCAGAGACTGAGACGAGCAACCCGTATTTTCATTTTATCCATTTCAGTTAACAACTCAATACTTTATCCATTTCAGTTTTATTACGTTGAACAAGCAGCTTTAATAGAATAGAACCAACTCGATCATCCCGATTGAAATGTCATCGTCTCGTGCGCAGCTGCTAAAAGCGGCCAACGAGTGCCAAACGATTTCCTTCGAGCAGGTTCCGAACAGTTTTCGGCATCGTTCGCAGTACTATCAGATTTGCGCCGCGAATGTCAAGGCTGAATTTCTATCCGCCTTGTACGAGGCTCGTGGAGGCCAGCTGCGCTTCCGCGTTTGCTCCCCCGTCAACCGCCTCGTTCACGATGGTCAGAGCTATATCGAAGTCGAGCCTGTGGGACTCGCAAAAAAGCAGTCAAAAAAGATGAGTGCAACATCAACCAGTGTCCTGGTCCTCCAACAAGCTCCTCATGATCAAGTACTAGACCTCGTCAAAGCTTCTGTTCCAACATCAAGGTCAACTGCTTTGGTACTTCCCGGAAGCTCGTCGTCAACCGGAGGCCCATCGTCTGGTACAGCGACAAAAGCGGGAGCAGCATCTTCGTGCTCTAGAGCAGACGATACACTGAACCAGTTGTTGGAACTGCGTGATAACGTCGCTAGAAAAGTCATTCCTGGACTCGATCAAAATCGAAACTATAACTGCACCAAATCTTCATACTCCTCACATAATAGTAATACAGTGCCACTAGTTGTACCAGGAGCCAAAAACTCCTTCATTCTCATTACCGGCGTTCAGGAGACTACGCAATTGAAGTATCCGGAGCCGAAAAATGATGAGCAGAGAGCGGAAAATGCGAAACGCCGTGTGTTTCTTCGTGGAATGGGACTCGATTGTTCTGGGGGCCCGAAAAGCGCTGGTGGTGGGACCTTTGACGTCCTTGCCTTTGTTGGCGACTACATTGCGCGCTTTGACTGTGCAACGACGCGGGAAAAGGACGTGGAGAGCCGCACTCCACTCGAGGATGCCTTATTGCAACCAGGAAAGCAGCCAAAAAGCACTCTCGTGGCCAGCAAAAAGAACAAGGCCAGCAAAAACAATAAAAATAAGGATGCTAAAAACGAAGCTAAAAAGCTAGATCATGAGCTCGTAGAGGTGCCGATCAATCCTTCACAGCAAGAGGCGGTTGACTCTCTCACAAAGCGCATCAACGTTGTCGAGGGCCCACCCGGAACCGGCAAAAGTACGACCATTTATCACATTCTCAAAGCTTACATCATGGCCGATCCTTCAACAACCGCTCAAGAGGCAGTGGACAAGCGCAATGGCAAGGGCCAGGGCAAGAACAAGAAGGGCAAGAACGGTAACGCCAAGAAGCAACAAAAGAATCAACAGTCACATCAATTAAGTGCAAGTGGAGGTACTGAAAGTGAAAACCCGCTTGTCCCTCATCAAGCTAAAAGCACTTTCATCCGAGCTCAAAAAGCCGCTTTAGTGACGTGTGTGACGAATCAGGCTGTGAATGCCGTAATGGAGAAACTAGGTCCTTTAGATGCCCACGGAGTGAAATCGCTAGTCCTTGGGAACCCGAGTAAGATCGGTGCGGCTGCGCAAGGATTCACCTTGCAAGCGAAGGCGCTACGAGATCCGTGGTGTGCATTTATCACAGAAGCTTCCACAGTGATGTCAGCCATGCGAAACGCTGTGGAGAGCGCTCAACGATCACGAATAAACAGACTACTGGGTGGCGAAGCAGTGAAATGGTCAACGCCAGAGGGCCAGAATCCATGCAAATCAAACGTCGGAGGAAAAGGCCGCGGGAAGAGGAACCGAAATGATCGTAAGAACACGAAGGGGAAGAAGAACAAGATGGACAGTGAATGTGGAGATGTGTATTACCCCTCTCCGAGCCAGGGCATTACCAAGTCCCGCCTGACCTTTTCACAGCTACGCCAGCTGTTCCAGAAAAATTTCACTTCCGACTACGACGCTCTTGTAGCAAACCGCGACAAGCGTTTGAAGGAGAGGCTAGATTATTGCAAGAAGGACAAAGCAAAGCAGGACGCGGCACGCAAGGAGAGCGAAAGCGAGTTTCAAGAAGCAATGGAGTGCGCTCATTTAGCTGTCGTAAACCGTGTGCGCCATGCCATGGCCGCCGCCTTTGTGGAGGCAAAGAAATATCGAAAAACGCAGCGCTTGCTATCCATCCTGCGCAACTGCGTGAACCGTGTCAGCCATTTTTCGTATTACCTCAGAAGCTCAGCCATGCGCCGCACTGTGCGTGAAAGCAACGTTTTCCTGTTCACCATCAGCTCTGGGCATCAAATCCTACGACTGCAGCGCGACTATGAACTGGATTTTCCGCCACGGCTGTTACTCGGCATCCTAGACGAGGCAGGCGCCACAGCCGAAACCTATATTCCCCTCATTCTAGAGACGGACATTGAAAACCTCGTTTTGCTTTTATGGCGTGCACTCATATAATTAAAGAGGCTAAACCCCGAGAATGGGCACATCAATCAATCAATCAATCATAATATTTGTTGTAAGTAAATGTAAAAACTAACTACGTCTTCTTCTTCTTTCACCTTCAGGTTCAGGAGGGTTAACGTTGTAATAGTAGTTTCTAGCATAGTGGTTGAGGAGGTACCCTAGTAGTAGTTTCTAATCGAAAACTGAAAGCAACCGAGTTACTGACTGAAATAAGGGAGGAGGTAGCTTAGGAGGTAGCTTAACCTTAACGCCAAGGCTACTCTTCCTTCTCATAAGTTGCATCTCGGTTATTCTAATCAGTTACTTGCTTATTTCAGTTTTTCGAATAGTAGAAATGAATGCTCCAACCAAAAGCACTCTAGTAGTAGTTTCTAGTAGAAATGAATGCTCCAACAAAAAGCACTCGGTTCCTCTAATTCACGGCGATCAACGACAGCTCCGACCCTTGGTGATTGCACCTGATAGCGAGAACGTCGATGAGAAACAGGTGACCCGAAGTCTGCTTGAGCGATGTGTAGCCTGCAAGAGTGGAAGCACGATGCTGCGAGAGCAGTACCGCATGCCACGCAAGCTGTGCACATTGGTTTCGCGTCTTTTCTACAACAGCAAGTTGATCACGCCCGCCAGCAAGGTGGAGCTGGTGCCGAAACGTCTGCAACTACGATGGATCGACTGCGGATATGCACACGAAATGCAGCTTGGAACCAGTTACATCGCGCCGGCGCAGGTAGTGGCGACGCTTTGCCTGCTTCTCGGGCATGCTCGCGCGGGAGACGTCGAGATGAAGATCAATTCGAATTCATCTCCTGCACAAAAACAAGATTCAGGACGAGGTGGCAAGACTAGACGGCAGCGTAAGGCAGAAGGAGCACAGAAGAAAGATGCTTGTAGTACTGATCAAGCTAATCAAGAACAAAAAGCTGAACAAGAAGATGTAGATGAGAGCACGACATCTCTGGACCAGATAGCAAACCCGAGCGCAGAGGTGATGGTGATCTGCATGTACCTACCGCAGATGCGGCTTCTACGTGCTGCGTTGCCGAGTTCTGTGCTTCAGAGAGGCAATTTCCGTCTGGTCACAGTGGACGCTGCTCAGGGCACTGAGGCAGACCACGTAGTTCTCGTAGCAGGTCGTTGCAACCCTCATCGCCGAGTTGGCTTCACCAAAGTGAAAAACCGCTTGAATGTAGCGATTTCACGTGCTAAGCAAAGCCTGACTGTAGTTGGCTGCTCGGCAACGATGCAAAGCGATCCCAGTTGGCGACAGGTGGCGCAAACATGCACTGTGTTCGGATTCGAGGATCCTTCCTCTATGGCTCAGAGGGCTACAAATTCCAACTTTTCCATCAAGTCTAACAAGGCCTCTTCATCTTCTAAGAATAAGTCTAGTACACGACCAGATAATACATCTGCATCAAAAACTAGCATTAATTCAACAGCGGGTATACAGGAAGTAGCTGCGCAGGTGGAGAAGGTTGTTGGAACGCAATTCTCCAATGCGCGAGAGATCGATTTTGATGACCAACCTCGATTCCGCAGAGCCAAAAAACATCAGGAGAAGCAAAGCGATCGCGCAAAAGGGAAAGGTAAGAGTAAGGGTAAGGCTGGCGAGGTCAGCTTCAGCAGTAAAAAGGGTAACAAGGGTAAAGGCAAGAGAGGCAAGAATAGAAACAATGACTCTAAAGCAGCAGCGGGCGAAACATCTGGTGCTGGAACGAATAAGAAGGGTAAAGGCAAAAGCAAAAACGGAAAGGGTAAAGCAGCAAGGTCCACGGTGAACAAAAAGGCATGCTGAATGATGTGTGTGATGTGAGGATGAGACGACGTGAAGTAGTACATTATCGTGATGAAAACAACACTCGGAATCCTAAATGATAAGAACATTAAATATCAAACACGTTGATGTTGAAGAAGTTGCAAGTACTTAATATAGAGTTCAGACGTTTGAAGATGCCAAGATTTATTATACGAGCGAACATATTTTTACTTAAGTATGCGTCTTAGAAGAAGACGGGTTCCGAGCTTCGTTCCATCTATTGACTTTTGTATCCACTATAATACGCATTTTCATTCAAATGTGCAGGCGGTATGATAAACGTTCAACGGTATCATGGCTTGATAGTCGATAGTACTCTCCTGAGCTTCCTCATCGTCCTCTGATTTTTATGTTTCGATCTTCTTGTCGTGTAGGTATTTCATATTCATAAATATGGTATCGCGTTGTGGGTATTTCAGAATAAAAATTAACATGTTTTTATCTTCTCTTGTAAGTATCCAACATGCATGATGAGCAGTAGCCACGACCACATCTTCTTCAGATGATGTTGGTCCTCATTCCTGGATCTTTAATTTCACTGATTCCTCATTTTTCTCAACTTGCGGCCTTCGAAACTTCCGTGCCATTCCTCGTCCTTGATGTTGTGGGATCGAATATACTTCTGTTCTGCTTGCGCGAGTGCGTAACAAGCTCACCGTCAAAGCAAGACCAGAACCAGGTATGTCCACATAATTTGATAGTCTATGTTGATAGCTGATAGTGGTTCTCCGTATATGCTGCTTGTGGACGTCTCTAATTTCGAAGAATCGGAATGGCGTTGTTCCTTCGGAAAATAAGATTCAATAATTCTATTTCGGAAATAATATATTAGTCTACCCTAATTAAAAGTCTTTGTTACCTCTCGAATGGGTACACTACTACTACTACTACTACTACTGCTGCTACAGGTAGTACAGCATCAACTTCTTGTTCTTCGAATCTTTCTTCTTTTTTTGAATCTCACGTGCGCGCGTCCAGGTCCTCATCGATTTCTAATCTATTTGATATCGTCTTTGGTTGATGTTGGTAGAAAAACCTCGCAACATAGTACAACTCACCTCCCGCTACTTCTATTGAATCTTCACCTCCACCCAAGAAGAACAAAAAAATGTCCTCGCCGGCTGTCGTCATCAGTGACTTCTCTGGCGAGAATGAGCGCCTACTGACCGACGCATTCGGACGTCCTAAGGCTTGGAGAAGCCCTGTTATTGCTTTGGACGCGGAGGGAGTGGACTTGGGTCGTCTTGGCAGATTGTCTATCGTGCAATTGGCTACCTCGGATGGCACTTGTTTCATTCTAGACGTGCTCGACAAAAAGAAAGACGACCTTCTCGCGTGCTGGCTAAGGGACTTGCTGGAGGATGATTTACGACTCAAAAGTAAGCGCAATTACAACAACAATGAAATTGATAATTGTGATTCGTTAATTTTTTTTCTGTCGGTAACAACTAACACAGTACAACTAGACGAGGGTATTTGTTCCCTAGTAGATTGATGAGAGATCACGAAGATGAGGACACTTGAGGACGAAAGAGCATGAGTATGCACTTGTACAACTACCTGAAAGGTTGTTGACCACCGTGAAGTACTATAACAATAGCACAAAAAAGCTCAACACCTATTCTAATTGCTGGTGTCGAAAAAATCATCCACGACTGCCGCATGGATAGCGATGCGCTCTGTCACCTCACCACCTGGACATCCGTCTGAAAAACGTTCATGATACCTCGTGCTGGCATCAGGTACTTTCTTTTTTCTTCTCTCAGAAACATGTAGAATACGACGAATGAGTCATATGCTATCCTACCTTTCTTGGTACTAATATCGATTCATCTACAAAGACTTCGTTAGCGGTGATTCTTCAGCGCATCCGATTTGTTGACTATCACATATAATTAGTAGATAAAGTGCATACCCGTCCAAGGACTGGGTACATCATCACCATCGTCATGCAGTGTTAAATGTTCCACCACACTTGATCTTCACCTTCCTGCTCTAGTACACCTACTCCAACTTACGTCCATTACGCTTTCCAACTTCAGGTTATCAAAGCCGCTCCTGATACGAATCTGAATGACACACTGCGATCGTACGGCCTACCACCAAACCAGGAGCGGGATAGGAATGTCTACAACCGAAATCATGCTTTCTGGGCAACACGCCCACTAACGAAGTCGATGATTGATTGGGCTGGCGGGGACCTCGAGTCCATGTTTGCACTGCGCGTCAAGCAGCTTGACTGTGCCTTAACCGGCGAAGATCTTCAGCGTGCTTCCATTATGAAACATCGTTGTAGCACTAAGGTAAATTGATTGAAAAAAGCTGTAATAGGTAAAGATAGGTATAGGCTCACATTTTTTTTAAACACAAGCAAATATACGTATTTCCATCTTCGGAATGAAAATAATTAAGACTCAATACTAAGAGTGATTATCTTCATCGCAGATATTGTTACAATCTTGTTTTTACAGTGTAGGTGTAGTTCTAGGATCAACCGTTGACTTTTCATCCACAAGGCAACCTTAGGGTTTCAGCATTCCTGCTCTTGCTTCGGGTGATTGGATTGAAATATCTAATACCCAATTGTCGGAGGAGTATTTGGCCTGCGCTCGGGATGCTGAAGTGGCTACGTTTACCGTGACACGCAACGTGGGTCACTTCATCGGGCCGCGTGGCGCCAATATCCGCAATTTGCAGAAGCAGACTAACACTCTTGTTTATGGCTTCGGACGGCGTGGCGACAACAAATTCATGGTCTACTACCGACGTGAAGTGGACAAAGAGAAAGTCCTTCAAAGAGCACGATGAAACCTTACTCAGGAACCCGTAGAGGACCACTCCATTCCACGAATTATAAGTTGTAAAACAAAGAGTCTTTCCGAGACTAAGACCATCGTTGAATTGAGAAATACTACTGTTAGTATGTACCTAGTTAGAAACAAAAATAATTGTCGACGCAACTATAACGTGTCGAGGAGGATCATGAGTTCCTTTCTACTGTAGAACTGAAAAAGGATGTTTCTTTATGTTTTGATAAAAAAACTAGTCCTGAAGGAAAGATGTTGTAAGAAGTATTCACACGTTAGTTAAATGGTGACCGGCAATTTTCTCCACGACCCATTATTCCTTCCGATTTGCATTCCTTTAATATTGATATTTATTCCTCACAAAATACGCCATGGTCCTGTATTGGTATTCATTTTCTTTTCTCCTTCACATCATTCTGAAACGTCCTTTCTTTGTGGAAAAAAAGGACTGTTCCGTCCAAAAAGACGCTGCACTGTCCATGATACAACAAAACTTGGATATTAGAGCTCTTGGTAGCGCCTCATTCTCGTAAGATGCTCCTAAGAAAACCTATTCATTCTATTTCTAGGTTGGTTGAGAGTGTTCATCGAGCAAGAATGAATCAAACTTATTCGAATGTTGTGTTCTTCTGAATTCCCGGGACGCGATTGAGGATGGTGCACGGGGCGAAGGAGGGAGCGCGAAGCAGTGAAGATGAAAAGAACTAGGCTAGTGCACTCCCAACAACGAAAAACATGTGGTACGTAGGGCCTTACGCCAGTAGGCACTTATTTCTAGTCGTTCACTTGTCACCTGACTCACTGCGCATGAGTCAAGAGTAAGCAGGGTTGGCGGCCCTGCCCTCGTGCCTTGTAGGCAGGCGTATAAGAGCGAGACGGTTGGCAGCCGGTGGGGGTTTATATAGGACTCTTAACCCGCCTCCTTTACCCCTAGGGTTCACCATTTTGGAATCGGCAGGTTCTTAGGCAATTGCTGCCCGGTAATATAAGGAGGCAATCGGACTCCACCTGCCGCCGGTTTGCGAACTGGTCAAAACTGGGATCACCCTGCCGGCGGTCTTGGAATACAAAAAAAAAACGTGGCTGCGGTGGGGACCCCCTGAACCTTAATCTGCATGTTACTAGGTTTCTAGAACACGTTGTAGCTATGTGATGTTTGCAGATGATCGAACTGTTATACATGAAGATCCAAACTGAATTCAGTACGCCTTGGCTTTTTATTCTGACTTTGCGATACCCTCTAACTTATGATCTCGATCACAGTAAAAACGATTTTTTTTGACTTTGTAACATCATAGCACCCTAACTCATGATCTCGATCATAGTAAAAGCAACTTCTACAACATCTAGGTGGGCAGAAGCGAACCAAGAGAAATACATTTTTTTACACAGTTATGAGATCTGCTTAGGCGCCTTGCCGAATAGATTCAAATCATCAACGTCAGCTGAGAAGATAATTGATATCATACGTAATAAATAATTGTGCTGACAAGATAGACATATTTTTATCTACAGTTATAGATCTCCAGTTATAGACCCAAATAAACAAAAAAATGATGGCTCGTAAACTTCGTGTGCTATGCCTTCACGGCTATGGGATGTCAGGAGACTTCATGCGGATGCAGATTGAGAAATCTGTCTTCGGTTCTTCGCCGATTCTCAAGGAGTTGCTTATGGCTACTTAGTCTACCAGGGTTAGGCTGTGAGACTAGAGATGGAGGTCTAGAGCCATACTAGATAACATTTCAATTCGAGATTCATATTTGTTGGGGGATTCATCTTCTTCAAAGTTTTTCTGAAATAGAAATACAGACTCACTACAACAGCGACATTGCTCTAAATTTTTGGATTTCGTGTTCCTGGATGCGCCGTACCAGGATGCTGATGCGCGAGACCCCTCCGAAACTGACCATGAGCAGCAAGCGAGCAGTGCTGTCGTGGAATCCAGTACAACTCCTACATCTCATCATGAGCATGGGGGTCGCGTGTGGTGGGATTTTCACCGTTTGGCGGATTCACCAGCCCCTTCTCGTCTCGCGGGGCTCAATCGCGGCGTCGCTGGCACGATTCGCTGCTTGGGCGAGCAGCTACGCAACCTCGGACCCTTTGACGGTATTGTCGGCTTTTCCCAAGGTGGACTCGCTTGTCACTATTTGATCGGCTTCGTCTATCAGCGATTTAACGGAGACTTCGAAGCAGCTGCAACGGCCTTCGAACGGACCTTTTCACCGACACTAAATCGATTTCTACTAGACGAGTATGGAGGTCGTGAGAAAAATATTAGGACAGGTCTTCTAAAGCAAATAGTAATAGAGCAAGAACGCCAGCAACAGGATCCTCATGCAAGCAGAGCAGTATCTCATGCGCAGTTGCTTCGGAAGGAACGGTTCGAACATATGCTCTTGGACGAGACCAGGGAGTTTGACATGCTACAAGTTGCGAACAAACTATTCTCATCTTCAGCTTCTTCTTCTTCCTCTTTGCATGCTGCTCAAGAACATGCGGATAAAATTTTTCCTTCCTTCTATAATAATGTCAATCTACAACATCAAGCTGGTGCTTCGAAAGAACAGGATTCTAGCAGAGCACAAGAAGAAGTAGATGTAGATGACCGGCTAGAAGTAGTACACGAAGAGCACCAGTTAGAAGCCGACGTAGAAGAGCAGGCACAACGACAGGTAGTAGGTGATCTTCAGGTACACGAGGACCACGAGGAAATCACGTTTCTCCGCCAAGCGCGTCAGAGGAAAAAGACGGAAGCGCAAGCTTCAGCGATGAGCAGCACCATAGTAGAGGATAAGATAGCTCCATCAAAACCAAAAGCTAAGCCTTTCACTCTCTCTACTCCGATTGGGTCGCCAACGAGTCCACTGAGTTCGGTAAGGTTTGTTGTGCTCATAAGCAGTGGCGTACCTCTGGATGGGACGAGTCGTTTGCAAGCACGACCGGCGCTAAGTGGTAGCAACTCGCGCTTAGTGCCGCCTGTAGCCTGCTTAGCCATCGCGCAAATGGATGATCGCGTTGTCCCGCCAGAACTAACGCTGAAGAAAACCTTCAACACACAAGGCAGGAGTACAAGTCAGTTTCTTCAGCGTCGTCAAAACGTTGTAACAAATACCAAGCAGCAAGAAGATGATCGCGATCCTACATCTGCTTCTGCTGTTGATGTAAGAAGCCACAGAGATGATCAAAATCCTACATCTTTTGCCACTTCGCCGTATCCTTATTTTCGGCAAGTGACAGAGATTCTGAACGCGCAGGGAGGCCATCGGGTACCACGCGAAGACCACTTCTCTCCAGAGGGACTGCAAACGCTTGTCGAGTTTTTTCTCGCTCAAAGCGAGGCCGCGAATGTCCTCTCAAATTCTAGACTGCCGAAAGCGAAACTGTGACTTCCGAAAGCGAAACTTTGTTGTGGATGAGGATGTCGATGTGATGAGATTTGATCGTTTCAAAGATTTTTAAAAAACCCCTCTACTACCTCAAGCAGCACATCATCAGTTGAATAGTTCTGGTATTTGGTAGCCTGATTTTGATCATAAGGAAAACAAGAAGAGAATCCTTGTGATCAAATTCAGGCTACCTCTACCGAATACCGGAACCATTCATCAGTGCACTTAAATTAGTGTTATGTACCAACTAAATCTAAAGCACACGCACACACTCAAGTAGCACATCGGTGCCTTTTTTCTCAGGATCTTCCTACTAGACCGCGAAGACCATGTTGACAGCCGATCCTGCATCCGTAGCTACATTCTGTAGCAAGGAAAACAGCGTGAAAGCAGTAGTACTGCAGAAGTGTTCTCCGAATGCAATGATGTGACTGTGGATGTTCTTGTAACGAAAATGTTCCTGTCATACTTCAGCGAAAGGCTATGAAAGAGGTTCCATGAAATGAAAAGTACATGGTTTTCGTCCCAATCTAGGTCACGATGAAAACACAAAATTTGTGTCAGAAAGTTATCGTAATTTTTTGTGAATGTCGTGGTCCCGCCTCATCAAGGGGCATGTGCATGTGCAGTAAATTAAGTAATTTGTTATCATTCCCTTACTCAAACTCATCCCCGACAGGTGGATATGGAGTGGGGATTTTGCACATGGGGAGCACTAGAAGCAGCTTGGGGAAAATTTTTGAAGTTTGGATGATGATGAGGCGTTCTACCTAGCTATATGCAATGAGTGGGCTACCGAGCTAGGTGGGAGGCAAATGGCCAGGCTCGCGGAAGCTCGAGGATTGCACGCAGCGGAGGGCGTGTGAGCTATGAGTGCGACAGCCTGGCACAAGCTGCCGACGAGGACGCGGCTCTTTCGAGGTTTTGCTCGAGGCCCCGGGGGAAAGTGGTTGATTAGTAGGAGCTTCTTGCCACTAGGTTCCGGGTGGATGCCGCGATTTGGGGATTTTGCACAAGCGCTCGAAAGTTTTTGGCTTGCCTCCTGGAAAATCATGCTTGTGCAAAATCCCCAAATCGCGATCCCCAATTTCTATCCCCACTAGATGACGCATTTGGGGATTTTGCACAAGCACCCGGTTTTTCGTCTCAAATTTCTCGCGAGCCTCAGAAGTCTCCAGAAATTTGAGACAGTCCGAGCCCTCCTGTCCGAAGGGCAGGAAAGAGCGACAGGCCTGGCCATGGAACGGCAAGCCAAGCTCCGGGACATCACACGAAGCAGCAAAAGAGGGCGATCTGCGTCAGCGTACTGCGTCAGCTGTCTCGCCAATAGCCACACTCCCGCCACCTGCATTCTCCAGCTGCCGCGATCCTTTCAGGCCGCGCGCCTCTCTACTGAATAGCTTGGCGAGCTAGCGAAACTGCCCGCCTTTATCTACCTTTTCTGTTCACGAATTTTTTTTTTTTTTCGAGCAGGCTGCTATTGGTCCCCATGTGCAAAATCCCCATTCCATAGTGGAGGATCATCTAAGTAGTATTTCAGCATGTGTACTAAAGGCAATATGAATATACGCTTCTAAATCAACATCATTTTTTAAGAACTTCGGAGACGATCACGAATATCTTCAATATCCCCCGCTAGCGATTAATATTGCAACACAAGAAAACTTCAGTACTGCTAGTGGTCCCTTCACCTTCTTTACCCCTGGAGTGGGTGCATTCAACCTTATCAGATAAGACTAGATAATTATACTAGATACTATACATCAAATACTAGATAGATAATATCTAATAAAGATGATGCAGATGCAAAGGCCAGATAAAATGGCATCGGTTCATTTCGTTTCTTTGGTTATTGTCGTCGCCTACCTTTGTTCTGGTCCTGGGGTGCATGCAGTGCGTTTACGCGGGGCACCGACTTCGCGAACCTCTGCAAAACCAGGAACATCTCAAGAAGTAGGTGACCACACCTCATCGAAGTCGGGAGGAAAACCAGGAACAAATCAACAAGTAGGTGACCACACCTCATCGAAGTCGGGAGGAAAAGCCACAAAGTCGTCCAGGCGTAACAGAACAAAAAGTCACCCTTCTAGCACCTCCAGTACTACAGTAATCCCTGCTGGTGGAGCGGCAGGAGACTCTCCTTCTATCACGACAGGAGCTAACGGCGGCCTCGATAAAGATGCTTGCATGTTGACAGATGCGGATGCAGTCGACCTCCCACGCGGCTGCTCTTCCTCTTCTACCTATATTAGTACACCGGATGATGTTGAGCTAGAACACCCTGCACCAGTAGCAGCTGCTGGTCTTGTTCACGCTATCATCCCTGATGACGACCCTGTCCCTGGGGAGCCTCCCTCTTCTGCCTCTTCTCACTCTATTCTTGAAACATCACAAGCTCAAGCCTCCTGTAGAAGCACATCGCCACATCATGGCTTGGCGTCTCCAACTAGGAACGCGACGTCCTGCTCTCCGTCATCTTCAGGTAGTGTCCAATCCGCCTTTTGTGGTTCGGCAGCTTGCGACGTCGTAGAAGTCGATCAGGAGCTTGCAAGGCTAGACTTGAACCGGGAAGATGACCCCGAAGACAAAGGAACTCTACGAGAGGACTTAGTGGTCCCAGAAAGAACCGCGACGATGAAGTCGTCTTCTATATCCTCGTGTAGTACTGCTACAAGTTCTAGCTCGAGCGGAAGAACAAGTAACAGCAGTTCGAGTAGCGAAATAGTACCCAGAACTTCTGAAGACAATATTGGCGAGTCTCAAGAACCTAGTAGCTCTAGCTCTTCTTCCTCTTTAGTACCTGCTGCTTCAAGTTCTAGTACTGGTGATCGTCGCAGGAGTGCCCATCGGCAAATAAAGAAAGGATCCGCGACGTTGATGACTACTGCAGAACAATCTCAGTCACTTTCACTACCCATCGCTACTAAGACGAGTCGAAACCCTAGGAAGTTGCCCAAGTCCTGCATCCGCGCAAAGCTAAGCCCTAAGCCTAAGGAGCCTCGTGACGGCGAAGGTTCTAGAACTAGACGCGTCAGTTTTGAAGCAGATCACCTAGAGGAAGAAAGTCCACATTATGGTGATTTCAAAGGACTGGAAGACTGAAACTTTTGTAAGTAAAATTTCTTGCTTTGGTTCATGATGCTCGTTATCTTGCTTTATTGATTCATGCTCGTTATCTTGTCGCACTGTTTCTTTTCTACGACTCGAAGCTCATTATCTTGACCTAGTCGTCCATACTTGATAGAAGTTCCCATCAGAAATGTCTCCTCCCCTCTAATTCCAGTATTGCGTTATCTCTGGTCCTAGTTGGGCAGCTTATGAAGCTACCAGATTAGAGAACCGGTACAAGAAGGCCATGGACCGCCTCCGGCGCGTAGAGCTCGAACGAGAAACACGTCGATCCGTCAGCTTCAACACAGTACCACCACTTAGTACTGGAAGTGGAAGTGGAAGTGGTCCTGCATCTGCCACAACTCCACCTCCAGCTATAGTACGCTATGACCTGACCACGAAGACTAAACAAGTTCTTCAAGAACCTTCGTCCGACTCCGACGTTGTGGATGACGCCTTTGACGATCAACAGCAACAGCAACAACAGAACCGTGGCACCTCTCCTGATGAATCCGATAGTGATCAAATTGGGAAGGACTTCTCGCACTTAAGGGATTCCAGGTTACACCCTTGTCCGCTAACATCCTTCTTGCTTCACCACAATTCAAGTAGTGGGCAAGTCAATAGATACATAGGTCAATTAACAGTATGTTCTGCTGAAGCAGGTGCCTGTGAGGCTCGCTGTGAAGGATTCACAACCTAACCTAACCTACTATATGATGCTGCGACCTTTAACATATGTTCTTGCTTGACCACAATTCACGTAGCTAGTGGTCACAACTGAACCTCTAGGCAGCTACTCGTAGCTGCTACGTGGTTCGAATGAAGGAATTCTGCAACCTTTAACAGCTGTCGAGCTCGCGGTAGGAAAAAGGTCGATGAAGGGCAAAGAACTGCAACTTCGCGTCAACAAGGCACTCTGGAAACTCGAGAAGATCGATAAGGATGTAGAAACTCTGATCGGGATCCTGTACGGAAATCTTATGACAACATTACATAACTAACTCTAACATGATCTACTCGTACTCCAGGGAAATTTTCTGTTGAATATCGTGGTCTCGTTCAAAAAAATATCTACCTGATTTTGTAGGAGGTATGCAAAAAAATTGTTTCTGCTTCTGCTCAAGCTATTTGACGATTAGTTCAGATCGTACAACTCAGTGCGACAAGGAAAAAACAAGATTTTTGTAAATTGTATTCAGGCAATAATTCTACTTCCTGATGAAGGAACAGAACCTCCAAAAGGTTAAAATTATGATAGTGAGAAGAAACTGACGAGACTCCTATTACTCTAGGAATAGGTCCTCCTGACTCGTCCTGATCGCTTTCATATTCTCAGCGTTTGAAGAGCAAATGCATAAGTATCCGCAGGCCCGCTATGCCCGGAACCTGAAATTATCACCGACAGCGGTACTTGTAAATATTTTTCTTTTTGATGTTCAGTCTCCATTCACACTCCTCGCCGCCTAGAAGATTGATGCACAGGTCGAAGACAAAAAAGTCGTTCTCCAGTTCTCCCGTTCTTGTCCTACAATTGATATTAAAGATGCTATGTCCTTATACGAAGATTTCGAAAATGATCTCAACTACAGGCAGAGGACAAACAAGTCGTTCTCCACAGATTGGAGCAGTTGAGGCTTCAAGCCGCTAGTCAGATCGACCAGCGATGTTCTGTCGGAAAGGTGATGCTGAAAGAAGGAGGAAAGAGTCTGCGCAATTTAGCATGCAATTTCGCCAACTTGTTCTTGCCTATCTAGTAACCTGGTTATTTGCCAACTTGGTCTTACTGTAACCACATAAAAAGTTATAAGACCTCTGGAGGTCATATTAAAAAGTCAAGATGACTGGAGGTGCAAATTAGTCAAGACACATCACACTTCTTCAGGTGCAAATAATAAACTCAGAATAAAAACAATGGTAACTACCCAACACGAGGAGCAGAGGTCGTACTATCCATTAATACTGCTCCAATGTAATTCTATAATTGTAGACTGTTGACTACAGTTTCTAATATTACTTAACGTGCATTGATCCTACTTTGGAATATCTGAAAGAAGACGAAGAAGAATAAAGAGGTATAGAAGAAGTTCGTACAGTAGTTATGATTTGTTGTTTTGATGTTTTGTCTATTTCTGTTGTCGGCACTTCTCTTTCTTACAGATATTTTCCTGTGGCTCGGGTCCCCGTGACTATCGTACGCCACCTAAAGTTTGCGATATTTACAACCCGAATACACATACTTGCATCTTCTAAAGAAAATCATTCTTTGTAGAAGAGTTTCTAAAGATCATTATAGTGGACAGATGAAGTTCAACCTCTTTTTGCAGGTGAAATGATCATGATATGTGAAAGTGAAAAGCTCAAGCAGCTCTTCTCCAAAGATGATAGTTTGTTTTTCGACGTGGAAAGTTGTCAGCTCGTTTTTTGGCGCCTGCATTCTATCCTATACTTAGAAAGAGATCGCTTGAAGATTTCTAAAGTACTAGATGAGGAGCCAATACATACTACACAGGTCCTGTGTCACAGGAGCCGATACATACTCGCATCAATACTGCCTGAGAGCAGGAGTCACTGAAACTCTACTGTAGAGTGGCTAATATTGGAATAGCTTGTGATCAAGAGCTGTGCTGATTTCTAAATTACAACACGAAGCAAACTGAGAATCAGGTGGTAAAGCTAATTAAAACACAATGACCCTTTTCTAGAGTTGCCGTTGCTTATGGAATAGAGCTAGAGGTGGACTTGGTCAAGCTTGCGACATTGCTAAGCTATCACGTTCAGACACATTTAAATTGTGTTCGTGCAGTCTATGTATTTTATTCGAAAAAAATGAGCGGCTTTATTTTACTTGTAGGTGTAGGTGTATTCAAAATAATGTTGGTAATCATGAAAAGCAGGCGGGTGGATTACTTTTTCCTTATGAGTTCTTTTTCCTCGATGATAAACGACTCTCTTCCTGAATTTGCTATGACAACGTGGCTTCTGAAGGAGATTACGCCATAAAATCGTGGACGTGGTCTGAAAAACACTTAGCCTGACGCTTCAAACACTGAGTTCAACACTCAAATTGCATCTAACTCTTGTCTGCACTATCAATGTTTGCATCAACACATATAACATCGATCTGGCTTTCGCCTCTGCTTTTTAAGCAAAATAATGTCCTTCGAGATAGATGAGCGGAGGTTTTGTGCCTACTTACTTGCGGATGCTCACAGTGTCATGGGTTGTTCCACATTGTCACCAAACCGGTGCCCCAAGAGAGAGAGTACGAACTATATATAAGGTGAGGATATTCCTCTCGTTTGTTCAACATGGCAAATGGATTTCGGGTAGATCCATGTGTAAACCAGCTCGACTCTTCAATGGACGTCTACGCAATAGAGATTCATCTTTGAGCTTCTGCATCGTTGAAGACCCTTCAATGGAAGTATGTTGCATGTAGGAATGGGCAAATTTGAGGGATATGGAAGATTAAACCGCTCTGAGACTTCCAGCTTTGACTTTCATCTTGCCCATGAGAATTTGAATTTCAATTTCTTAATTGTTTCAGTTTAACTGTGGGTGTAATACTGAAAAACAGATGGCGGCCAGCATTGTCCTCAAGGTCCTCCTCCCGTTCCCATGGATATCTTGCTTTTCCTTCTCCGTCTTGAGAGAAGGAACAGCTACGACCTGCTGGAAGGAGCACCTTCTGGAATCATGTTAAGCAGACGCGGACTTATAGGAACTCCAGATGTGCGTCAATTTGACAGGATCAAGAGGATGGGGACAGAGCAGGATGTTGAGAACAGAAGTGGAAGCAAAGGAACGACCCCTGTCGTGTTCAGCTGTAGTGCATAGGCGGAAGTCGTGCTCTGCTGCAGGGAGTCGCACGGTGGGAGTAGGCAGCGGCGCTCTACTCGTGTAGGTTTTTGTTGGTCCCACGCACAGGCTATCGATCCGCCCTACGGCGCGCTGCAGCGACGGAACAACACCACGGCGCGGTGCAGCATCTAGTGCGCCGTTGATCCTCTTCTCCTTCGGTACCTTAGGACTGGCCTAAAGAAACAGGAGAAGCAGGAGGACCAGCGATGATCGAGGTGAAATCTTTGGACCTGGTGCGATATGTGGCGCATCTTGCGCGTGCTGCGTGGTCACCTGAATATGGCTTACCGTAGGAGTCATTCATCTTCAGAAGCAATGCTCTACCTTTGACATGACAATTTCTTCAAGGGATGAAGTTATTAATGTCGTGGTCAAAGAGAAAGATAACACTTTCTTCTAGCTAGGGATACGAATGTGGGTCGTAATATTAAGGTCTAACCGTCGCTTTTCCTACGATTAAGGCCCAGAGATCATGTTTTCCGGCTTATGCATGAAGTGTGGCCAGCAGAAGGTGAGAGTCTACGCTGGACGATGCGTTGTCTCTTCGCTATTGGCCTTTTACGCTCGCTGTTGCTTTACCACTCGACGAATTTGCTGAAGCGACTTTATGATGGGGAAAATGGTTTTGAGCGAAGCAACTAGTATCTAGTAGGGCTCTCTCTCCTTAAGTTGCCAACTAGTAGATAAGTATATGCAACTACCAGATCGGGGGCTCCATGTAAAAAAGAACGACGCGGATGTGCAGCTCACTCTTCCAGTTTTCTTCACCCGTCAACCACCTCCGCATTAACTCCTTAGTTCCACCTGAATAAAGATTCTTGTAAAGAGCCTCTCTTTGCTGAATTGTTCATAACCTGGTTCTCTCTTTGCTAAATTGTTCTCTCTTTCTCTCTCTCTCTTCCTTGTTTATAACCTAGTTCCCGCATTGTATGGCGAGAAATCGACGAGTCTTCTGCGCTTAGAGAGCCTCTTCGTGCGCGGTGTAGTTCTCGCACTCTGTGCGGGCCTGCAGCATGCGGCGCAACAATTCTTGAGCACGCGATTGCACATCGAGTTCCGCGCTCGCCTCGTTTCAAAAGTCCACGAACTCTACTTTTCCCGACGCCGTTATTACCGACTCACACAGGAACAAACACGCATTCAAAACCCGCAAGATCTGGTCACGACTGAGCTAAATTTATGACGATGAAAGAAAGCTTCTGCTTCTCTCCTCCACATTGTTCTTAAGTATGTCTTCTATGCTATGTTCTTCTTCCTTGCAGTTCTTCTAGGTTCTAAAGATAAAACTAAAACTAAAAACCAGGAGTGGTCAACAAGAAAGTTTCAGTTATTGTTATCCTGACCCTGAGAAGTACTTAAATAGAACCACTACAGTAGAAGTTTCGCTCCTCTTGTCATTTACCTATTTTCAGTGGCTCTACGTAGTCTTAGAGCCTGAGCTAGAAGCACAATCTTCCATACTTTCCTGCCGACAGGAGTCAGTTCAAATTACCTCGCCTTACTTCTAGAGCCATTTATTCCAGACTAAGTTCTTCCATCGCCTACAACATTAGCCGCCATTTCCAGACATCGCCTAAATTCTTCCATCGCCTCTCGGCTGTCCGTTTTTGTTTCGACGCTTCTCCTGTCGCTTCCACAATTGGGTACACTTTCGCTGCGGCTGTTCGCATCCTATGGCCCGTGGTTGGCGCTGTTTCCGCAGGCGTATCTCCTCCTCATGTACGAGCTAGCGCAACGAGCATTCCCGAAGAACGTAGGGCAACTACACAGGGAAAGCGCGGTAATGAAGTAGATGGTCTATTGTATTGTTCTGGTATTTGGTATAGCCTGATTTCGATCATAAGGGAAAACAAGAAGAGAATGCTTGTGATCAAATTCAGGCTTTTACCAAATACCGGAAACATTCTTCTTCTATGACTATCAGCTGAAAATAATACATCTATCACTATCTCCTGAATTGTCTCCCAGATCGCTTCGAGCAATTACCGCTCAGCGTGTACGCGATTACAGCAGAATGCAGAGGGGGTTGGATGTGTCGTGGGAGGAGCCGTCAGAGAAAAGCAGATTTTGGAGGACTACTTTGATGTGTGTCTCTCGAAGGAGACGGTATTGGCACGCACGGCGCGTAAGTTTGTATGGATCCTGATGCTTTTTCCATCTGCATTTACTTTTACTTATAGCTTCTTCTAGGTCGTTGCCCCTTTTCGTCCCCTTAAATCTGTATTATAGCTTCGTTAAGGGGGAACTGCGATGGACGACTGTATTATAGGTGGACAAGTTAGCATTTTTCATAGTTCGGTCTCATTTTCAAAGTCGCTTATACCTATGGATCTCGCCCAGTCATGAGCTGCCTCATGCTGTTGGCAGTGTGGCGAAAACATGGCAGTGCTGGTGCAGGTGGACAGCCTAATCAAAAGGACCCTGGCTTTCTTCTCTCGGAATTCCGGAATACTGGTCTCATCTTAGCCGAAGCGCTTGTCGGAACAGGACAATTATTGCACATCCATGCCATGCACACCCATATCCAAGGTCTGGCATCGCGGATAACGGGGTTAATAGATACTTTGAAGGACTTAGCTGGCGAAGATGAGGAGGGTCAAGCGCGTGAGGAGATCCAAAATGCCGATCAAAGTGCTGCTGTACTCCTGGAGAATGCAGATACAACTGCTCTGGGTCAGCCACTACAACTTCGCAACACGGAGGTCGACTCTGACGAGGCATGCGCGGACTCTATTACCTTTCTTTAAGGGTGTCCATAATCCACATTGCATTCCGCAATACTATTTTTGACTCACTTAAATTTTCCCATAGGAAAGAAGTCAAGGATAATCTGAGGAATGCAATGGCGCAGCCTCTAGTTTGTAGACGCTGACGTGGCGACTCCAACCGGTAATGTCTTAGTACGAGGTCTCAACTTTCGCATTGCTCGCAAAACGGTTTTGTTAACAGGACACAACGGCGCTGGAAAAAGTTCTATTTTTCGAGCGATGGCGGGTCTGTGGCGTCTGACTGCAGGAAAGGTTGTTGTCAAACATGATACACAGAACAAAATAAATGCTAAAAATGCATCTGGTAGTACAACTGGCTCATTCTCTGGAAAAGGAGGAGGACGTCAGATAGGCATCTTTTATTTGCCACAAAAGCCTTATAACGTGCATGGAACACTGCGGGAGCAAATATTCTATCCCCTCAAAGGCCAAAAAGTAGACTCTAGGAGATTGCTTGCCTACCTTCGTAGAGTAGGACTCGGGCATTTATTGCTGCAGCATCAAGAAACGAGCATTACTACGGGTGGAGCTGGTGGAGATCTGGCACGACAGCAGTCTGAAGGAGATACAGATAGTAATAAAAGCCTCGAATCTGTTTTAGATCGAGAGCTAGACCGCGTTCGGGACTGGGATAAGGTTCTCTCACTAGGAGAGAAACAACGACTGGCGATCGCCAGACTCTGGTACCACCGACCAAATATTGCGGTACTCGACGAATGCACTAGTGCAGTATCAGTGGATTTAGAGGAGCTCCTTTACGAAGAGTGCCAGAGACTGGGTATCGTGTACGTTACCGTTTGTCACAGACCGGCATTTATGGCGGCGCTTAATATTTTTTTACTCATTCATCTCATGAGTAAATATTTAGAGATGAGTACTGTACTCATCTGTTAATGTTAGGAAGTATGTCTTTGAAGACCACGTGCTTGCAAGGCGGGAGCAAAGGTCGTGGTTAAAGAAAAAATTGCTTTCAAGGGAAAAGATGCTTTCAAGGGATACGCTCCAAATATTTAGATAATATGACATTAGATTGATACACACATGACATTAGATAATCTTTATCGGTAATTAAAAACTAAGGTCTAATGCATTGAAGAAGTTTCACGATTTCAGTCTACGTTTGGACGGACGTGGCGGTTATTCCTGGACCGCGATTGATGAGGCGGAAAAAGCCGCAGTTCAGACCAAGCGAGAAGCACTTGCTCTAGAGAGAGAAAACACTGTGTCGTTGGAAAGCGATCAGGCAGTACAAGACATCATCCTGGAAGATGCCGATGTTGACGAGGCAAATAAAAAAGGTTCAAAGCCTCCAGCGGGCTCGTCAGTGGTAAAAGGAAGAACTACATCAACGGAAGAACTACATCAAGATCAAGAGGCAGCAACTTCTTCAACTAGTACAGGAAAAACTTCTGGCCATTCGGGTGGCCTCTTGCGCGCAGCTAGACTCTTTCAATCTGGTTTCCCCGGAAACGAAGCCACGCTGCTGAAGTTGGCAGCACTCACTGCCTGCCGAACACTCCATTATGATTCAGGAGTGTCTTGCAGTCGTAGCAGCGATGAATTCTTGATCAGATCAATAGAATAAAATCTCGATCTCCTCTACTCATCGTCCTTCTTGAGTCATCTACTTAAGTATAATATACTACTAAACTTATAGTATAATTTACTAACTACTGCATTCGAAGATTGTAGTTTGCGCAATATGTTACCTTGTTCCGAAGATGATTTAGTACTACATCTGGTTGTAGAGGGTTCAGGGTAGTCTTCTAAAGGCCATGGGAGAGTTGGGCATTGCTTCAACAACGTACGGCGACCGCACTGGTTGACGTTAAGGCTACCACTGACCAAGCATCCATAGCCGCGGCATCCTTGGCCTCTTTTTCAACCGGGAGAAGAAGAGCTCAGGGTTTCCTTTAATATTTGACTGGACGGTCGTAGTTGTTGTACTTGCGACTACTGCAATTAGGCTTAGGGTACATCTTCTAATGACGGCGATCGTGCTAAGTTGCCGTTTCTGCTGCTGTCTGGCGCTTTGCAGGCATTGCTGATGAGCTTAATCGACGAGGAGAGTGACTTTACGCAGCGTGCTTTGTGTCGCGGTCTCAACGCAAGTTTAACTCGCAAGTTCCTCAAGAGTTACCTGGCGCAAAACCGATTCTACAATCTCCAACATTTTTCTTGTATCGGAGACGCTGATGTACGCGGGACGGTCGAATTGATGGAGTTGTGCAGCGGCTTTGGCTCACTTTTCACGACATTGCTGAGTCCGTTACTGGACATCTTTTGGTTTTCGGCAAGGCTGTTTTTCTTTCCTGCATTGCTACGCTTCCTGACGGAGTATACGCTGAGATACCAGAAGATTAGCGAAGTAAGAGTAAGTGGAGGTGGAGGAAGTGGAGGTGGAGGAAGTGGAGGCGGCTCAGAGGCCCTTCGCGTCCAAACAACGTCTGCTCTGTCCTCCACACTTGCGAGAGCAGCGCAGTGGCTCTTGTCCGTAGCGTCGTCTGCGGGGATCGTGGCCACACAGAGCCCTACTAGTCTCAGCGGTCAGCATAGTCAAGCACGGCAGAGCTTTGCGTCGGGTCGAAGTGCAGCTCTTTTGCTGGGCTACAATTTAGTCACTTCTTTCCTACTTCGCCAGCTGTTGCGCCATGTACACGAGTTCACGCGCTCAGAAAAAAGTTTCAACTCGCGCTTTCGAGAACTGCACTACAAAGCACAAGCCCACGCCGAAAGCATAGCGTTCTTTCGTGGCGGTCCTAGGGAGAAACAACTCGCGGATGCTGAATTTGGCCACCTCAGACAGTTGCTGAGCGATAAAAACTTAGCTGACAGCCGCTATCGGCTGTGGTACTCTTTCCTAGTTCACGATCCGGCGGATTACGCGCAAGGGCAGGTGTGCGTCAGGTAAGGCCGCTTCCCCTCATCCATCTTCCGACGCGTCTTGTTCAGCTGAAACTTTCCCCGATGTGGGGAAAGAAAGCAGCACGAAGATGATGAAGATGTGTCTGAAGCTGAGATGAATGTGTCTGTGAGCTCTAAGTCGGCGATTTGTTGCAGTTGTATCTGCAGCGAGGCCTTTCAGCGGGAGCAAATTCGTATGCGGATGCATCGGTCAGACGCATTCTGGCAGCTTTTGGCTCTCTCACGACACTACAACAATCGCTGACAGCTTTGGCTGCGAATGCAGACAGAGTCGGCGAACTCTTCGAGGAACTATCAGCGCCAGGTGGAGCACGTAGTGCGCAAAATCGACTTTCGTCCCATGTTAATGGAGCAGCAGAAATTAGCGCACTCTACTTTAAGGCCTCACGTAATCCATCTTTCAGTTCATCTGCTGGCTGTTTTCGAGCAGAAAAGCGAGCACAGAGACAGATGAGGGGAAAGACTGACAACAGGATGGATTATGATATAGTGAGTAGTTCTAAACTCTACAACGGTGCTAGCACTGGCTCAGCAGGTGGAGGCAGTGATTTGTCATCTGAGATGGAAGAGGCAGGTGGGATTTTCAATATATGCGACGTGGATGCCAGAAGTACGACAGCCAGTTCCTCGAAGTCATCCCCTAGAAGAAGACTCCCGATGTCCGGATCCCCTTCTCGGGTGGTCCTTGGTCGCACGCATGTCGTGCACTTAGGCACGACGGCGGCAGCGAATCAACACCAAATCAGTACTGGGTCGCCGACTAGGAGAGGGGCGAATAGAGCGATTAGCACTACTGGACTCAACGTTGAAGCAGGGGAAGAAGGCTTGACATTTCACAATTATGAACTACGTTCAGGTGTAGCAATTCTTGGTCGGAGTACTTTTAGGCGTCATCTGTCTATTTAGAAAAAGACTAAGTTTCCTAAGGTATGCAAATCCGTCTTGCTTCACAATTTCCAAAAAGGGGGTCTATATGTGTTTTTCTTTTCCTTGGTGAATTAGTAGTGATCCTTACACGTTTCCTAACCGTAAATCCACACGTATTTCTAGTACAAGTTTTTTTCTTATCCTTTTTGCAAAAAGCGCCTTTCATAACCACGTAGACCTAGTGACTCCGCGAGGCCTAACGCTTGCATGCGATATCAGCCTTTCGACGACAGGAGGCCTCATGATCACCGGCCCAAACGCCAGTGGTAAGACAGCTCTATTCAGAGTGTTGTTAAGGCTTTCGTCTACTGCAGAAGTTGAACTATGTATTCCGAATGCAATACAATATGAACGATATATTCGATCTCGCAGAAGCCACTATCAAGATACAACGAGACGAGGACTTTTTCTTATCCTGTGCAATCCTGCACAAAATCAAAAACAAACTGTCTTTCCAGCTTCACATCTTGGCCACAAAGCTTCACATCTTGGTCGACCTTGTCATTATCTCTAAATCCTTGCGGTTTGTGGCCGATTCAAGGTGCTGGTTGGATCCGTCGACCTAGGCAAATGCAGTTAGTGCCGCAAGCTGTCTACATGGTGCTAGGCACACTGGCAGAGCAAGTTTCTTACCCGGATCGATGTCCGCGGGGAGAAAGTGGTGCTGGAACGCAGAACTCGCAAATCTTGGTAAGTGACGGCTCCACTCGACAACATTTTTCCCAAAGAACTGATACAACGAGAAACGCCAGCACGAATAAGAATCACCCAAGTAATATCCTTTTGAAAGAACAGCAGGAACGACAGGGCTACTTTCTCTGCGTCTCACGCGCGTTGGAGAAGGTGGATTTGCAATACTTGGAGACCCGCGAAGGTTTCTTTCGGGTGCGACCGTGGGAAAACGTCCTCTCTCTTGGAGAGCAGCAGCGCGTGTGCTTCGCACGGGTTTTCTACCAGCAGGAGAAAGTGAAGTTAAGCATTTGATTTGATCTATTGAATGAAGTTCAGCATACATACTGCATTGACAACTACTATCTTGACTCTATAAGTCTATCTTCTACGACAGGTTCAGGTAAAAGGGATGATCGTTCACGCATCGTTAGCTCGTCAAGTTCAGAAGTCCTCTGACCCCTATTCGAAAAGTGAAAATATTAACCGAGTTACTGAGACTGAAATAAGAGAGTCTTGACTACATTCCTCCTCATTCAGTAATATCTCCCTTATTTTATTAGTAAGTAGTTGCATACTCGCTTATTTCAGTTTATCGAAAAGTACTCGACTTGTTTCTATGCGTGAAGTGATCTGCTCATTGTCCTCTACTAAGATCTTTGCGTGAGGAGGCACGAGCTCGTCTCTCTGTTGGCGCTGCTCATTGTCCTCTACTAAGATCTTTGCGTGAGGAGGCACGAGCTCGTCTCTCTGTTGGCGATTCCCCCAAGACCAATTCGGACATATCCGCCGACTCACCACCATCAGAACGAGGACTGCAGGACTTCTACAAGATCAAGAAGAGCTCTACTAAAAATTGTTCTAGCCTTGTTGTTCTGGACGATTGCACGTCCGCCGTTGCCGTAGAAATCGAGAACACGCTCTACGAGCGGTTGAGGGAGTACCCAGGTCTGCAATGCGTTACGATTTCACAGCGTTTAGCGCGCAATCTATGCCCGTTTCACGAAATGGAGATCCAATTGGGTGCAGACTCCGAGCCGACGCGGAGACACTGTGTCCGCTCGCTTGACACAATAGCAAAGTCGCCGCAGAAGTAGCACTGCAGAAGTAGAAATTTCTGGTGCGCGCGGAACTATCACTAACACTGTTTTTGCTTTGCCTTTGAAGACCATTTATTTTGTGATTCCGTTTACATTTTTTGATTACGAGCACGCTAGAAACAGATCAGAGTTTATAACTACCTAGTCCGACTCACATTGTTCATAACTGTTATTAACGGCAGAATTATCGCTGTCCTCGCAATAGTCCTTGTAGATATTCATCATCTACTAGTAAACAATATCATGCTTCTACGAGAATCTACTACAGCTTCTGCTTTATCCAGTATCCAACAACTTTTTACTCTAAATTCCACTTGTTACGCTAAAAGTTCCTTATTCAGAAAATGCAGGAAAATGAGTAGGCAAATGAAATAAAACAAAGATTTTAAAGGGTTTCGGTTTTGGTAGGGTTCTCTCAAGAGAGAGTTTTGCGACCAGAACTAGATGAACTTGCTCGCCCGAAAACAAGGTACACTTATATACACACTTGGTCGCTTTTTTTCATTCTAGGATCCTGTCATTGATGACTTATGTATGCTGTTGTTCTACCTCAAAGAACTGACGTAGCCCCTGACTATTGATCTGCTGATAGACTAAATTCTCTTGCTTGTGTCAATCTTTTAGCCTCAGGAAATTACACAAAAGGAAGTTTCCGGTAGATGCCAGCACCTTGCTTCTCTGGGTAGCACGCAGATCAAGTTAAACGCAATGGCTGCGGTAACAGATGAAGGAAAGTTATGGTCTACGAGTAGGCAAGTGCTTTCGCTTGGGTCGTGCTATTTTAACTGTTTCAGACAGAAGGGATGAGGTATAGACACTCAAGGATGGCAGTAGGTTTTTCCTTTTTTCTGGAAGTATAAAAAGCACGCACTTATACTACGTACTTTTCTAGGAGCTAGACGCTAGATTCTAATCCTTCCTCCCATCATCTTAGGAGTTCGCCTTCAATCTAAATAAGGCGGACGAGGTTACTCTTACGCAGACAGAGTGGTAGACGAGGTTGCGCTTGTCCTGTGGTTCTAGGTAGAGGAGGCTCATGCAGATGGATTGGCTCGAGACTATGCGAAGGGCCTGGGCATTGTCCTCAGCGATGTTTCTTGGCTCGATGAATAAGCATCATCATGTATCTTGATAGGAATTTGCTGAAAGTCAACTTGTAGCTGTTAGCTTGGATAAAGGACGACTGAAGCTAGCAGCCGACGCTGTAACGTTGACAGACTGGCGCCGATCAGTCTCTATTTTCCGCTTTCGTGGTACAGTAAAAATAAAAGTGTTCCCTTAATACGGTGCGAGCAAGTGACTCTTCAGGTTTACCGCATGAGTGAGAAACTAGAAGACACTATGGAGAGAGAGTCTCTTGCATGGATTCAAAGAGGACGAGAAATTTAGATCAATCTGAGCTCTCCCTACAAGCTGCCGGCCCTTCTACTAAAACCGCCTTGATAATAAAAGTTTCCATATTAATTTGTGGCTTTTGGCTCAGTCGCGTGACGTATAGAATGAGAGGCAAAAAAAACGACGAGAGCCGGAGCGTGAGCGATTATATACAGCTTGGTGTGCAACCTCTCCAACCCCTCCACTGAACACTATGAATTCGGCAAAGTGGCCCTTCCCAGATGATCAGTTATTTGCTATGTATCCCGTGCCTCTGTTATCCCTTTTCTAGTCCTCTTGCGGTGCATATCTCGACGATTTTCTAGACCTTGAAGCTTCTGTCTATAGGTATGGCGTTGTGTGTGTAAGTATCGGAAGGCGACGGCGTAGATTGATAAGATTACTGTATGTGGTTACGAATCCTTCAGAGTTCTGGACTATCGATCCATCAGTCCTCACTTGATTGGTGTGCTAAATGAATAGAGGAACTGTCAAGCATCGCTGGCATATTTATTATAGCTTTCGTATTCTAGGTAATAAACTAGTGCTTCAAGTTGTTACTGAAGTGCTTTATCTATTCTGAAATTTAGAGAAGGGTCGAGAGATGAGTACATGAAAGAGCCTCAATGTACTATCTAAGAAAGTGGCGCCACTTCATAGCAATAGGTCTTACTGGTTCTCTTTGCTCGATATATCTACTACACCTTGTCCCTTGCTTTCTGCAACTTTCTTATACCATACTTACTTACTTCTTCTAAAAATGGACCTTCCATGCGAAGTCCATAGAGTTGTGAGTAGAAACTCATTAGCTTGGGTAGAAATTTATGACAAGCACGGAATCGATCGACCCGATTGGCTCGTTCTTCCCGAGCAGCCAGAACTATTCCGAGTCTACTTCTGTATACCACTTGCCGAGTACTGGGATATAGACTGCAGTGGAACGGATTTGCCAAGGAACTTGAAACGGGCCAAGTTCTTTGGTATTACAGAGAGCCACCTGCGCAAGACTATTGATATTCCTGGGACCGATATCACATTTGAACGCACTCATTGCCCTACAGACGACTACGAAGGCAAAATCGATCTGGGTTTCTTGGTATTCTAGTCAAAACGTTTTCTAATGGTGCGCATTTCTCTCAGGGAATAGGTCTGATAATCGATGGTAGTGCTTCTTCTCGTGACTCATTAGATCCGTACTTTACAACTAAGTCGAGCAACATCACTTTACAAGTAAAAAGAATCCAAATTCAGGCACTTGAATCCTACGCACATCCTCGATTACCATACCTACTTCGCATCTTGTTGTTGTAGAAGAAGCAGAGACTAAAAACTGTCAAGACTTTTTATGTTTAATAAATACAAACGCAACACTCTTAGACCTTCGAACAAGCACGGGACACACTTAAAAAAGTGAACAAGAATATTGCGAACCTGCAGCTTCGGTGTTACCCAAAAAAACCTTACTACGAAATTAGACGGGAGTTATCAGAAGTACCGAAGCAGTTCACCCCAGAAACGTGGCCTGCAGGCAAAGTGCGCAAATACATCTGGGAGGTACATCTAGACTAGAAATTCCCTTTTTTACTTACCTAGGTTTTTGCAGGTGCCAAGATGTGCGTTATATATAGTATCTGTAAGTCTAAGATCGTAGTAGCCTCGTGCTCGTGCTTGATTGAACTCCTGAAAAGCGTAGGCCCGCTTCTTATTTCAGACTCAAACTCTACTAGAATGCGATAGGGTCGCTTCATCTCATCAACTTTTTCCTTTTCTTGTTTTCAGTTAAAAACTCCGACGAGCTGCCGTTCTAAGGATATCCGCGTTCTATTGGGCGAGAATAATTGGAAGAAGAGTGGACCCAGTTTTTTCGTAACCCTTGACGACGACGCGAAGGAGGTGCTACTAAGATTCTTCCTAAAGTCATTTTTATCACACTCTTGCTCCCGTTTGAGTAGGAGCCTGCGCTAGTCTTATCTATCATGGTTCGTCTTCTTTCTCAGAGCTTGTTTCTGTTTTCAAGAATTTCGTCAAAAGGTTTTGCCATGTCTCAAGAAACATTATCTCATCCCAGTTTTTGCGATACGGCTGCGGAGACGACGGCGACGAGGTGGCTTCAATTCGCGAAAATTTAGACAAAATGAAGAATAGCGAGAGCAAGGCTGTGGGGGAGCTTGGGAAGATCGCCAATTCCATGGCCAATGAAAGCGGAGGCATTGTACTACTACTACTTAGATTCATTAAGAAAGTTTTTTGCTAGTAGAGTATAAGCTTAAAGTTCTACTACGTCAAATTCCAGTTAGTTATGGCATCTTCTAGCTGGAGCTTGTTCTAGTTGGAGAAGACATAAGTTACGGAGGGCCATAGTTTGGGTGGAACTGCATTCCCGTAGTAGCTAGTAACTAGACTGCATTCCCGTAGTACTGACAGGTACTGGATATTTATTGATGCGATCCAAATTGTCGCACTTCTTATACTACGTTAAGAACAAGATCTGGCTCTACTTTTATCTGAATAATTACAGTACGTAGGTAGAGGCACGGCATAACTTTTTCAGATTTTCATCTCTTCAAAAAATGTTGTCAAGGTTCCGGATTTATCCAAAATACCCAACTTTCCACTTTTCTTTCAGTAAGTTTTGGCTTTGTCATGCTTGTCATTGGTCTCAGGTGCCGCGCCGTAATGCATCTGTTGATGAAGCAGCGAAAGCAAGCCTTGAAAGCCCTGGCCTCGATGGTGTTGAACTAGATGTGGACGCCTTGGAGCAGGAAAGCAAGTTCAGTCCCGTGTACTGTCAAGACAAGGAGCTGCAGGAGAGAGGAGTTTTGTTTGGTCCGCCTGATGATGATCATGCACCACTCGAGGACGAGGACGCAAACAACAAGAAGGAAAATAAGCAAACCAAAGCCATGACGAAGCCCATGAAGATGGTAGTAGCAATGAAGAGAAAAAATAAGAAAAATGATGAAAATCCACCTTCTCCGGTTTTTAGCAGCCAGCAACAAGAAGAGTCCAGCGTGTCTCCTCCTAAGAAGATGAACAAGAAGAAGAGTGCGGCATGTGAGGTGGCAGGGAAGCGCTCATCTTCTCCCAGAAAACAAGAGAAACAAGTTACTTATCGTGACGAGAGTGGCAAGCTATGCTATACATCTTCTCTACAAGACAAATGGTTTCCACGAACTGCGCGACCTGCTATGCCAATGGCCTGTGCGACGAAGATGTGGGATGGGATTCAAAACATGATTCGCGAAGATCAGAAGGAGTATCTCGCATCTGCTACTACTACCACTACTACAACACGATCATGCGCCACAGCTTATCATCGCATGAACCTGAACAAGAAGTCTAGATATGTATTACGCGAGGCATGGGAGATGTTTGGGGCGCAATACTTGCGCAGGATGGAAATACTGGACAAAGAAAAACTTCTAGGAACGCAAACTAGTCTGCTAATCGACCCTGATCTACGGCGACAGCAAGTGCGGGATCACGCTCTGGGTGAATTTCGACGCAATCATGATCTTCGGCGTACGCTGCAGGAGGATCTTGATTTCGAACCTGTTCGCATGCAGTTCCAACTAGATCTGAAAGTGCTCGTGTGGGAGTCTGAGGTGATTGCAGCATGGCGGAAATACAAGGCGCAACTCACGGAGGAAGAAATCGCCGAAAACCGCAGGAGCGATGAAGTTCATAACATGGTGAAGAAGAATAGTAGTTTCATCTTCAACGACTTCATGTCGCGTCATGGGCGCAGCCTTCCTAACGATAAAAGTGGCAAAGCGCCAAAATTATCAACACTAGAAGAGGCAGAAGAAATAGCAGAAGAGCTAAAACAACAACTCGAGCTGTATGATGAAGAAGATGAAGATCAAAAAAATACGAAGTACGCAGAGGAGCACTACGGCGTCAACAGTGATGACCGTGTTCGTCAAAATATAGATCGACACGATGATGCGGACCTGATAACTGCTCCGTTACGCCATGGCACAGAGAAGCATCACCGCGCGATCAACAAGAACAAGCACGACACTCGAGTGTACAACTATTGCGTTTCTCATGGTTGGAATCCTAAGAAAGGGCCTGCTCCACAACATCTCGTAGAGGAGGCGAACGACCACTTTCATGTCATTGCTAGTGATTATACGTCTTCCAGCGAGCACGGTTGGGATTCCAACGAGGACAACATCTATCTTGGAGAAGATTCCTCATCTTCCGATGAAATTGGCGATGACGTTGCTGGTGATGATGATGATGTTGATGATGCTACTAGTGACGACGATGATGATGGCGCATACGATGCTCGTGCAATAGTGGGCGCTTTTCGTGGTCGTTATGGCACTTTTGGCGAAGAGTCTGGACTACTATCTAGTAACCATCACTGTGCGGGTGTCGCGGCAAGTTCTTCTAGCTCATCCGGTTCTTCTTCGTCTTCTTCTGCGAATATTTTTAGGAAAGGAACAAAGAGTACATCAGCAACTTCAAAGGAGACTACAAGAAGTTCTCCACTTGTTTCCTCCTCAAGCAAAAGCTCTTGTTCTTCAAGCTCGTCGCATGCCATGAATTTGGCAAGTAGGACCACCGGTTATCATGGTAATCAACATGACGGAACGGCAGTCGCCAAGCGTACTTCGAAGCGATGAGTGATGGACTACGCAAGGTGTCTTCATATAGATACTACAGTCCTTATCTTTATGTGACTTTCTATATCCATTGTTTACTTAAGGTCTGACTATAGAAGCAGAGAGCTTTTATTTGTGTGTTTAAGATAAATGTGTTCTCGAAGTCGTTGAGCACAGCTTTTATATTTGCTCATATTCCTCTAATAAAATCACAGGTATGATTGGAATTCGAATAAGTGCGATTCTGCAGTGGAGGCACGATCTTGAGAAGCTGGCTAGAAGCTAGCAGATAGGAGCTCTTACAATTTCGTGACTTAAGTTTTCTATTTTCATAGTGACATCCATTAATGTTTTAGGTTCGACATCGACGCGCTTACATGAAGACGCACATGAATTATAGAAGCACTTGGCTGTTTGTCACAGTTTTCTCATTGTGCTAGGCCTTCACTTATTACAAGCGTTACACAGTAGTAACCAGACGTTTACCATAAGACTGCTGTCGTGCGAAGGATGTGAATTATTTTTTTGTTACAGCATACAACTACTGAAAAAATGTCAAGGCGTGTTGTATCTTCTTCTACCAAGTCCTCGGAGCTGGAACCATATCTCACTCAGTACTTCATATTTTTTTGAAATAAATATAATCATGACTATGCGTGTCGTGCTCTAAGTTTAAGCGAGCCTCTCTTGAGCATTATTATTGACGTGAGTAAGTACAATAGAGTCGGGGTAGACGCTTGTATCATAGTATGCACAGACTCAAGAGCTTCATGTAGTAGGTCGTTTTTGTTAGATACTATGGATACAGAGGATGCAAACAATGATAGAGTGCTGGAGATGTTTCGACTGGTTAGTTCAAAATTATTCATAATCAAGATCAGGAAAGTGCATGAGATTTGGCTGTAGCCTTATATCACTAGGATGGTTGTTCGTTGTACTAAATTAGTTGTATGCACAAGATACATTATAAATCAGCGACGTTTCGCCTAGATACTCTAAGACATCCAAGAGCTCTTCTTTTAGAGTCGTTTCGATATTACAACACATCAATACCATGGGTAAGTCTTATCTACGGAGGCTTCGCATTATTTAGGGAGAGGACTGGAATACATAGGACTGCGCGACAGGTCTGCAACACGTTTTGGGTATATATTATTAATCCAGCATTTCCGTTTGATTAAGTCAGCACTCGCTTCTTTTCCCATCAAGCGGGCAGTCATTATTTTTCATGAGTAGAAGTTAAAGAAGAGGAGCAACAGGCAGGGCTCTACATAATAGAAACGTGCGTTCGTTTTACTAGTGATTTCATAATTTTTGACTTGTGTAAATATAGTAGTCTTTTTTACTGGAGTAGTTCCTTTCTGGTGTTACAATGTAAGACTATGAACAACCACAACTGGACCCTGTGGCGCGATCTCTGATTCATCATTCTCACGACAAGATCTAGGCACTTGCGTCAGGCCGTTTTTTTTGCAAAACAAAATGAATCTATGATGTCACCAAAATCAAAGTGTTTACTTTTTCTTGTAGTGGCTTGCCCTTATATATATTCTGCGCAGGAGCTTGTGTTGTCCTCACATTTTGAGAGAAAATTGGTGGAAAGAGACGAGAGAAGAGAAGCTTGGGAAACGTTTACACCTTGGAAAAAAGAGCAAATATGGCTAGTAAAAATCAACATGAGCGTCCTACTGGTCCTACCCTCCTCTTATGGGATTTCTATCGAGAAGCATTTTCTATCTAGCGACTCTTTTTTATGACCCTGAGCGTAAAAGTCATCTGTTTTCTTATCTATGTGCGCGGAGTAGTTAGTAACATTGGTAGTATCTCTCAGTTTAAATGATGTTGTTGTAAAGGAGTTTTCTTGTTTCCACAAAATATGTTGTCAAAACTTATCGAACGAGAAAAGACGCAATGTCTTACAAAGGACGGCAGCAAGATTCAAGAACGAGTAGCTGGTATGTTTGCTGAAGGATTTGGCTATGCGGATTCGAATGGGCTTACAGTCGGAATAGAACAGGCAACGATTCTGTATGGTGCTCTGTGTGCCGTAGCGCCTACAACTGCAATCGAAGCGTGCCGAAAGTTTCGGTCTGACATCCCTTTGGTCATTGTCCGCGAAGGTGATGGAAGTGGTCGCTGTATGAGGTGCCGCGGAAGTCGTGGTGGTGTGGCAGACAAATCCGCAAAGCAATACTTTGTTAGATCAAGTATTTGCGGGTTTCCTATCGAATCACGAAAAAGGCCGCGACCAAATAGCACCACTCTTCCTGCTGCGAATAAGGTAGACGTAGAGGCGTGGGCGCGATCTCTCCTACAGCTGAAAGTGAAGCCTTCTGCTTCTTCAGCGTCCGGCTCAATCAGAGTGGACACACACACATCTACGACAACGGAATCTAGGTCCCTTTATGTTTTTGGGAATGGCGAGCACCGACGCGCGAAGACGCTTCCATATGCGAAGCTGTTTATCCCTACGATGTTGAGGAACAATCGTGTGGGCGAGTTCTTCAGTAAGCAAGACCTGCATGAGTTGCAGGCGTTGAATGCTGAACTGAAAGAACGAGGCGCGTACGGTCTGTTTGTACCCATTGGAGATACCGGGGGCTTGGCTGAGATCCTTGACGCGTGCATGACTGTGCTTCTTAGTCCTGGGCTGGACAGAATAGTTTGCTTTGGATGCAGGTGCTTCATGCACCAAGTAGGTATTGCGGAAGAGGAGCTGATTGAGGAGCTACTTCGTCTTTGTGGAATAAGCAAAAAGCGGTGGGAAAAACGAACATACTTGCAGGTGCTTTTATGATGGTTCATATAGAATATTTCTCATGCGTTTTCGTATATTCTAGTAGGTTGACGCGTATAGCAACGGCGACTCAGTCCGTCTTAGATCAAAGTAACAACTTTTTATAAAAATATAAATTGAATCTGTATCCTTCACTCTACTACAGGCAGTTTCGATCCGGACGGGTATCATGAAGATTAGGAGC